GGGGAGGATTAGCTAATTGAGCCTTTGTTTTGGGCCTGGACAGCACAGATTCTTATTTTGCCCCACAGTGGCAGCACAGGTTCCCCCTGGCTCCAGCCTGCAGTTGCTGCACTGCGTCCTTCAGCCTCCCTGTCTCTCACTCTGTCAACACCTGTTTCCTCTTGCAGGCTTTGCAGGTGACCTCAGAGCTTGCTCTGACTTAAGAGGGAGGTCTTTTAGTCCCCCTTCTCTACCCACTCAACAAGGCCCAAGTCCCTGGTCTTTTTTTCCTTAACATTCCTAAGGACGTTTTATAAACTCCATAAGGGGATAGGACTAGAGTTGGAATGAAATTAACTTTGTTCTGCTATCCATCCTGAGGTCATGGCAGTAGCTGTGGAGGACAGGCATCCACTTTACAAGGGGGGTGGGGACTGATGAAACCCCTGCTATTTAACTTTGGCCTCAAGAAACCAATTTCTGGTCATGGGAAAACATTCCATTGCATTGCTGTTAGGCGTTTGCTGACCACTGCTGCCCTTCAAGAGGTGTGGCTTCTGTGAACTTTTGTGAAGCCTGTGGGGATTCCTAACCTAAATTGTTGCTGTTATTTATTGATATGTTAGCAGGCAGGTCCGATCTTTTAATGCACAGATGCTGTGCACCATGGTTCTTTTTGTAATAGTAATTTATTCTTATTTTACTTGGATGTCAGAGAAGGAGAGAAAAGCCATCCACTGTTTCACTCAAAAGGCTGCAATGGCTGGAGCTGAGCTGCTGCAAAGCTGGGAGCCAGGAATATCTTCTGGGTCTCCGATGTGAGCTTGGGGTCCCAAGGCTTTGGGCCATCCTCTGCTGCTTTCCCAGGCCGTAAGCAGGGAACTGGATGGGAAGTAGAGTGCCCCTATGAGATGCTAGTGCTTGTAGGTGGAGGACTAGCCAATTGAATCATTACACTAGCCCCAATATTTATTTTGCTTGAAAGAGTTATAGAAAGAAAAGGGGAAACAGAGAGGGAAAGAGGAGATTTTCCATTCACTGGATCACTCCCAAATGGTTGCAATGACTAGAGCTGGGCCTTTCCAAAACCAGGAGCTAGGAGCTCCTATTGGGTCTCACACTTGGGTGCAAGGGCCCAAGGGCTTGGGCCATTCATTGCTGTTTTCCCAGCTTGTGATCAGAAAGCTGAGTCAGATGTAGATACTCAGAACTCAAACTTTTTCCCATATGGGATGCTGGCACTGCAAGCAGAGGATTAGTTTGCTATACCACCATGCTGATCCCAACATGGTTCTAAAAGTGCGCAATGATGAATTAATTTTTTTCTTCAGACTGCAAGTTTTGTTTTGAATGAAAGAGAAGTTTAAAATCTTGGGCCCAGCATGGTGGCCTAGTGACTAAAGGCCTCTCCTTTTTTTTTTTTAGGCATAAAGGTGGTTTATTCAGGTTAACCTAGGTCTCCCAGTCACCTAAAGGTCTTTCCTTGAATGCACCAGGATCCCATATGGGTGCGAGTTCTAGTCCTGGCAGTCCTGCTCCCCAGCCAGCTCCCTGCTTGTGGCCTGGGGAAGCAATCTAGGATGGCCCAAAGCCTTGGGACCCTGCATCCACGTGGGAGACCTGGAAGAGCTCCTGGCTCCTGACTTCGGATTGGCTCAGCTCTGGCTGTTGTGACCACTACTTGGTAAGTGAATCAAGACGGAAGATCTTCCTTTCTGTCTCTCCTCCTCTCTCTATATCTAACTTTCCAATAAAAACAAAATAAAAATAAATCCTTAAAAAAAAAAAAAAAGAGAGAGGGGCCCAGTGCAGTGGCCTAGTGGCTAAAGTCCTCACCTTGAACGCTCCAGGATCCCATATAGGTGCTAGTTCTAATCCCGGCAGCTCCACTTCCCATCCAGCTCCCTGCTTGTGGTCTGGGAAAGCCTGCAAGGATGGCTCAAAGCCTTGGAACCCTGTATCCACGCAGGAGGCCTGGAAGAGGTTCCTGGCTCCTGGCTTTGGATTGGTTCAGCTACAGCCATTGTGGTCACTTGGGGAGTGAATCATCAGATGGAAGATCTTCCGGTCTGTCTCTCCTCCTGTCTGTATACCTGGCTTTCCAATAAAAAAGAACTATAGAAACTGTAGCTGGGTCCGGCGCGGTGGCGCAAGTGGTTAAGTCCTCGCCTTGCATGCCCAGGATCCCATATGGGTGCCGGTTCTATCCCAGCAGCCCCGCTTCCCTTCCAGCTCCCTGCCTGTGGCCTGGGAAAGCAGTTGAGGACGGCCCAAAGCTTTGGGACCCTGCACCCGCGTGGGAGACCCGGAAGAGGCTCCTGGCTCAGGATCGGCATAGTATCGGCCGTTGCGCTCACTTGGGGAGTGAATCATCGGACGAAGATCTTTCTCTCTGTCTCTCCTCTCTGTATATCCGCCTTTCCAATAAAAAAATAGTAAAAATAAATCTTTTTTTAAAAAAAAGAAACTGTAGCAAATTACAGTTTTCCTGGAGATCTACAAAGGTTTTATTGGTAAACAATTGTTGATCATTGTTATTATAAGGGCATGAGATGCAAAGAATAGAAAATCACAATCCAGGTTCTGGCCTTTAGGATGTCCCAGTTTTCTGTTGGACATGCCTTTCAGACCAGAAGAAAACATCAACAATCGCACAACTATTTCTTTGAACATTAAGACTCCTTACAGATAGGAATGCATAAATCCCTAACAACGCTTTGGGAAGCCATCCCACCTTGATTACACCCAAACACCCAGAGCCACCGAGTCATTTAAAACCAGATTGGGAATGGTGTGGTGGCACAGCTATTGGAGCGTCCCTTCAAGTTTCGCTGCTGTCTTTCTGATCCAGCTTCCTGCTGAAGCTCCCAGGAAAGCAGGAGATGGTCTGAGTGTTGGTGGCCCTGCCACCATGAGGGAGGCTCAGATGACATTTGCAGTACCTTGTTTTGGCCTAGCTCTATCCAGAGCTAGAGGCTGTTCATAATGGCTGGAACCGGGTCAGTTCAAATCCAAGAGCCAGGAGCTTATTCCTGGTCTCCCACATGGGTGCAGGGGCCCAAGCACTGGGCCATTCTGCACTGTTTTTCTAGGCTCATTCTCAGGAAGTTGGATTAGAAGTGCAGCAGCAGGCCGGTGTGGTAACATGGTGGCTAAAGTCCTTGCCTCGTACACATCCACATGCCAGGATCCCATATGGGTGCCGGTTCTAATCCCAGCAGCCCCGCTTCCCATCCAGCTCCCTGCCTGTGGCCTGGGGAAGCAGTGGAGGACGGCCCAAAGCCTTGGGACCCTGCACCCGTGTGGGAGACCCGAAGAGCTCCTGGCTCCTTGCTTCGGATTGGCACAGCAGTGGCCATTGCGATAATTTGGGCAATGAATCATTAAATGGAAGATCTTCCTCTTTGTCTCTCCTCCTGTCTATCTATATATATCTGATTTTGCAATAAAAATAAATAGATCTTTGAAAAAAATTGCAGCATCCAGGTCTCAGACTGGAGCACGTATGGAGCGTGGGTGCCACAAGTGGAAGCTTAATTTGCTACACCATAGCACCAGCCTGTTTTTAAATAACTAAATAATAATTTTTTAAAAAACTAAATTGGCACAATGGCTCAACTGGTTAATCCTCTCCTTTCAAGCTCTAGCATCTGATATGAGTGCTGTTCTTACCCTGGTTGTTCAGCTTCCCTTCCAGCTCCCTGCCTGTGGCCTGGGAAAGCAGTCAAGGACGGCCCAAAGCCTTGGGACCCTGCACCCATGTGGTAGACCTAGAAGAAGCTCCTGGCTCCTGGCTTTGGAATGGCTGAACTCTAGCCACTGTGGCCAATTGGGAAGTGAACCAGTGGAAGGAAGATCTTTCTCTGTCTCCTGTTCTCTGTAAATCTCCCTTTCCAATAAAAATGAAATCTGTAAAAACATAAATTAGAAAAATTAAACATAAGATTACCATATGATGCATCAATTTCATTCCTATGTCTGTGCCCCCCCAAAACTGAAACTCAACAAATAGTTGTACAAAAATGTTAATAGCAGCAATATTCAGTTTAGCCTAAAATATCCCAAGTGTCCATGAAATAATGAATGGTGGGCAAAATGTGTGGTATATCCAGGCAGTGGAATACTATTCAACTATAGAAAGGAATTAAAAGTGCCTAGAGATGCAATAACGTAAGTGTATCCCCAAAACACTAAGCAGTGGAAACCAGGCACCAGTGTTGCGCCGCGTGCTGGTGTAAATACGAAGTACCCAGGATAAGGAGATCCGCAGACAGCAGGTGTTTGTGGTTGGCGGGGGAGGCGGAGGCAGTGAGTACTAGCTGCCTTGGGGATTTTAAGGGACGGACACAGTGATGACTGCATAATGTCATGAATGTGAACTTGAAAACAGCTCATTTTATGTTACATAAATTCTGTGTCAATAACTGAACTGTTTTGGTAGCCAAGCTATTGAAATGTGGCGGGATAGTCACTTTCATTTGGGAATCCCTGGAAATCTGCTTAAGCTCAGCACCCTGGGAAGCGGCAGCCCGTGTCCCCAGGTTGGGAGGAGGAACGTGTTTGCAGGTTCAGAGGCAGGTGCTTGAGACTTTTCCACCCAGAGACTGGCAGAGGCTCAGGGGTGAGACCGGAGAGGGGCGGGGTGAGTCTCGGGGCGAGGCACGGGACTGCGGGACGTGGGAAAGCAGGGTGAGACTTAGGGACTGGGCGTGGGGCGGTGGCTGGGAGGGCGGGGCGGTGGCTGGGAGGGGGCGGAGCCAGGTGGGTGGGCGGGACGGGGCGGGGCAGCTCGGGGCGGAGTCGGGTGGGCTGGGCACGGGCGGCTCGGGGGCGGGGCCTGGGGTAGGCTGGGCGCGGGCGGCCCGGGGCGGAGTCGGGTGGGCGGGGCCCAGGCGGCCCGGGGGCGGGACCATGGTGGGCGGGGCCAGAACGCGCCTGCGCGGAGGCAGCGGGTTGCGCCGCGGGCTTCGCCGGTTGCCTGGAGAACGCGCGACAACAAAAGGCGCGAGCGGCGGCGGCGCGGCAGAGTGAAACCGGGGAGTCCTGCGCTCGCCGCCGGAGACCGAGTTTTCCCGAGCCGGTCAGTGAGCGGCGGGCCGGCCTGGCAGGTGCGGGGACGTGGGTCGCCGTCCTGACCGCGGAGCCCCCTGAGCTGGCCCTCGGGCCTGCGGCGCCCCGGTCCCCGACCTGCCGTCGGACGTCGGAGCCGCGGCGGGGCGGCCTCGGAGGGCGGTTGGGGCGCTGGCTAGGCTGAGCAGGGGGTTCGGGGCCGGAGCCCGGGTGGGGTGCCCCAGAGCCGGGGGAACGGGCCCTCGAGGCAGCCTCAGTTCTGGCCTCCCCGTGAGGCCCGCGTCGTCCCCCGGGGCTTGTTTTTGTCGCAGGCCCTGTTTCCCGTGGTACAGGTGGGAACTGGTGCGTGCAAGCGCCGCGGAAACCCGAGAGCACCTCAGGCAGGTGATGCTGGGGAGAGCAAGCACGTTCTTTGAAACTCCTTTTAATACACGTAACGTTGTTTATAAAACTTTCTTTCTCTTCTTCACTCCATGTCTTCTCTAAGCTCTGGAGGTCGTTTCTGAGGTCCTTACGCGATCCCCTGTTCACCTGCTGAGGGTTTCTTCTTTATTAACAAGCCACAAGTTTTAGACGAGGGGCACCGGATGGCACTCGTGCTGGGCGACGGCCATCACCTGTGAATCACCTGGCATAGGGGCAGCAAACAGTTCTGTCTTTTTGCTCACTTGTTGCCAACCTTTTAAATACACGTATCTGTTCCCAGCCAACTAGATGCTGACTTTTGGAAAAACGTATGTTAGTGACCTAAGATAAGCTTCAGGTGCCTGATCAATTGGAAAAAGTGTAAGTGATGCAATTTTTTTTTTAAAGCAACTGTTGATTACAAACCGTGTTTATGAATAGGTGAGCTTCAATCCTTTTCAGAGCCAGAATAGTTCTGGGTGTTCCTGTTACATAAACCAAGAACGTGACAATATCTCAGTTGCATTTCATTTTTTTTTTTTTTGGAAGATGTATGTCTTTTTATTGGAAGGTCAGATACACAGAGAGAAAAGAGACAGAGAGGGAGATCTTCCATCTGATGATTCTCTCCTGAAGCTGCTGTTGCAGCTGGAGCTGCGCTGATCTGAAGCCAGGAGCCCAGAGTCTACTCTGGGTCTGCCATCCGGGCGCAGGTCCCAAGGCTTTGGGCCATCCTCGACTGCTTTCCTGGGCCACAAGCAGGGAGCTGGATAGGAAGCGGAGCTGCCAGGATTAGAACCTGCACCCATATGGGATCCTGGTATGTGTAAAGTGAGGACCTTAGCTGCTAGGCTAAGGTGCTGGGCCCATTTTTTCTGAATTAACGGTTTTGTTGGAATCAGCCAGATTTGGTTTAATATACATAATGACTGCAGTGTGCTCACATAACAAAATGAAGCCAACTAAACTGATAGAAAACTCCCAATGCTTAGTGTTCAGAGATGCTTGGAAGAATCAGCTCACAGTCTAGAATTAAGAATCCTTACAGTCTAGAATTAAGTTTCCAGTAGCTAATGACTGCTGAGTCCTTCGGGATCCAAGGAAGGACTTACCAGGCATAGTGTATCACGTTAGTGCCAGGGTTACGTGCCTGTCTTTGTTTGGGCCATCATCGTGTCTGGTTTGTTGACTGTCCTGGGATTTTACAGCCCGAGGGACCTGATGCGTTGGAGTCTCAGGGTGCTCTTCATATCGTGACGCAAGTGGTTCGTGTTGTTACCATTGGCCTTCATTTGATGCTCTCAGAAAATTATCACCGCAAAGTGCAGAGCCTTTAACTGTGTTGTTGGTAACATTTCTGCATCCAGTCCCACGTGGAATGTTCTTGTCAGTCCAGGAGTCAACTAGGTTACTTAATGATAGGGCTCCTGATTCAGTTTCTCCAAAGGCGTAGCCTCATCTCAAGGTTTTCATTTTTGCATCATCTGCCTTTAAACATCTTCATATTATTTGTTACTTTTAAATTTTTTAATTTTATTTTATATGTTTATGTAGTTGAGAGAGGTGCTTGACCATGTGGGCCCCCTATTAGGTGGTGAAGAAGGTGGGGAGGACAAATGTTTCCATTTGTTTTTCCTCTTATGTCCATTGGCGGGGGGGGGGGGGGGGGGGGAGGAGGAGAGGGGACCACTCCTTGCTGCCAAATTACATCAGCATCCAGGGATGGGGACCCATCAGCTGATGATGCCCTAGATACCCCGATGTGGGGAAGAGACTGTTCCAAGATTTTTTTTTGAAAGGTGGCAAATTTACAGAGAGAAGGAGATACAGAGAGAAAAATCTTCCAGCCTCTGGTTCACTTCCCAAATGTCCAGAATGGCTGGAGCTAAGCTGATCCGAAACCAGAAGCCAGTAGCCTTCTCCAGGTCTCCCACATGGTGCAGCGTCCATCCTCTACTGCTTTTCCAGGCCACAATCAGGAGCTGGTTGGGAAGTGAAGTAGTTGGGACACAAACCAGCACCCATATGGGATCTTGGCACGTGCAAGGCGAGGATTTTAGCCACTGAGTTATGGTGCCGGACTCACTTGAATAGTTTTGATAGTCCTAAGACATCAACAGCTTCATCACAGTGGAGTTCAGAACATTTTTCCAGTCTCTGATGGTTTAGTGCATCCACAGGCCCAGGAACATGTTGCAGAGCTTGGCCAGGAGAGTGGTCCAACCTGTTCTGTTTTCTATCAGCTGATGAGGCACTCAGCATCCTCTGCTGGCCTAGATGAGCTGGCTGTCATGTCCCCTGTGTGCTTCTGGACATGCTGTCCACTACACAGGCATCAGCAACTGAGGAGGCCCAGTCGTGACACATGCAATCCAAGGTTGGAGCACATTTATTGTGATTGTCCCCGTGGCTGGGGTTTGGGCGTGCCCCGAGAAACCTTGCTTGTGATGATCTCAGATTTGACTCTTGTATGCCAGCGAGTACAGGGTCAAGTTCAGTGTATTACCTGCCGCAGCCCATGCACGTAGCTGTGGCTGCTGCTGCCTGGTCAGTTCTGACTCCAAACCCATGTCTCACATGACCTGATGGCCTACCCCAGCCCAGCCCAGCCTGACACAGGCCTGGTCTTCATGCACACCAGTGGGTGACACAGCCTAATTGGAGTGACTCCCCAAAACCTCCACCAGGCCCATCCCTAGTCCTGATTCCTGCCTGTGCTGGTATGTCCTGCAGCCTAGTCTGGTCTTCCCCTAATGCTACCCCACTGTCATGCATGCTGTAGGTGCTACAGCTTATGTCAGCCCATCTTCAGACCCAGCCCACACATGCCAGTCGCACTGCTGCCCTGACCATCCAGGCCCACCCGCAGCCCCAGCTCCTGTTCACCAGCAGGAGCTGTGGTCTAGGAGGGAGTTTGCTACGTCCCCCTGGCAGGCCTTCAGCCAGTCCCAGATATTGCATGTGCAAACAGATGCTGTGGCTCAGCCTGACATAGCCAGCTCTGACACACACTGGTGGACACTGTGGCCCAGTCTTACCAGTCTGCACCAGTTCTGGCTCTTGGGAGGTGGGTGCTACAGCCCAGCCCGGCTTGTCCTACACCTACTCCAGCTCTTGGTGCCGGAGCCTAGCCCAATCCAGCCTGCCCCCAAACCCGGCTGACAGGTGCTGCAGTCTTGCCCAGTCCATCTACCCCCAGCCCTAGCTCTCATACCCACCAGTGAAAGCTGCAGACTAGCAAGGGAGTTCCCCAAGTTCCCCTGCCAGTCCCATTCCCAGTGCCAGATCTTGCACACACTGGCAGGTGCTTCGACCTATCCTGGCATGGCCCACTCAGTTCCAGACCTCACCAATGGGCATCTCAGCCCAGCCCCAGTGGGTGTGGTCCACACCTTATCCTGGTTCTCCTGCATGCCATTGGATGCTTCAGTCTGTCCTACATGAATGCTGTAGCCCAGTCTGGTCAGACTGCCCCCAGACCGGGCTGTTGCGCCTCTTAGCGGGAGGTGTGGCAAACAGAGGAGTTCGCCAAGTTACCATGTAGGCCTGTTCCCAGACCCAGATCTCACATGTGCCAGAGGGGGCAGTGGCCCTGCTTGGCATGGTCTGCTCCTAGTCCCATGTACAGCCCCTGTGCTGGTGGGTGCTGCAGCCTGACCCTTCCTGGCCTTCTCCCAGCCCTGACTCCTGTGGTTGTCAGATGGGTTCCTGTTGGGTTAATTGTGTGTTCTAGGCTGGCTCAGTCCATCCGTGCTCCCAGCATTCCATGTAAACTGGCAGGTGCTGCAGTTCCACAGAGGTGAGCCCACAATTCCCCTACAGAATCTGCCCCCAGATCCAGTCCTCTTGCATTCTCATAGTGCTGTGGTTCAGTGTGGCAGAGCCCACCCCCTGCTCTGACACTTGAAGGATGGGTGCTGCAGCCTAGCCCAGCAGGCATGCCCTCAACCCCACATTTTGCCTGTACCAGTGGGTGGTAAGTAATACTGCTTAGCTCAACCCGGGTTTTCTGTGACCATGGGTGCCTTGGCCTGACCCAGGCATTCCCTCCAGATTCCCCCCTCTAAAACACCCCATCTCAGCTCCCTCCCCTGCCTGCGAGTGCAGTGACCTGGTCTGTGGAAAATCCAAGAAGTCATTTTTATGCTGTCAAGCGTGCTTTCAGCTGTTCCTGCTCCAACATGTCCTGAGACCCCCTTCCCCAAGTAATCTGCAGCCTGGCGGCTGGGGTGTCATGTCCCAGCCTGGCATTCCTGTCTTCCCTATATATCCCTTTTTTTTTTTTTGAAGAATAGGCACCTATGCTGGCATACTGGTATAGTTAACACAAATTTCACATTAACCAGACCCAGAATGCCCGCCAGCCTTGGCTGCTTTTCTCCCAGGACTGTTAACACTTGGCTAGGTGCAAGAAAACCTAGGCGGTTGCCTACAGCTGGGGTACTTGCTACTTTTTAAAAAAGGCTTCCATGTGGTATAAACTTTATCCTACCAAACATGCGAGCATTTGTGTACGAGTTTTTATACAAACATGTTTTCATTTTTCTTGGCAGTGGATTTGCTGAACTGAAATGGTAGCTGTGTTTAACCTTCTAAGTAGCTGCCAGTCTGTTTTCCAAAGCGGCTGTGCCATTTTATGGTCTCACTAAGGATGCCTCTTACTCTGTACCACCACACTTGCCGTGTTGATCGTGTTGGTTGCATGTGGATGTAGAGCGGTTTTGCATTTTCCTGGCAGCTAATGAAGCAGAATCTTTTCACAAGCTTATTGACCATTTGTGCGTGTGCGTGTGTGTGTATCTTTTTTTTTTTTTTTTAAAAGAGGCAGATCTACATGGCTTAGGGGGGTGAGAAGGTTTCTGTCTGCTGGTTTATTTCCCAGATTGCCACAGCAGCCAGGGACAGGCCAGGTGGAAGTAGAGTAATTGGGACTGGAAGTGGTACCCACATGGGATGTCAGTGCCTCGGTGGAGGCTTAGCCTCCTGTGGCTATGCCATGGAGCTGACCCTAGCATCTTTTTTTTTTTTTTTTAAAGATTTATTTTTATTATTTTTTCATTGGAAAGGCAGATATACAGAGAGGAGAGACAGAGAGGAAGATCTTCCGTCCGATGATCCACTCCCCAAGTGAGCGCAACGGGCCGATACTATGCCGATCCGAAGCCAGGAGCCTCTTCCGGGTCTCCCACACGGGTGCAGGTTCCCAAAGCTTTGGGCTGTCCTCGACTGCTTTCCCAGGCCACAGGCAGGGAGCTGGAAGGGAAGCGGGGCTGCCGGGATTAGAACCGGCGCCCATATGGGATCCCGGGCGTGCAAGGCGAGGACCTTTAACCACTTGCGCCACCGCGCCGGGCCCTGACCCTAGCATCTTAACTGTTAGGTCTTCAAAGTTATAAACACAGGGTTTTTATTTCTTTAGATATTAGTTGTGCATTCTTTAAACACGTTTCATAATTTTTAAACTAAGTTTTCTATCTTTTGTTAAATTTGTTGCTCTTTTTAATGCCATTATAAAATATATTATTTTCTTGTTTTATTTTTCAGAGTGTTTATGGTAAGGAAGTTATAAGTTTAATCAACAGTCTTCAGAAATGAGTACAATATAACACGAGGAATAGAAGAAGCAATTTTTTTTTGTTTGTTTTGAAATTTATATTGATTTGTAGAAACCTTTGAAACTTTTCATGGATTTGTTCCTAAAGTTTATGACAAGAGGAGGTGCTGTATTTCCACAAGCAATTTTGAAATTCAGCAGGATTCGGACTACCCTATAGCTGTTCAGTTCCGTGCTGTCATTTCTGCCTGCTCAAAGCAAGGTGTTTTCTTAACTGTATGTTTCTGCTGTACTTGTGGCACCCATGGCCTCATACATGTTGAAAAAAAAAATAGATCTGCACAGAGAATTGGAGTGCCTTCATAGGCCGAGAACTCTGAGGTCAATCATTCCCTATCGGATCTCCCACACGGGATGGAAGAAGCCCAGATCCTTCCTCACAGGATCTGATGTCATTGGAACAATAGCCAGGAGCCCTGAACAGTCCGCAGAAACAGAAAAACAGTCAGCTTCCTTTGGGACTCAGGAGGGGAGCCTTCTCTGGTCCTTACTTAGTTCCTACTTTGGCTCCCCACTCTCTCTTGCAATGACCATTAGGGTCACTCCGGAGCTCCCAAAATTAGATCAGATAAACAGAGACTAATAAGGAAAGCTTAGAACAGACAGGAAATGGTCAGCTTGGACTCTCATATACCTCATTAGGTAGGACACAAAGATCAGTTACTCCTCACTAAAATATTGAAGATTTCTCTGCACACCCCTCCTAAAATTGTTCTGCTCCTCAACCATCAAAATATGGCTTGTTAGAGTTATAACCCTGTTTAGACCATCCTAAAATTCATGAAGTTCAGTAAAATCACGCTTGAATTCTATAAGCTGCTAAATATAAAAATGAAAATAGACATGAGACAACTGAATAGCACCCTATAAACATTTTTAGGTTTATAGCAGCCAGTTGTGTATATGCTAAAATTGAGATGTCAAGGAAGTAGTAATAGGATGTGGTTAAAAACTTGCATTTTCTAATATATTGGTCACTCAGTACCATGTTAATTAGCTTCATGATGCTGTTAATTTCCATGTTTCTTCCTGTTGTTGAAGTTGTGTAGTGGCATCTTATTGGAGGGGATGATATTCTGCCGGCTCTACTTTCAGACCAAGGATGGTCTCCCAATGACGCTTCTGAATTTATCTGGAAAATAAGATGCTGGACTCTGCATGGTCCGTGCCTGCAATGATGGAATCATGACTGGTTATGATCTGTACTACTGTAACAATATGGAGGAAATCAATATGGGGGAGAGAATGGGGGGAACCCCAGAGCCTATGAAACTGTGTCTTAAAATGAAATAATAAAAAAAATAGATTTAGTGTAAACTTTTGCTTTTAACACATGAATGCAATTTTTATTTCCTTGATTTTATTTTCTGATTCTCTGGTTATTCAACATTTAGATTAGCAGACTGGAAAACATTACTGCTGTGGACATAAAGGCACATTTGGATTTTATGTGCTTACTACCTTGCTTCATTGTTGACCGACTTGTGACTCCCAGGTTATTGTGAAGCAAATGTAGATGTGTCATTTCATCTATAAGTTGATATGTTCTACAAGGCATATTTGTTCTTTTGTAACTATTTTATGTTAGAATAATGCATACACTAATTTAGTTTGCATTAGAAGATGATTAGTCTATCAAAATAGGTGAAATCGCTAATTAAGTTTTTTTTGCCTTTTAATACACAGGAGTCCAGATCTTACATACAATGGATTTTTCTCACACTAGATACTGAACATTAAGTAGATAACCTGTTCAGTACAATCTGAGCTGCCATGGAAGAAATACCAGTAAAAGTTGCTGTAAGAATTAGACCTCTGCTTTGCAAAGAAGTTCTTCGTAATCATCAAGTGTGTGTGAGAGTTATCCCCAACACCCAGCAAATTATCATTGGGAGAGATAGAGTCTTTACTTTTGATTTTGTTTTTGGGAAGAATTCCACTCAAGATGAAGTGTATAATACATGTATAAAGCCCCTGGTGGTGTCACTGATTGAGGGCTATAATGCTACAGTTTTTGCCTATGGACAAACTGGATCTGGGAAGACTTACACCATTGGAGGAGGCCATGTTGGTAAGATTCTCACACTCTTTCAAAGAAACTTGTGTATGACAATATCTGATACACCCTAGGTGCTTAGCATATTGACTGAATAATGAAGGAATGAATAAGGTCATTAGAAGATTGTCATCTTTCAAAAATTAATTTGTAAACGGTAAAATTTATTAAATCAAGTTTATGAAAATTTTGGGGGGGAAAGAAGTTTAATACGGTGTTCAGTGTTTAGCCCTTGTTATTTAGACTTTTAGAATTTAAAATAAGTGAGTTAGCATAGCCAGGTCTTGAGTCCTTCAGCATGCGAGTTATAACAAACATCCTAGAACAGAACTTGGGCACACTGGGAGAGATTTGTTGTGTGGTTTAAAGTGTCTTCTTTGAAAAGCTACATTTCTATTTCAAGTGCTGAATATTTGAGACATGCTTTCTTTTTTTTCCCCCCCGATTGTAATAATAGCATAGAAAAGGTGGGCTCACAGGAGTTCCTGGAGGACTGAAGGGAACCTTGCCAGTCAACTGCTTCCCGAGAGAGGAACAAGTCGTTCCGTGGGGTGGCTGATGCTGGGGTCAGTGCTGGGGTCAGGACGGGGACGCAGGTGCTCTGCTGGTGGGATTCTCTGCTGGTCCTTTCTGCTGTCAGCATCAGATTTGATTGTTGAAAATAAGCATCCCTGAATTTTGGTGAAGATTCCCTCTGCTGTGAATGTCAGTATTCTTTCGTTTTCAGTCTTCTCACATGTTAGCTGTGTTTGAGAAGCTTCTCTCATGAGACGTGTGGGGGTGGGGATGGCTGAAGCGGGGAAGCCCTCATCTCAGGGCTGTGGGGAAGCACTTCCCAGTTCTTAAAAATCATGCTTTTACAAAACTGGGGGATTGCATGTGCTAGATTATTTTCAAGTTTCATAATAAAATTAGGTCAGTTTTTCTAGTAGAAGTTGTGATTTTTCTCAGCAGTTGTAGTTTCTGATTGTAGTTTGTGTTTTTGATTGTCATACATTTTATAATCTTAAAGACTCAGTAAGTGGTTTATACTAATAGGAGTTATGAAATGTTCAGACCTTGGTGAGTTAATTACTATGAGTCTACTATTTTATTAAGCTATTAATACAGTTTAATTCTGTAGAGGAAAAATTATTAAATCTGTTTATTGTCCCAAATTTTTTTTAAAATTTATTTATTATTTGAAAAGCAGAGTGGCAGAGATGGAGAACATCTTCTCCCCAAATGGCCCAACAGCTGGGGCTGGGCCGGGTCTCTCACGTATGTGGCGGGGACTCAAGTGCTTGATCCTCCATCGCTTCCAAGCGCGTTAGCAGGGGGCTGGACTGGAAGCAGAGCGCTTGGGTACCCAGGTTCCAACTGGGACTCGGATATGGAATGGACTTTACCTCCTCTTCCTCCCTTGTCCTAAAGTATTTTAGCCATTCAAATTCTGCATGCCATAAGAAATAGACCACCACTAAGAACATTTTGTAGTGGTTTTTCCTACTTAAAAAAAATTAATATTCATTATAAAAGGAATTGCAAGTGATGCCTGAGAAATTAAACAAGTAAAACTTTTTCTCTGGGCCTGGCGGCGTGGCCTAGCGGCTAAAGTCCTCTCCTTGAACACGCCGGGATCCCATATGGGCACTGGTTCTAATCCTGGCAGCTCCACTTCCCATCCAGCTCCCTGCTTGTGGCCTGGGGAAGCAGTCGAGGACGGCCCAAAGCCTTGGTACCCTGCATTCATGTGGGAGACCTTGAGGAGGTTCCTGGCTCCTGGCTTCGGATTGGCTCAGCACCAGTCATTGTGGTCACTTGGGGAATGAATCATTGGATGGAAGATCTTCCTCTCTCTCTCCTCCTCTCTGTATATCTGACGTTGTAATAAAAAATAAATAAATCTTTAAAAAACAAACAAAAACTTCTCACAAACGTTTTTTGTTTTAAAAATTTTATTTAATGAGATATTTACCTGTCATTCTGTAACTTCCTTTTTTGCATTTATTATAAAATATTTTCACATAACTTTTGGCTTCATATACTTCTTAATTTTTTGACTGTATAATATTCCAAAGTGTGAATGGATCATCCTGTATCCATGGAAATATTTCTGCATTGTCTCTGGTTTTTACTAGTATAAAAAAGTGTCTGTATGTTCATACATTTAAGTGTATATACATGTTACGTTAATCTGTTTGCTGTTGTAAATAGCACAGTGCCACAGCCTGAGTATGTTTAAAGAGCAGAAATTTACTTGGCTTACAGTTCTAACCCAATGGCAAGGGCCCACATCTTCTCATGGCTTTCTTGTTAGCAGAGGGTTTTTTTTTGTTGTTGTTGTTGTTTCTGCTTGATTTTTTATTGGGAAGGCAGATTTACAGATAGAAGGAGACAAAGAGAGATCTTCCACTCCCCAAATGGCCACATAGCCTCAACTGAGCCAGTCTGAAACCTTTGAGTCTTCCACATGGATGCATGGTCCTAAGGCATTGGGTTATCCCCTACTACTTTCCCAGGCCACAAACAGGGAACTGGATGGGAACTGGAACAGCTAGGACATGAACTGGTGCCCTTATGGGATGCCTGTGCCTAGAAGTGACAGATTAGCCAGTTGAGCCGGCTAGCCGAGTTCTGAAGTGGTACAGGGAATCATCACATGGCAGGACATACGTGTGTGTGTGTGTGTGTGTGTGTGTGTGTGTGTGTGTGTGTGTCTGTGTCTTCCCTGGTGTTCAGGGGAACTCACCTCTGTCCATCTGGCAAAACCACCAGAATTCAATTACCAGGCTCCATTCTCCTGACTTTATCTAATCTTAATCACCTTTCAAAGATTTTACCAGTCAGATTGTATTTCTACCCCTCTAAATACCTCCCCAGGGCGATTAAATTCAATACATGAAGCTTTTAGATCCTGGAGAATATTTCTATGGATTAAGATTCCCAAAGGTGGATTTGCTTTGAAAGGCACAATGACCAGAGGGGGAGAGGGAGATACAGAAGAGATTGTCTATCCACTGATTCATTTCCCAAAAGACCAAATGACGAGACTGGCCCGGGTGGAAACCAGCTTCCAGGCACTGTCTTTGCGCCTCACGAGGGTGGCAGAGGCCCTGGTCCCTGGGCCGTCAGTGCTGTCTCCCAGGGTTTGCATGAGCAGGAAGCTGGATCAGAAGCAGAGGTCTCAGGCACTCCAGCCTGAGTAGCATGCAGACCCTCCATGCAGCACCTTAACCTACAGCACCACAGTGCCTGCCTCAGGGTATGCACATTTAGAATGCACATGGTGGGGTAGGCATTGTGGCAGAGCCACTCCAGAGATACAGACATCCCTTGTCGGAGTGACTGGGCTTGAATCTTGCCTCCTTTTCCAGTCCAGCTCCCTGCAGGTGCAAACCCTAGGAGGCAGCGGGTGATGGGTGGCGTGGGTGATGGGTGGCACGGGTCATTGGTGGCACGGGTACTTGGGAGACTCAGATCAAGTTACAGGCTTCCACCTTAGCCTGGTTCTGTCCCAGCTGTGGGGAGCATTTGAGGAATGAACCAGCAAATGAAAGATCTTTTTGTCTCTCTGTCTCTCTGTCTCCCTTTCTGACTTGGCATTAAAAAAAAATTGCAGGTGTCATGCATAATGCAGACAGCGGACCCTGATGCTCTCTTCTGGAAGGGCTGTGTATCAAAGTGACTGATAATACAGTTTCAGAAACTTTCCCCATCTGACAGGTGAAGTTAGAATTTTTTGCAACTGCCTTTATTTCCTGGTGTATTAATGAAATTAGTGCATTTATTATTTTTTTTTATTGGAAAGGCAGATATACAGAGAGGAGAGACAGAGAGGAAGATCTTCAGTCCGATGATCCACTCCCCAAGTGAGCGCAAAGGTCGATGCTATGCCGATCTGAAGCCAGGAGCCTCTTCCGGGTCTCCCACATGGGTGCAGGGTCCCAAAACCTTGGGCTATCCTCTACTGCTTTCCCGGGCCACAGGCAGGGAGCTGGAAGGGAAGCGGGGCTGCTGGGATAGAACCGGCACCCATATGGGATCCTGGGCGTACAAGGCGAGGACCTTAACCACTTGCGCCACCACGCCGGGCCTGAAATTAGTGCATTTTTGATGTCTAGATTTTCTCTGTGGTATACCAGCTCCAAGTCCCTGGTTTGCTCTTTGATTATTGACCATGTAAGTAATGTTGAAGTCCCCCCCCCCCCACTTCTCCAGTAAGTATTTATTAAGCACTTAGAGAAGTTTTAAAGAAGGACTTATTTTTATTTGAAAGGCAGAATTAGAGAGAGATCGTCCATCTGCTGGTTCACTCCCCAAATGGCTATCGTAGCGGCCAGAGCCAAGGACTTAGACTGTTGTCTCCTGTCCCAGGTCATAAGCAGGGAGCTAGATCAGAAGGTGGAGCAGCTGGGACTTGAACCAGCGACTATATGGGATGCTGGTACTGCAGAGGATTAGCTTGCTGTGCCACTGTGCCAGCTCCTGAGCAGTTACGGTATTTAGAGTACCGTGCCGGTTGCTGTGACACAATGAAAATCTCTAAGGTCATTGTCTTGCTTTTCGTAAGTTCAGACCTACCACCCTATACAGAGCATGGGTTTTTTAAAAGACCTGTGCAGTCTTTAACAGATAATGAGTAAATAATAGCTAGCTAGGTAGAAAACTTTAAGTTTTCTCAGAAGTAATCTATTTTAGGAACATAAGTGTAATATTGCAAATGTGATATGTAGGTAAGCAAAATACATATCAAAGTTTACCAATATGAGTTGAAATTTTGCTTTTTAGTACTTTTTTTTAAAATTCCTGTGCTTTGTTTCTATTGAAGTATGGAGTTCAGTAGTCTGTGCTATAGTTTGAAAATAGTTTAGGTACTTTCTATTGGCTAGTTCTTGGAAACTGAAAAGAATCTTCATTTTCTCACTTGCTTTGGAACAAACCTGCCACTTCTTTTACCAGCCACATGATGGCAGTGTTACATTATAAAAATAAACGAAGGCACCCATCCAAGTTCATAGATTTTCACATCTTTAGGATGGTTGTTGCCAAAAATCTAAACTTTGGTAACTTGCAACTTGGAAGCAGGTTGCTTTTAAAGTTATTTGTAAACCAATCTTTGTTTCTTGGCATGTATTTTCCATGAAACAGTGCTAAATATGGTAGGTAGGTTTCCTAAGCTGCCTGCAATGACTTGGTAACTCTTAACTCTCCATTTATTTTAAATTTTGTCTTTATCTTTTACACCTTTTTTTGTTATGTAAAAGTTGTGTGGGGCCTGGCGCAGTAACCTAGCTGCTCAAGTCCTTGCCTTACACGCACCAGGATCCCATAAGGGTGCTGGTTCTAATCCTGGCAGCCCAACTTCCCATCCAGCTCCCTGCTTGTGGCCTGGGAAAGCAGTGGAGGACGGCCCAAAGCCTTGGGACCCTGTACTCGCGTGGGAGACCTTGAGGAGATTCCTGGCTCCTGGCTTCGGATTGGCACAGTTTTGGCCATTGTGCTCACTTGGGGAGTGAATCATCAGATGGAAGATCTTCCTCTCTGTCTCTCTTCCTCTCTGAGTTTCCGATAAGAAAAATTGTGTGGTAGATAACTCTTATAAATATTCATGAGATGAAATATACTACTTTAATTAGTGTTTTCACATGTACTGGTCTGTGACATCAAATCTGTTTTCTGTATTAGTGTAATTGTCACCATTGTTTCCAGAAGTTTTCATTATCCAGACAGAAGCTCTGTTCTCATTAAGCCATAACTTCCCCCGGTGAACCTCCTGGTAACTTCTGATTTTCTATCTCTGTGAATTGCCTACTCCCAAAGCTTTATGGAAGTAGAATTATGTAATGTTTATCCTGTTTCTTGCTCTCTCACCTAGCATGTCATATCATCTGTCAGAACATCATCATCATTATTTTAAATGTGTTTATTTGAAAGTTAGTTATGTAGGGCCTGGCGGCGTGGCCTAGCGGCTAAAGTCCTTGCCTTGGACATGCCGGGATCCCATATGGGCACGGTTCTAATCCCGGCAGCTCCACTTCCCATCTAGCTCCCTGCTTGTGGCCTGGGAAAGCAGTCGAGGATAGCCCATAATCTTGGGACCCTGCACCCATGTGGGAGACCTGGAGGAAGTTCCTGGATCCTGATTTCGGATCGGCATAGCATCGGCCGTTGCACTCACTTGGGGAGTGAATCATCAGATGGAAGATCTTCCTCTCTGTCTCTCCTCCTCTCTGTATATCTGACTTTGTAATAAAAATAAAATAAATCTTTAAAGAAAGTTAGTTATGTAGATGACGAGAGAGGGAGAGAGATTAGTTACTCAGAGATTAAAGGACAGAGGTCTCTCATGTGCTGCTCTCCCAGTGGCTGCGATGGCCGAGGCTAGGCCAGCAGGAGCCACAGGTCTGGAGCTTCCTCCAGATCTGCTGGTTCTCTTGCACAGGAGCTGGGCCCAAGCACTGGGCTGTAGTCTGCTGCTTTCCCAGGTACATTAGCAAGGACGGGGTTGGAAATGGAGCATTCCAGACTCCTCCTGGCATGCACATGGGCTGCCACCAGGCATGAGGTCACTTAACCTGTTAGGCTATAGCACTGGCCCCTCCTTGTATAGATTTTACATTTGATCTTAGCTAAAAGACCAAGAAGCGATCCTTGTATAGATTTTTATAACACTGCTTTAACTCGTTCTTGAAACAAGCCGGGACATAAATGTTCGCTCTTGCCATTCCAGGTTATAAAAACTGTGGGCTGACGATGGAGCGTGGCGGTGCAGCGATGGTCCTGGGCCGGGGGCTAAGCCTGGGCAGCTGCTGCCCCCCTGCACCTCTCTTGTGCACGAGTCCTGTCACCGACAGACTCTGGCCTGCCCCTCTGCCCTCTTTCATCCATTTCTACTCACAACTTCTGCACCATTCTCTTCTCCCTCTACCCCGTACCCCAGATCTCAGAACAGAAGAACCCTGATACCAGGGCCTTTTTTAAAAAAAAGAGGTTTCTTGCCATGGTAGATGAATTGATGAATTGCACTGCACTGATTGGCATTCACCTGACCATTCCATAAAGGATTGTGAAACACTTTGGTTGTTTTTGAGGTTTTCATACCCTCTTAGAGCTGTTTCTGCTTCAGAAGCGACATGTTGTCTAAAACCTCCAACCCTGGCTAAACATATAAAACATCACAGTGGCTCCTCCTCGTACTGGGGACTTCAGTAAAGTCCCGAGGAATGGGGTGGATTTGAGCAGGGGGCGACCCTCAGTATAAGAATTTTGTATGAGCCAAGTTCCATTTCCTTGAATCTAGTATTTTAGAAGCGGCAACACAGTGAACTGGAAAGGTGAAGTATGTGTCAGATGACATGGCCTCTGCTACCCGCCGTTGTCTGATCTTGGTGTTGAGCTGTGCGTTTCTGCTATACCTACGTGCTGCAAGGTTTGCTGTTAAGACTTAGGCCTGTGGCATTCAAGTAACCCTCAGTTGTATTTTGCTTCCTTTAATGTCTAATTTTTATGTTAAACTTATCATTTATCATTATCTATATCGTTTGGTTGTAGACATCTTTGTTTCATACTTCTGATTGCGGTATATTTCGTTTAGTTTAGAACTATACTTAAAACTATTTTAAGCTACAGAGTATATATTTGAAAGTTATTTTTAGTGATAAAAACTCACATGTAAGAATGTGCATTGCATTTGGTCCTTTGCTGCTTTCCCCGGCCATAAGCAGGAAGCTGGATGGCAAGTGGAGCAGCCGGGGCACGAACCGGCGCCCATGTGAAGAGCAGGATCACCTGCTGCACTCCCACACGGCCCCTTGGTGATCTCTCACGACTCTTGCTTTTTCCTTGGTGATCTCATCCAGGCCCGTGACTTACCTGATTTCTAATTTTTTGCCTGCTACTTCCAGTTCCTGGTGTGAACTCAGAAGTTGTAGATCCAACCACTTGCTCAGTCTAATGAATGTCTAATAGACATTTCAAACCTGTTAAGTTAAAAACTGAATTGTTGCTATTTACTCTCAGGTCAGCATATCATCCAGTCTTCCTCTGTCAGCTGATGGCAGCTGCAGTGACCGCCCCCCCCCCAAAAAAAACCTTTTGGGTCATCCAGGACTCATCCTTTTCTTTCACATCCTGCATCCAAAATATTGGGAAATCATAATGACTCCCCTTCAGCACAAATGCAGATCCAGCTGCCGTCATGGCGTTCACCACTGTCCCGTGCATCCTCTGATGCCCTGTGCCAGCTTCCCAAGTGGGTTCCCCATTCCATGCTATAAAATACAGCAGTGAGAGTGGCCTTTTAAAATCTCAGCTAAGAGTAAGTTATTGCTCTGCTTCGGTGGCTCTTATCTCACTCAGAATAAAACCCTGGGAAAGGCATTTGGCACCCCAGCTTAAATCACCACTCGAGAGGCCCTCCCGCTCTCTCCCTAATGCAGTGCTTGGTTTGATTCCCAGGCTGCCACTCTGCTTTGGATCCAGCTTCCTGGCAATGTGTGTCCTGGAAATGCAGTTGGTGATGGCTCACGTGCTTGAGTCCTTGCCGCTCTGATGAGAGACCCACATCAACTTCAGCTTGCCCTGTGTTGGCTCTTGTGGCCTTTGCATTAGTAGATGGAAAACCTCTCTCTCTCTCTCCTCCTTCCTCACTCTCACTCACACACACACACACACACACACATACACAGACACAAACACACGCACACTTTAAAATTAAAGGATTAAAAAAAAATAACTGCCCGGAGTGTATAGTCATTCCATAAGGACTTCCTTGCTGTGGCTTGTGTCACCATTCTGGCCTTATCTGCCACTCCGCCCTTGCCTCCTTGTTGACGGATCACATCAGTTCAGTCTCTTTGCCCTGGCTCTTGCCCCTTGGCTGGGTGCTCTCAGGTCAGCCTCTCCATGCTGTCCCCTGGGCCGTTCTTGCGGAAGTTGAGCACAGCTGCTCGGCACGCAGTCCCACGTCCTGCCCTGCTGGGCTGCCCTCTAGTCTTCAGGCACACTTAGCACCTTTGAGCGCACCATGCAGCTCACTTACTCTTGTGCTTTGTGGCTGTCTCTCCTCAGTGATGTCTCAACGGGAAATGGATTTGGTCTCCCCTGCTTTATTCACTGATAGTTCTCGGGGTCCTTGAATAGTGCCTGCACATGGCAATATGTGAAATACGCATTTCTTCTATGAAAGTGCAAATAAATTCTTAGGAGATACATACCATACGTTTTTACCAACGAATCTTATCATTGTGATTTAAAAATGTATAGTAGAATATAGAACACATTCATGAATTGTAAGTTTTGGGTTGTAGTTTTTCATAAAGAAAAAAAAAGATAGTTCCAGATGTGCTTCTTTTTTCTAAAATTTCAGCATCGATTGTGGAGGGTCAGAAAGGCATCATTCCTCGAGCTATCCAAGAAATATTCCAAACCGTTTCTGAAAATCCTAGCATTGACTTCGATATCAAAGTGTCCTATATTGAAGTCTACAAGGAAGAGCTAAGAGACCTGCTAGAATTGGAGCCCTCCATGAAGGACCTTCACATCCGGGAAGACGAGAAGGGAAACACAGGTGAAGCTGCCCCTGCACTGTGCCTCCACTGGAGACAGACTCCTGCAGTTCTAGATACACTCCAAATTTTTTTTTTTTAAATAAGAATAAAATGTGTTTTTACTTTTAAGTGGAATAGTTTATTGAGTATCAGTCTCAGTTAAGTTATTGAGGTGAAAAAGCAGGAGTTCAGACTAGGTGGGAAGCTGAGCTATTCGTTTGTAATTCACAGTGTGGATCTCTGTTGCCCCTCTTAGGTGAGGCTCCTGAAGGCTGTTTGCTTCCTGCTCTAAGCATTCCCCCGAGGTTAGGGGTGTCTTCTAGGTCTTCGTCTAAATTGGCTGAGAACTCCAAACTCCTCCTTTCTGATTTTTCCCAGCTCTCCCTTTTCATCCTTTTTTCTTTGTTTTGTTGTGGAGTTTATATTTCTGCTTCTCCATGTTAACGTTTACCTGCCCTTTGTCGTGCTGTTTCGGGTCTGATTTCCTGTGCTAGCAACCTGCTAATCTCATGAACTAATAAGACCCATCTGTTTGGAAACGGAAGTCAGACTGAGGCCAAATGCAGATTTTTTTTTTAATTTATTTGAGTTACAGAGACAGAAAGAGAAGAGAGGTGTCTTTTCTGATTCATTTTCCAGTTGGCCACAGTGGCCAGGCGGAAGCCATGGGTGAGGAGCTTTAGCCGTGTCACCCACATGGGTGCAGGGACGAGATGCCGGGGCCACCCCCTGCTTTGTTCAGGTCACCAGCTGGAAGCTGCATCAGAAATGGGACAGCAGGGGCGTGAACTGGCTCCTGTATGGGATACCCGGATACCAAGTGGCAGCTTCCCTTGCAGTGCCACAGCTCTGGTCCCAAATGCAAGTATTCTAAAGAACAAGTTCTGCCCCTTTGCTTTTAGAACTGATACCTCGTTGAATGTTTTGAAAACAGGAAAGGGTAAAGAAGAAAGGTAAAGAAAACCTTTACCGCTAGTACCCAGAACTATTGATTTAAAAATATTGATTGTGTGAGAGAAGGCATGTGCAGGTGCGATGTCCTGGCTGAGACCCCAGACGGCAGCCCTGCTGGAGCCCGGCTGCATGAAGCCGGGAGCTGGAACCTGCGCGCTGAATCCAGGCTCGCTCCCAGGCTGCAGCAGCTCGGTGCTTTGCGCCTTCACCTGTTAACTCCCAGGGGCCTCGTTAGCAGGCTGAGGTCAGGAGCTGGAACTGAATATCAAACCCAGACGTGACGTGGCATCCTGACTGCTAGATTCTTTTTTTAAGATTTGTTTATCAGAAAGTCAGGTACACAGAAAGGAAGACAGGAAGATCTTTCGTCCGCTGATTCACTCCACAATTGACCGCAATGGCCAGAGCTGAGCCGATCTGAGACCAGGAGCCAGGAACTTCCAGGTCTCCCGTGTGGGTGCAGGGTCCCAAGGCTTTGGGCCATTCTTGACTGTTTTCCCAGACCATAAGCAGGGAGCTGGATGGGAAGCAGGACCACTGGGATTAGAACCTGTACCCATATAGGATCCCGACGCGTGCAAGACGAGGACTTTAAGTACTAGGCTACCACATTGGACCCCCTAACTGCTAGATTTAATGTCTGCTCTTAGAAATAGTAATTTTGGGGTATATTTCTCTTTTTTTTTAATTTAACTGTGAATTTTTCGTAATATAGCTCTACCTCTTCCACCCTCCTCTCTTTCCTTGGGGTGTGTTTTCTTTCCAGATTTATTGTTCTGTATACACGTAATTTTAAAAATAACATACAACTCTGCCTATAGTTTGATATTTTGTTTTTATATTGAATGTGAGTTTTTCATTACACATTTTTCAAACTCATGATTGTTTATAGTAATATAGCAATGAATGATGTGTTACAGTAATTTAATATTTTGTCATTGGACAGTTAGGCAGTTTCCAAGTTTTAATTATTGGTAGCATTGCCATGCCTGTCCTAAGCCATCCCCCTCCTGTGGAAAGCACCCAGGGGACAGAGCTGGAGCCTGTCCAGGAGTACTTCCCGGAGGGGATTCTCAGCAATTGGAAAAGTCAGTGGCAGCCCACCAAGGGGCTGGTGAGATTTGTGTTCTGGTAGCCCTGTCCTTAGTATCCCTGTAATTCCTGCTGGTTTGAAGAAATTGGTTTTTATTGTTTGTTAGAAAGGAAGTGAATATGGCCATTTCTAGACTGATTTGTTAATTCAATCTTGGTTTATTTTTTCCAGATAGAATTCAGACTAATGTTTTGAGCTTTTCTGTCTTGTATAAAATGTAATTTTTAAAAAAGACTTATTTTATTGCAAAGTCAGATATACAGAGAGGAGGAAAGACAGGAAGATCTTCTGGCCGATGATTCACTCCCCAAGTGAGCACAACGGCCGGTGCTATGTCGATCCGAAACCAGGATCCAGGAACTTCTTCTGGGTCTCCCACACGGGTGCAGGGTCCCAAGGCTTTGTGCCGTCCTCAACTGCTTTCCCAGGCCACAGGCAGGAAACTGGAAGGGAAGCAGGGCTGCCGGAATTGGAACCAGCACCCATGTGAGATCCCGGTGTGTGCAAGGCGAGGACTTTAGCCACTAGGCTACTGTGCTAGGCCCAAGAGTGATTTAATATTAATGAAACAGTGGAGAAATTTAGTTATTTAGAATTTTTAAAGATTTGTTTCTTTTTATTGGAAAGTCAGATTTACAGAGAGGAGGGGATATAAGATCTCCCATCTGCTGGTTCACTCACTAAGTGGTCACAATCAGCAGAGCTGAGCCAATCTGAACCCAGGAGCCTCCTCTGGGTCTCCTAAGCGAGTACAGGGTCCCAAGGCTTTGGGCCATCCTCTACTGCCCTCCCAGGCCACAAGCAGGGAACTGGAAGGGAAGTGGAGCAGCTGGGATACAAACTGGCACCCATATGGGATTCCAGCATATACAAGATGAGGACTTGAGCCACTAGGCTACTGTACCAGGCCCCTGATTTTCTTTTTCTTTCTTCTTCCTCCTTTTTATTTATTTTTTAATTTAAAAAGCAGAGTTACGGAGAGAGAAGGAGCCAGAGAAATCTCTTATCTGCTGGTTCTCTCTCCAACTGGTTGCAGTGGCTAGAGTTGGACTGGTCCAATGCCAGGATCCAGAGCTTATTTTTGGGCTCCCATGAGGGTGCAGGGACCAACCACTTGGTCCATCCTTTGCTGTTTTCCTAGGATTAACAGAGAGCTAAATTGGAGCTGGACCGCCAGGAGGCAAACCAATGTCTGTATGGGCTGCCGATGCCAAAGAGGAGGCTTAGCTTGCTCTATCAGGGTGCTGGCTCCGCAAGAAAGTGAACTTATGAAAATTGCTGCTAATTAGTTTTGCGTTTAATTCTTTTTTAAATAAAGGGTTTTTTTTGTTTGTTTTGTTTTTGATTTACTTGAAAGGCAGAGTTAGAGAGGGAATGGAAGTCAGAAAGATCTCCATCCACTGCTCACTCCTCAGAATGGCCACGACAGGCAGAGTGGGGCTGATCCAAAGCCAGGAGATAGAGCTACTTTTGGGTCTCCCATGTGGGTGCAGGTACCCGAGGACCTGGGCCATCTTCCACTGTTTTCTTAGGTGTGTTCACTCCCCAAGTGAGCCGCAACGGCAGATGCTATGCCGATCCGAAGCCAGGAGCCTCTTCCGGGTCTCCCACATGGGTGCAGGGTCCCAAGGCTTTGGGCTGTCCTCCACTACTTTCCCGGGCCACAGGCAGGGAGCTGGAAGGGAAGCGGGGCTGCCGGGATAGAACCGGCGCCCATATGGGATCCCAGGCGTGCAAGGCGAGGACCTTAACCACTTGCGCCACCGCGCCGGGCCTCTTAGGTGTGTTAATAGGCAGCAGGATTGGAAGTGGAGCAGCTAGGACTTGAACTGGCACCTATCCGGGATGCCAGCATCACAGATGACGGCTTTACTCATTCTGCCACAACACTGGCCCCAAGTTATATACTTTATTAATCTATTTTCTTTTACATTAAGTAATTAATTATTACAAATCAAAATACTAAAGTTTTTCATTTGTTTTAAGGAACCTAATTTTTTTTTAAAGTTCATCTTTTAGTTTCACCATCAAAATGAGTGCTATTAAAATTAGCTTCTTAAGGCCCGGCGCAGTGGCGCAGTGGTTAAGGTCCTCGCCTTGCACGCCCAGGATCCCATATGGGCACCGGTTCTATCCCGGCTGCCCCGCTTCCCTTCCAGCTCCCTGCCTGTGGCCCGGGAAAGCAGTCGAGGACGGCCCAAGGCTTTGGGACCCTGCACCCACGTGGGAGACCCAGAAGAAGCTCCTGGCTTCGGACCGACATAGCATCGGCCATTGCGCTCACTTGGGGAGTGAATCATCGGACGGAAGATTTTCCTCTCTGTCTCTCCTCTCTGTATACCCGCCTTTCCAATAAGAAAATAATAAAAATAAATCTTTAAAAAAAATTAGCTTCTTAAAGAAAATTTTTTTTAAAAATTAGCTTCTTTGGGCAGTGTTTAACATTTTAAATACTATGTTGGTGATGGTACTATTATTTGAAATGCTTTTGGGGGGGGGGTGGTTTAAGAGATTATCTTGGCCAGGCTGTTTAGCAAATAAGTGTTGTGTGGTTTACTTAACCATCCTGGCTTTTGATGCCAACCTGGTTTTAAAAACTTGCCCTTGCTGTTTTAAGTGATTGTCGGGGCCAAGGAGTGCCATGTGGAGAGTGCAGATGAAGTTCTGAGTCTTTTGAAGATGGGGAATGCGTCCAGACACACAGGCTCTACACAAATGAACGAGCACTCCAGCCGATCACATGCCATTTTCACAATCAGCATCTGTCAAGTGGAGAAGAGTGTGGAGGCGGCCGAAGACGGATCATGGCATCCCCGGCCTGTTGTTTCAAAGTTCCACTTTGTGGATTTGGCTGGATCCGAGAGAGTAACCAAAACGGGCAACACTGGTGAACGGTTCAAAGAATCCATTCAAATCAACAGTGGGCTGTTGGCTTTGGGAAATGTGATAAGCGCTCTAGGGGACCCACGCAGGAAGAGTTCCCACATTCCATACAGGGATGCTAAGATCACCCGGCTCCTGAAAGATTCCCTCGGAGGCAGTGCCAAGACTGTCATGATCACATGTGTTAGCCCTTCGTCTCTGGATTTTGATGAGTCCTTAAATTCTCTCAAATACGCCAACAGAGCACGGAATATTAGAAACAAGCCCACCCTGAACTTTAGCCCTGAGTCAGACCGGATGGATGAGATGGAATTTGAGATTAAGCTGCTTCGAGAAGCTCTGCAGAGCCAGGCTGGGATCAGCCAGACGGGCCCAGTCCTTCGGGAAGGGACTCCTGATAAAAATCGGATCTGTTTTCTTGAGGAGCAAGTGGCTCAGTTACAAGGAGAATGTCTGGGCTACCAAAACTGCATAGACGAAGCCTTCACCTTCCTGGTGGACTTAAAAAATGTTGTCAGACTAAGCCAGAAGCAGCAGCACAAACTGCAGGAGTGGTTTAATACAACCCAGGAAATCAGAAAGGCCGTCCTCGCCTCGTTCCGGGGAAACCGAGGCCTTGCAAATCTAGAGGAAGGACCCCAGCACGTTTCCGTCCTCCAGCTGAAGAGAGAGCTGAAGAAATGCCAGGTCTGTAGACATGACTTGTACGTGTGACTGTGTTACACGCTAAATTTGTCTGTGCAGGAAGGTTTTTCACAGGGTTTTGTGTCAGAGCACTTTTCTCTGCTTCCTTCTGCCCTCTGTATTCTTGCCGCTTCCTCCTGACGAGTCATCCCTTTCTTGGCACCTCCTTTTCCTCTCTTTGGTTAAAATGTATTATAATTTGTTGCATTTATTTAATAGAACCACACAGAGCTGGAAGCCACTTTAGGGAATGATAAGAAATACATTTTCAGAAAAAAAAAAATTATATTATTATTTCCTCAGTTTTTCTACCCGTATGGCTCAGTGGTTTTTGAAAGGAAAAAAAACTGTATATTTTGAATTTATAGATTCAAAAAACAAGCAAATCAATGTCTTTGGCAATACTTAAGGAATATAACTATGTATATATATGTATATTACACATATGCTGAGATCCAGAATTAACTTTTTTTTTCATAAAGAACACTTGTATTTAACATTTTTTGTTGTTGTTGATTTAAATTTCATTTTATATGAAGGACAGAGAGAGACAGAGCTCTGCTCTTTCATTCCCCAAACGCTCCCAATAGCAGAAGTGGCCAGACTGAAGCTAGGGCTTGCATCTCCCACAGACGGGCAGGGGCCCATGTGCTGGAGCCGCCACCTGCTGCCTGTCAGGGTCACGTTAGCAGCAAGCGGGGATCTGGAGCAGAGCTGTGCATGTGACATTATCGGTGCCCTTGGCTTTGACACAGACACCATGAAAGAGTTTGGGGGTCTCTCTGGAGCCAACTGTGAGAACCATTGGTCTGTTACTAACAGTTGAATATTCAAATGTAAGCGTTAAGGTAATCCTTTTAAAATTATGAGGTTTTTTTTTAAAGGTAACAACTACCCTATTTCTTCACTTCTTTGTGTAAGCAGTGATGGTGCAGCAAGTGTTGGTAACTGGTAACTTGAATTTTGGAGTGTATATAGAAAATACTTTTTCTTCATGTTTCTAAGATAGTTGAAATTGGAAGCTCAGAAAACTTGGAGTTGGGTGATTAGTAACTACTCTTATACTGGTTGGAAACTGAATCTTCAATCGTGCTGAGTTTTCTAAAGAGCATGGCCTTTTTGTCTCGTTCTCCCTGTTTAAATATTTTTTGTTGGAATGGCAGATTCACAGAGAGAGGGAAAGAAGGAGAGAGAGAAGGAGCTTGCATCCGCTGGTTCACTCGCAATTGGTCACAATGGCCAGAGGTGAACAGATCTGAAACCAGGAGCCAGAGCACCCCTCCAGATCTCCCACATGGCTATAGGGTCCCAAGACTATGGGCCGTCATCTGCTGCTTTTCAAGGTCACAAACAGGGAGCTGGAGAGGAAGTGGAGCGGCCAGGACACAACCCTGTGCCCTGGGATGCCGGCATTTGGAGGTGGAGGATTAGCTGGTTGAGCCGACACACCAGTCCTTAGATGTGTCTCTTAGATGGTCTTGAAAAAGAGTATCCAGATTATTTTTGGGGAAATGCTAGATTGCAGAAAGAAAAAAAAAATTCTTTGTTGTAAGACATCTCAGAACTTTGAAAATGCTCATGAATATTAAAAATCTTAAAATGAAATAACAGTATTTTCAGTTTTTCAGAAGTCAAGCCAGGCATTGTAACGTAGCATCCGGAACTTCTGCTTAGGGCGCCTGGATCCCATATTGGAATCCTGGGGTTCATGTCCCACGTTCACTCTGCATCTGGCTTTCTGCTTACGCCCAGCCTGGGAGGCAGCAGGGGTGTCTCAAGTACGTGTGGGTCCCTGTTGCCCATGAGGGAGATCCTGTGGGGCTTGTGGCTTCTGACCTCAGCAGGGCCCAGCCCTGGCTATGTGAGGCATTAAAATTGTTTGAAAATGGATTCACTTGTTTTGTCTAGAATCTTGTGAGAAGATAATCTACTGTGTCTCTTAAAAAAATGTTTTTTTACATTTCCTTTCTTCTTTTTTCTTCTGTGGGGCAGAGGGACATAATAGTTAAAAAGTTGGGTTCAAAAGTCCCCGGGTTTAAATCCTGCTCCCTAGCTCCTGGACCTGAGGCAAACCCTTCCCCTCTCTGTGCTTCCGTCTCCTAGTACGTAAGATGGAAGCAGTAACAATCTTGTGAAAGCATTAATTCATGCAGAGCGGTGGGAGGGGCGCCTGTCTGGTGGCACAGCAGTCATCCTCTGATGATGCCCTCCCGTGTCTTCCTCCTCTGTTTGTGCCCAGGATGTGCAACAGTGGCAGCTACAAGGGTTGCCCTCACTGGAGGTGGGCGGTAAGAATGCTTGCCCAAGACAAGATGAAAGGCTCTTCATAGACTGCTGAAGTATTGCTAGGAAAGTAAATGACTGTGAAATTAGCAGCATCTTTCTAGAAACTGCCAGTGTTCTAACCTTGGTTTTTCACCTCTAGTAAATTATTGAAACACTGCATACTTTCTTTTTTTTAATTATATTTTTGGCAATTTTTACAGTGTTAATTAGGGTAAAAAGGAGCAAGGGCTATAGGAAAGTGGGTAAGACCACTATTTCCCTATTGTTTCCTTCATATATCTGAAGTAAAGGGAATATTGAGGGAGAAGCCCCACCCAGTCTCCCACCCTCCCCAGGTCCTGGATGTAGGGCATGCTCTGAGATCGTTGCTCAAGTGGTTTTGATAGATCACCAGTTATGAATCACTGCCAGTCTTGCCACTCCAGGCACGATGAGGCTGTTGAAGAATCCACTGATTGACATAGTCCATCATAGTCTCCATTTGTCCAGTATTTCGCTGCCAACGTATAGCTGAGGTGGTTGATTGACCTGTTCTATCTTCCGTCTTGGTTAGGGTTCTGAGTTCGCCATTTCGATTGGAGGGATCCCCAAAGAAACTTTGAGGTATTCCCAGACCAGATTCCTATATGTACTAGCAAGTATAGGGCCCGTCACAGTCCAGCAACCCGATCAGCTGGTGATTGCAACTGCTGGGTTGGTTCTGTTTCCAACCCTGACTTCCACTGGAACCAATGGGTGTTGCAGTCCATCCTGGCTCTGCCCATCACATACTCAGCCCTCACTTAAACCAGTGGGAGCTGCAGCCTAGTCAGAACGGCCCACAGTAACCCCCACCAGGCCCGCCCCTACCCTGGTTTGCCAGTATGTGCAGCAGACTAGTCCAGTCTGCCTCATATCCCATTTGGCTCTTGTAAATGTCCAAGGGTATACCAGCTCAACTATCCAGCCCTCACAGATGTTGTTGAGTGCCTCTCTGTCTAGCCACCCCAGCCCCTATCCTAGTTATTTTGTGCCCTCCTATGGGAGGAAACACTGCACACTTTCATAAATAAATCTTAAGGGATATACTTGCTTTATTTATTCCAGAATTGGAGCACAGGAAGAGTATGTGGAGATAATATATAGAAAACTATAACATATAAATATTAGATGAAACTGTTATAAAGCATATATAAAATAAATATTCAGAATCTGAATATAATTTAAGTTTCTCACATAATTAGTTCCCCATGGAATAAAGATATCATCTATTAACAATTAAATATTTTATTACTATTATTATTATTTTAAAAAGACATTTATTTGAGAGGCAGAGTTACAATGAAAAGGAGGGAAAAAGAGCAAGCATCCATCTGCTGGTTCATCCCCAAATGCCTGGACTGGCTGGGCTGGATGAATGTGAAGGCAGGAGCTTCTTTTGGGTCTCCCACGTGGGTCCAGGGTACCAAGCAGCTGAGCCATCCTCTGCTCCTTTCCCACACTCATTAGCAGGGAGCTCGGTCAGAACTAGAGCAGCTGGGGCTTGAACTTGGTTCCCATATGGGATGCCAGTGCCTCAGGTAGTGCCTTCACCTATGGCATGTATTTTCTAGAATGCAGAAGTCCTGCAGTTTCTGCGGTTGTATCACAATGTAAGAAGGACCTTGATCCATGTGCTTTCTGCTTCTTTTGTCATTTAAGGATCCCATGTAGAGGAAAAAAGGGTGGGCCCACTTGCTGGGTGGGCATTTAGCCTAACAGTTAAGATACTGGTTAAAAATGCTTACATCTCATATCAGAGTACCTGTGTTTGATATCTGGTTCTTCCTTTTCGCTGCAGACCCTGGTTCCTGGCACCCTCATGGGAGACCCGGATTAAGTTCCCAGCCCCTGGCTTCAGTCAAGCTCAGCTTCATCTGTTGCTGACAATTGGGGAATAAACTAGCAGATGAGAGCCCTCTGTCTCTCTGCTTTTCAGATATATAAATAAATAAATAAATAAATCTTAGGACAATTCTCACAAACTTACAAACATCTTATTGAATGTTCTTTAGGATCTCAGTAACTCACAGTGTTGGCGTAATGGTTCAACTAGCTAATCCTGTGCGCTTGCCAGCTCTGGCGTTACACGACAGTGTGTGTCCTGGCTGCTCCACTTTCCCATCCAGCTCCCTGCTTTCCAAAACAAACAACCAAGCAAACATCTTTTATAAAAAAAATTTTAAAGTTTGATTTTTATTGAAAAGGCAGAATTACAGAGAGGAGAGAGAATGATCTTGTCCCCACTGATTCACTCCCCAAATGGCCACAGCTGAGGCAATCTGAAGCCGGGAGCTTCTGAATCTCCCACGCTGGTGCAGGGGCCCAAGCCCTGGGCCATCCTCTGCTGCTTCCCAGGGCATAAACAGGGAGGTGGATGGGAAGTGGAGCAGTTGGGACACAAACCAGCACCCATATGGGATCCTGGTGCATACAAGGTGAGGATTTAGTCACTAGGCCATCTTGCCAAGCCCCCCAAATAAATAAATCTTAAAAAAAAATAACCTTAGTAACTCAGATTTTCATTTAGAAAAAATAAAAAAATCAAGAAGACATTTATGTCTTCATGGTAATTAATTCCTATATTATAGCAATGATAGATTCTGTTTCTTAGAAAGAAGACAGAAAAACCTGAAAATGAAAATGTTAAGAAAATATAAGAGACACCAACAAGCTGTCATCAGCTGTTTGTGCGGCGGTACGTGGACTCTGCTGAGTATTTTCTGTGTGGATATCACCTGCACCTTCTTTCCCTCCTAGTGTGCACTTGCTGCTGACGAAGTTGTCTTTAATCAGAAGGAGCTTGAAGTGAAGGAACTAAAGAATCAAGTGCAGATGATGGTCCAGGAAAATCAAGGACATGTTGTATCTTTGAAAGAAGCACAGAAAGTAAATAGATTGCAGGTAGGGTTTCTTGATGTATCTAGCTCTATAAATTGAGTTAAATGGTACCTAATCACATCGGATAGCATCTTCAATGATGAATAAAAATGCTTCCAAAAAGTGTTTTAGTTGAAGAATTCAGAACATACGTTCTTGAAAAAAAATCATTATAGTTTTGCCCCCAAATCAGCTTAAAAGCAAAGCATTTTTATTGTTAGCTTCGCTTCTGTTTCACAGATATAAAGATAATTCCCAGGAATTTGAAGATTGTGTTTCGGTTGTTTTTCCAAGCTTCTCCCCACCTCCTGTTGTTTGCCAAAGTTCTATCCAATACAGTACTGTTGAGTTGGAAAGTAAGCAAACAGTTTAAACTTTTAAATTTGTTATCCTTTTGCAACCCATGTGTGCTTTGCTATTTTTTAATATTTGTTTTTTATTGGAAAGTCTTATATACAGAGAGGAGGAGAGAAGAGAGGAAGATCTTCTTTCTGTTGATTCACTCCCCAAGTGGCTACAATGTCCAGAGCTGTGCTGATCCTAAGCCAGGAGCCAGGATCCTCTTCTTGGTCACCCATGCAGCTGCAGAGTCCCAAGGCCTGTTTTCCCAGGCTACAAGCAGGGAGCTGGATGGGAAGTGGAGCAACTGGGATTAGAACTCGCGCCCATATGGAATTCCAGTGCATGCAAGGGGAGGACTTTAGCCACTAGGCTACCTCGCCGGGCTGTGTGCTTTGCTTTTTAACTTTGGTCAAGTCTGTCTAATTCCCTAAGCTTGCCTAATATTAACATGGATAGGCATGCAGAATAGCGTGGTATAATAAACATACTCCCTGACTGTGATTTCTCCCATCCCTGAATAGTTAATGTCATCTCAGGCTTTCAGCTTCCTGTCAGAGAGGAACTAAAGCCTTCAGAAATAATGTGATCCAGCACATATTGGATTTTGATTTTGACATTTTTTCCCCTTCATAACATTTGTGGTTGTGCAATAAGTTCAAAACATTAACAAAATGTATGCAATCCAGATGTACTGTTCAGTTATTTACGAATGGGAGTACAGCTGGGTAACCATGCCTACCTAGGTCAAAGGTCGGAAGCAAATCCCCAGAAGTCTGCCGTGCCTCCTTCTAATCCCTGTCCTCCCCTCAGAAAAAGCTGCTCCCCTGACTTGAGTGGTTTTGGTCATTTCCTTGCTTCTCTTAAATTTTACCATCTCTGGATTAATCCTTAGCCACCAAAGTTCAGTTTTTGGAAGTTTAATATAGTTACTCAATATGCATTCAGTATTATGGTCCTTTGATTGAAACAGTAATGCATGTATCTGTGTGTGTGACTTGTTTTTGTGTATTTTCTTGCACCGGTTATAAATATTTCTTTCGGATTTGTGTCTGAGAGTTGAACTGGTGTATCATGGGTTGATATAAAGTCTCTAGTAGGTTAACCCAGTCTGTTTTCATTTGATGTGTGTTCTCACCACCTCAAGTGTTTGTTATTTGTTTTTTTAAGATTTTCTTATTTTCATTGCAAAGTCAGATATATAGAGAGGAAGAGAGACAGAGAGGAAGAGCTTCCCTCAGATGATTCACTCCCCAAGTGGTTGCAATGGCTGGAGCTGTGCCGATCTGGAGCCAGGAGCCAAGAATCTCCTCCTGATCTCCCACGTGGGTGCAGGGTCCCAAAGCTTTAGGCCATCCTCAACTGCTTTCCCAGGCTACAAGCAGGGAGCAGGATGGGAAGTGGAGCTGGCAGGATTAGAACCAGCACCCATATGGGATCCTGGTGTGTTCAGGGCGAGGACTTTAGCCACTAGGCCACGCCGCTGGGCCCAGGAAAGACAGATTTAAAAAGAGAAGGAGAGACAGAAAGATTGCATCCACTGGTCTACTCCTTAAGTAGCTGCAGTGGCTGGAAATGAGCCAATTCGAAGCCAGAAACTTGGAGCCTCTCCCAGGTCTCCCACACGGGTGCAGGGTCCCAAGGCTTTGGGCCATCCTTAACTGCTTTACCAGGCCACAAGCACAGAGCTGGATGGGAAGCAGGGTCGTTGGAATTAGAACCAGTACCCATATGGGAACCCAGCACATTCAAGGCGAGGACTTCAGCTACTAGGTTATTGCACTGGACTTCTCTCACCATTGCTTTTCAATCAGCTGTGTACATTATCAGCCAGAGTGTGAGGGTGAGCAAATAGTGCAAGTTTGATTCCTTTAGATTCTTTTTCTCACCTTGTATTTGCTAACATCTCCAATACAGTGTCATGCCCAAAGGGTGATAACAGGTGTCCTTGTATTTTTGCTTCTATCATAGAGGAAAAACTTTCAACATTACGCTATGAGGCATCTATACAATACTTTCTGCTGAAGATTTTTTTTTTTAATTTACCCTTTATCAAACTTGGTAAAATTTCATGGCTGAAACTTTTTATTAGAAGTGGATATTAGAGAATTATGATTCCTTTTGAAGGACTACACCATTGTAGTAGAATGGGGAAAGTCCGTCAGGGGGTGGGAGTTTGGTGGGGAATCCCAGCCTATACAGAATTGTGCCATATAATTCAAAATTCAAAATAAAAATGTTTTTAAAAAAGGAGAAGAGGATATTGGGGGCAAATGTTTGGTGCAGTGTGAAGCCCTCACTTAACATCCCTGCATCCCACATTGGAACACTTTGGTTCAAGTCCTGGCTCTGTCCCTCTGTTCCGTTTCCCACAAGGGACATCCTAGGAGGCAGAGGTCATGGCTCAGGTAGCTGGTGCTTGCTACCCACACAGGAGACTCGGAATGAACTCCAGGTTCCTGGCTTTGGCCTGGCCTAGGCCTGGCCACTGTGGGCATTTGGAAAAGAGACCTTTGTCTGTCTGTTCTTCTGTCTCTACTTTTCAAATAAATTAGTTAGACATTTAAAACTAGCACATATTAGATTTTATCAAATGACTTTCTAAATCATGATAAATTTCTCCTTGGTTCTGTTAATGTGGTTAGTTACATTGATCTTTTTAGAAAATAATTTACTTTTTTAAGGAAAAGATTTAGTTATTCTTATTTGAAAAGCAGATTTATATAGAGAGAGGGAAAACTGTCTAGAGAGAGACTTCCTGGAGAGAAAGATCTTCCATCTGCTGATTCACTTCCCAAATGGCTGAAGCTGGAGCCAGAAGCTTCTTTTGGGTCTCCCACATGGGTGCAGGGTACCAAGCAGCTGAGCCATCCTCTGCTCCTTTCCCACACTCATTAGCAGGGAGCTTGGTCAGAAGTAGAGCAGCTGGGGCTTGAACTTGGTTCCCATATGGGATGCCAGTACCTCAGGTAGTGCCTTCACCTATGGCATGTATTTTCTAGAATGCAGAAGTCCTGCAGTTTCTGCGGTTGTATCACAATGTAAGAAGGACTTGATCCATGTGCTTTCTGCTTCTTTTGTCATTTAAGGATCCCATGTAGAGGAAAAAGGGACTTGTTGGGTTTGGCATTTTGATTAGCAGTTAAGACAGTCGAAGCCAGGAGCCTAGGCCATCTTTCACTGCTGTTACAGACACAGCATTCTAAGACAATTTCACACTACATATCAGCCTTCTGGCACAAGATCAGAATTCCAAATAAATTTGAACATGATTGTTACTGAATGTGTATAGCTTTTACACATCTGTAAAGTCAGCACGTCATTAGGTTGAAGCATTGTATCAGAAACCATCCATGTGGTGGTTGAGATGCTATGGTTTGTGTCTTTTTCATAATATTCTTAGATTTTGGCTTCCTAATATAGGTAAAAGTAATATCCTCTCACCTTTTTATCTGGAAGGAGTTAGGAAGAATGGATGTGATTTCATAGGACGTTCAGCTGAATTTACACATGTAAAGCATTTTGGACTGAAATTTTTTATGGGAACATTTTGATTTATGAATATAATGATAGTTACTTTTTCTCTCAGTTTTAGAAAGATTTTTTTTAATTTTTAGAAATTTGTTCATTATATCCACATTTTAAAATGTGTTGACATGGACCTGGCACTGTGGCCTAACGGCTAAAGTCCTTACCTTACACACGCTGGGATCCCATTTGGGTGCCAGTTCTAATCCCAGCTGTCCTGCTTCCCATCTAGCTCCCTGCTTGTGGCCTGGGAAAGCAGTTGAGGACAGCCCAAAGCCTTGGGACCCTGCACCTGCATGGGAGACCTGTAAGAAGCTCCTGGCTCTTGGCTTCAGATTGGCTCAGCTCCAGCCGTTGCGGCCGCTTAGGGAGTGAATCATCGGATGGAAGTTCTTCCTCTCTGTCTCTGCTCCTCTCTGAATATCTGAGTTTCCAATAACAATAAATAAATCTATAAAAAATAAAAATAAATAAATGTATTGGCATGTTTGTTTATGGTAGCCCTTATCTCTTCAGTATCTTTAGCTGTGAGGTCGTATCCCCTTTTCTATTCTTGGTGGGTTTTGGTGCCTTCTGTCTCTTCCTTCACCTTCATCAGTTTTATTGCGGGTCTCCAATTGACCAGTGTGCTGGAAGAGACCATTTTGACTGTTGATTCTTTGTTGCATGTTTGTTCATTACCTCACTGTCTACCCTTTCAAATTTTTTTCCTCTCTGGAAGCCCTTCACTTGTGTTAGCTTTCTAAATTTTTTAGATGGATGCTAGTTTTCATAATCTTTGGCTTCTTCAATAATATATGTAAAGCTACATGTCTTTATAAGTTTATCTTTACTTGAATTCCACATTCAGTTGAAGAAGCTTATCTGTTTTGTTGTGAAAATGTTTGCGTCTGTGGGTTATAGAGTTATTTTGTGTGATTGGGAGATTTCTCTTTTATGTTGTTAATCTTGACTTGATGGCCCTGTGGCTAGACACCGTACTATGTCTGATCTTTGTCCATTGTTTTGGACTCTGCTTTTGGTTTAGCATTATGACAACTCTGATAGTTTCAGCGTGTCTGAAAAGAATGTGTATTTTTCAATCATTGGATGCTGTTATCTAAATCTGTGTTTTTCCCCACTGCTTCTTGTTTCCATTTTGACTTATTGGTAATATACAGAATGGTATTAAAATCTCCCCTTATGATTTCGGATTTGTCTGTTTTTCCATGGGCTACTACTGTTTTTTCAATGTCTGTGTGGAAGCTGTGCTAGAAGTGCATATGGGTTTAGAATGGTCAACCTTCTGGTAAATTGACCATTTGTTGACCTTTTTGAATTCTATAGCTTACTTTTAATGTTTACAGGACATCTTTTCCCAATTTATTTTTATTATTTTGTGACTGTTTTGCTTCTCTTATAAGCAGTATATAATTATTTAAATTTGCTATTCTGATAGTCTTTGCTCTTTTGAGTTATTTGATCCATTCATGAATTTAACATAATTACTATTGGATATTTTGCATTTTCAAATTATTTTCTCCTTAATTTACATGTATTTCATTCTTTAAGATTAATTTAATTGAAACAGCAGATATACAGAGAGAAGGAGAGACAGAGAGAAAGATCTTCTATCCACTGGCTCACTCCCCAAGTGATTACAACAGCCAGAGCTGAACCAATGCAAAGCCAGGATCCAGGAGCTTCTTCGGGGCTTTCCACCGGGTACAGGGTCCCAAGGCTTTGGGCCTTCCTCCTCTGCTTTCCCAGAGCACAAGCAGGGAGTTGGATAGGAAGTGGAGTGGCGGGGACACCAACCCTCACCCATATGGATAGCAGTGCTTGCAAGGGGAAGATTAACCAATAGTCATTGTGAAAGATCCAGAATTTTTTTTCTATTTTGATATAGCACATGTGAATTATTAAGAATTACATTTTTTGTTTCTGTAACTTTGTGCTTATAAAACAAAGACTGTTGTAGAGCTTTTTGGATTGAAAATGCTGTCAACATTCCAACTACCAGTTGGCTGCATTCTGTCCCTGTGCTTTGTGCTTGCTTTTCTTTGGAGTAAAGAGTCACCTGATCGCATCTGTTACAATCCATCCTCTGTCTAACTTTGCTGCAGCCTTTACTACCTGAGGTTCTTTCTCCACTTTTCAGCTTTCTTGTCTCTTTTCTTCAGTTTCACTCAGAAAGCCCACAGTTTTATAAAGACAGCTAATGAGAAGCGCTGTTGGTTGGCAGAGCAGCCAGTCATGGTGGGCGGGGCATTGCCTGAGTATTTGGCCTTTTTGCCTGGGTTTGTGCTGCTTCTATTACAAATGTGTTGCCTCTCAGCACAGTCCTACTAACTTAGGAACACAAGGAGACTGGTCTTTGGATAAATGGTGTTTAACTTTGTTGTTAAGGTAGTTGTGATTTTGGTCAATGTAAAATTTAAATATTAATATTAATCTGCATGTGTACTGAGGTTCTCTGTTTTCCAAATTCTTGTTTCTCTTCTGCAAAGAATGAAAAAATAATAGAGCAGCAACTTCTTGTGGATCAGCTGAGTGAAGAACTAACAAAACTTAACCTGTCAATGACTTCCTCAGCTAAGGAAAATTGTGGAGATGGGCCTGACGCCAGGATCCCAGAAAGGAGACCACATACTGTGCCATTTGATACTCGCTTGGGGCGTTGTATTTATATTCCCTCAAGACAAGATGCCAGGAAGGTAAAGTCCAGCCATTAATCTTTTTTATGTTTTGAGATTAAAAATATATAGAATATCCAATTCCATGCATATAGTCTCAATATTTTTGTTTGGTTTTACAGGATTTTCTACATATACTTTCTTTTAAATATGCTTCTTTTTTGTAAAAAAAAAAAAAGATATTGCATAATTACTTAGAAGAAATATTTGGATCAAAATGATGTCCACACTTCATCAGGGAAAAATCTGTGATTTGCCATTATATTTTCAGACATGACTAAGTCTGACATTTTGAAATTTCTTTATTCAGTTGGAGTGTGTTTATCTTCACTTATTTGGTCTGTCTTATTTTTAAAATGATATCTCTGTATTATTCAGTCTTGCAAGTTGGTATAATAAAGATATATGGGAAAGTTTATTAAAAGTACATGAAAATGTTTTAATTTTTATCTGTGTAACATATTGGGTGATAAATGTAAGCATACTCATATTTCTGTTGAAAAATTATCGATGACTCTGCTGTGGAAGAGAAGAGCTAGTAGGCTCTTGAATTTTTTTTTCTTTTTTGAACAATAAATAGCAAAGCACGATTTATTGAAAATGAGAATCTTGCTGCCATAGCAGTCAGGTCGGGTCTGCAGGGGAAGAGTTACCCTGAATTTTGGGCTCTATTCACCAATTTTCGAAGGGAAATGATGTGGAATCTACATGGTGGCGGCAGAGGGCTGAGAAATGTGACAGTCAAGTTGTCTGTGAGCAGTGTCAAACAGTGTCTGTAAGGACGGGGTACCATGGTGGGGCTGTCCGGAGGGTTCTGTGAGGTTCTATGAGGTTCTCTGAGGACAGTGCCCAGCGCGCTGGCCTCAACACGTGTCCCAGGCTTCAGTACCTCAGCGTGGAGGAGGCAGAGCAGGTACCACCCTTGTTTTTATGCTTTCATCAATTTTGAGATCGATTACAGTAGAAGCTTGCTTTTATTTAATATCTGCTCTGTACATATTGGAGGAAACGAACAAAAACTTTTATTTTTAAAGTGTATATAAAGTATATTATATGTCATAGCTAAACCACATAACTTAATAGGTTTGATTTAATTTTAATTGATTTGTTGATTTGTTTTTCTCATATACTTTCCCTACTGTTGGATATTTAAATTATATTTTGGTAGCTCTTATTATGAACAATCAAATACAAAATGGAATAATAGGATGTGACCTATGCAGAATTCTGAAAGAAACTGCCTGTAAACTAAGTAGTGTGCACATAAATAAAATAAAAATGTTAATAAAATTAAAGGAAAAGGAGGGAAAAATTCAGTTGTCCCAATTCCTACCACAAACACTTGATGGATTACAAATCCACATCTTGATTTAAACTTAAAGACATAAAACATAGAATTCTACTTTTTTCAGCATTATGAGTAAAATTAAAGCCACAAACCTATTATGTACACTTAAAAGGTACTTTGGGAAGAATTATAAAAAAAAAGTGGTTCACTCATTACTTAGGTTTAATTCTATGCCAAAGTGCTGATGGAAGTCTGTTCTGTTACACTGATTGTAAGACTGTCACATTTTTTTTTAAAGATTTATTTTTATTATTTTTTTTATTGGAAAGGCGGATATACAGAGAGGAGAGACAGAGAGGAAGATCTTCTGTCCGATGATTCGCTCCCCAAGTGAGCGCAACGGCCGATGCTATGTCGGTCCCAAGCCAGGAGCCTCTTCTGGGTCTCCCACGCGGGTGCAGGGTCCCAAAACTTTTGGGCTGTCCTTGACTGCTTTCCTGGGGCCATAGGCAGGGAGCTGGAAGGGAAGCGGGGCTGCTGGGGATAGAACTGGTGCCCATATGGGATCCCGGGCGTGCAAGGCGAGGACCTTAACCACTGCGCCACTGCGCTGGGCCTGTCACATTTTTTAAAAAAGATTTATTTTTATCGGAAAGTCAGATACGCAGAGAGGAAGATCTTCCATCTGATGATTCACTCCCCAAGTGGCCACAATGGTCAGAGCTGCGCCAATCTGAAGTCAGGAGCCAGGAGCTTCTTTCAGGTCTCCCACACGGGTGCAGGGTCCCAAGGCTTTGGGCCGTCCTCGACTGCTTTCCCAGGCCACAAGCAGGGAGCTGGATGGGAAGTGGAGCTGCCATGATTAGAACCGGCACCCAAATGGGATCCTGGCACATTCAAGGCAAGGACTTTAGCTGCTTGGCTACCACTTTGGGCCCAAACTGACACATTTTTCCTCACATTTTATCATAATTGATGGCTTTTTTCTCAGTGATAAAAAAATAATGGTGTGTCTTACAATTGATAGCATTTTAGATTTGATGAACTGTAGTGAATAAGAAATAAAATAGTTTAAAAATACCACTTTCTGTTCTTGAAATGATTATCTACTAAGAAAATCAACCAAAATGTTAGGTATACTTTTTCCCCACCTCTCATCCACTCATACCTTTTTTTTTAGATGATATACTTTTTAAACTTCCTATAATTTTGCAAATTCAAAAAGATGAAAATAATTGTACATTATTTTTATCTTTTACTGAATGAATTAGAATTGTGTTGAGTCACAGAATTCCTGTGCAACACTCCACATTTAGTGGTTAACAGCCTCTTCCATTTTTGTCTTTCACGTGAAGGCCGTGTTTTCCTCACAACGTGGTCACCTGCTTCATTTTGGTTCTCAGCCACTTCCTTGCCCACATGGGTACCAGTGGTGAAGAAGGACGGAGGGATTTGTCTGCTGGGCGTTGAGCAGGCACTGTGCTGACACACAGAATCTTCCTGTGGAGCAAGAAGCATTAGAAATTAGAAATCACATCTCCTAAACCTTTGCAGACCTCTTACAGGACTAATCATGTGAAAGCTGCAGTCATGGTGAATGAGTTGTGCAGAATTTTAGCAATCTACTGATGTGCTAAAAATCCAGTCAATTATTACTGAGAAGATCCTGTTTTATGGTATAGTAATGAAATCTGAATAGAACATTTTCAGTCTAGATTACTTTGCGAGAGCAACCAAGTTGGTGAGGAGCCTTGGGGAAGATCTGAAATAGCTTCAGATGAAGTCTGTAAGAGGGAATGCAGTGACTGGCTTCAAATATTTGAAAACTTATTATTATTGATAGATATTGTCTTTAAAAGTTAGGATCAGGGTCTGCGTGGTAGTCTAGCAGCTAAAGTCCTCACCTTGTATTTGCCAAGATCCCATGTGGGCGCTGGTTTGTGTCCTGGTCACTCCACTTCTCGTCCAACTCCTTGCTTGTGGTCTGGGAAAGTAGTAGAGAACAGCCCAAAGCCTTGGGACCCTGCACCTGCATGGGACACCTGGAAGAAATTCTTAGCTCCTGGCTTCGGATCAGCTCAGCTCCAGCCATTGCAGCCACTTGGGGAGTGAACCAGCAAATGCAATATCTTTTACTCTGTCTCTCCTTCTCTCTGTAAATATGACTTTCCAATAAAAATAAATAAAGCTTTAAAAAATAATAAAGTTAGGATCAGTGGGAGGAAGCACTAAGATAATACAAGGAGGAATTGCTAATAAGAATTGCCAAAAATGTCTTGTGAGTCCACAGAACTTCTGAGGACTGTCAAAGCAAATCTGGGTATGCAGGAGCTAGATGATAGTTTGCACTCTTATAGAGGGGAGAAACATGAGCTGATTGAACTGTATAACCTTTCTAGTATTTTCTTTCCCAAATTGTGATATGCAATTCTAAGGGGAAATAGCTGGGACTTAAAAATTGGCTTTTAGACAGATATTCCTCAGCTAGATTACTAATCTTTTTTTTTTTTTAGTATTTGTATTATGATCAAGATTATTTGAGTACTGTTGGAAGATGCTAAGATATCCCTGGTGGTAAGCTGCAGATGCAGAAGTAGTTGAGGCAAGGTAGAACCCAGCACTTCCAAAGGAAGAAGTTGAGTCATAGAAGCTTTTGCAAGCAAAGGGTGAACAGCCATTGTATTGGGTTGGAATGACTGTTCATTAATGTTACTTACTGCATGGTTCTCACCATGTGAGACTTGGTAAATCACCAAGTGTTTCTTATTGTAGCAGACCTCATTTGATGTTTATTATTAAACTGAACAAAGTTCAACTCCGAAGAAAAGGCTTCATTTGCTTTTGAAATAATGTCTAAACCCTGACATGACAAACTACCACAATACCAGGGTATTGTGCTTTGTAGATATATGCTTATACTTAAAAGAAGATAAAAGAAAAAAGATGTATTTGATAGAAGGGAAAGAGAGAGATCAGTCTTCCATCATTCCAGTTACTACTAGTTCATTTCCTCAAATGCCTGTAGTATCCAGTTTAGGCCGGCCAAAGCCACAAGCTAGAAACTTCTCCCAGGTCTCCAGTGTAGTTGGCAGGAGCCCAAGCATTTGGGCCATTATCTGTTGCTTTCCCACGCACATTAGCAGGACATGCAGCAGCCAGGACTTTAACAGGTGCTCCAACACGAGATGACGTCATTGTAAGTGGTGGCTTAACTTGTTCTACCATAGTATAGCCTCACTCATAGTTTTTTGGTTGGTTTTTGTATAAAAAATTCCTCTCCCTTTTCACACCCCATGCGCTAGAATTGGGAGCCCAACTAGAAAACTTTACCCTGTCCCTTTCCAACCCAGTATTGATATGACACATGGTCTAACTAGATGACCAACAGTGGAGACTCAAAAATCAGATATAAGATCTCAGTACCATGTAGGCTTTTCTGGGGAGGACATACACAAGAGACAAGTTGCCAGCTAATTGGATTTTTAACATCGTGTGATGCATATATACCATTAACAAGGACTCTTCAAAAATCTCAGAAACTGTGTATTTTGAGAAACCTAAGTATAAGTTTAGTTTCACTAAAACTTGCATTAAATTAAAAAAAGAAATTACGAGAGAGAGCTCTCCCAGTGGCTGGTTAACTTCCCCAAATGCATACAGCAGTTAGCACTGTACTGTGTGTCAAAGCTGAGAGTCAGGAGCAGGCCTTCCCGTGGAGTCTTAGTTAACTTGAGCCATTTCTGCTGCTCCCCATTGTCTACACTGTCAGAAAGCTGGCGTTGGGAGCTGGAGCCAGGACTTGAACCCAGCCGCTCTGATGTAGGAAATAGGCATCTTACTGACCAGAATAATTATGTGCTCCTGTAAAGGCAACTTCTAGCTTCTTGTTGTCCAAGGTCATTTTTAAAAAGAATTTTTAAGTACATATTCAATTTAATATCTAAGGTTCCAAGGGTGGCCCAAAATGTTTATATATTCTGTGGTATTATTAATTTAGCTGCACTACCACATGTAAAGTATGAGTAAATACGTCTGGGACTGTTTGCCCCACTAGAGGGAGTGCCAGTGGCTCTAGGTCTTTTCCGTGGTATGATGGGGACTAGGTGGGAGACAAACCTTAGTTCTCCAAGTGTCTTGAACAGGCTGAGAGGTGAACACATTGACTGGGGATTGTCTACATTGTGCTTGAGAACTGGGATGTTTCCCATGCCTCTGTTTGGTTTTGTTTTTGAATACCATTTTTTGTGAACTTTAGTTGAAGAACTTCCTAAAAGAGATCTGGGTAGATTCTGAAAGAAGTATATGTCTATGAGGCATAATAGTACTGTGTAATTAATTTGGCTTTTTCAGGGGAGCATATTTTTAATGATTGACTGTTTTAAGATTACCCCTCTGATAACCTTTTAGAAATATTTGGTGGGGGGGGGGGCACCTAGAAGTTAAGATGCCTGTGACCCATGTTGGAGTGTCTGGAGTCGATCCCTGGCTCCTGCTCCTGACTTGAGCCTCCTGCTAACGATGTTGGGTAGTAATGGCGACGATGGGACTAATTGGGCCCCTGCTGCCCCTGTGAGAGACTAGACCGACTCTGCAGTTCCCAATTTCAACCCTCAGCCCAGAAGCATTGAGGACTTTGAGGAGTGATAGACTGGTAGCTGTGAGCTCTCTGTTTTGTTAATCGAGTAATAAGATAAAGGTATACATTTTTAAAATCACTTTTTTAATTGTTGGTTTGGGGAATCACCTACAAGATCTATACAAGTCCTCCTGCGGACTCTCTGGATCGAGTATTTGCTGGATTTCGAACACGAAGTCAGATACTGTTGGGACACATAGAAGAACAAGATGAAGTCCTCCATTGCCAATTTTCTGATAACAGTGATGATGAAGAATCAGAAGGCCAAGAGAAATCTGGAATTAGGTGTGTAAAACAGACTAATTTAATAATTATATGATACCGTAGATAGAGAAGATATAGGTTTTCACTGAAGGGTTGTTTTTCCATTTTCAGAGTAGGTAGGCTTTGCTCTTAGGTAATCAACCAATGTGTTATGAAAATAGTGTTTGAACTAAAGGTCACTAATCTTAAGGGTGAAAAATAATTCTGCTTTTGGAACTTTCACAGTTACTACATTATACAAGGAGAGGGGAGTTTGAGGATTTCCGGATTCTGTTTTCATGGTAGCAGTAAACATGCTGAATTTTGTACTGGAGTTAGTCTTGGGTGGGGCAGCTTTTCCTTTTGAAAAATATTGGTAAAATTCCACTTAACGTAACTGGTACTTTTTAAACAATACTGTCAGTTTTTGTGACCCTGATTGAATTGCAGATTAGAAATGCTAACAGACAATTGATCTTGATCTTTTTTTTTAGATGCAGAAGTCGCACATGGATTAAAAAACCAGGTTCTCTTTGCTCTCTTGTTGAACAGAATGATACTCAGGATGAAGCACAAAAATCAAATCTGGAAGATAAAGGTATGTAGACTCTTAAATAGCTTAGAGCTAGTGATTGTAGGACACCCTCCACCTTCCTCAGGTGATAACTGCAAAGCATCTGAGAGTTAAAGACTACAACTTGTTAGGAATAGGTCCCAGACGGGTATTACTTCCTGTTTCCTGTCCTACCTCTCATTTTTCATCTTTTTCACTCCTTAATGAAGGAGTTTTTGTGCCAGTCAACACTGGGAGATAGAGATACAGGCTAATTTTCTTCCAACAGAGACTTGTATATTCAGCCCCGAGTGGCTTTATATTCTGGGTTATTTAAAAATGCCTCATAAGCAATTTATCAAGTGTCTACTAGTTCACTGGCACACCTGAGTAGTGATCATGGTGTGTTTGGCAATAAAGCCCAGTTACTTTATTAGTGTCTGGGACATGTTAGTGTACAGTTGATGGGAAATTTTATGTGTTAATTTGTGTACAAAAACATTTATATGGAGCCTAATGATTTTTTTTTTGATTACTTATTTTTACGTGAAAGGCATATTTACAGAGAGAAGGAGAGACAGGGAGTTAGAGGGCTCTTCCACCTGCTAGTTCACTACCCAAATGGCCACATCAACTAGAGCTGAGCTGTTCTAAAGCCAGGAGTCTCTCCCAGGTCTCCCACACAAGTGAGGGTCCCAGGCCTTAAAGCCATTTACCGCTGTTTCCCAGGCCACAAGCAGGGAGCGGGATGGGAAGTGGAACAGCTGGGACACAAATTGACTCCTATATGGGATGTTGGGGGCTTAGAGGTTTAGCTTGTTGAGCCACCATGCTGGCTCTGATCCTGTTGATTAAGATGCCTCCACCCCAGTGATGTCACAGCTAGCTCCTGAGTCTGGCTTCATGCCAATACTGAGTCTTGATTGTGTTTGTGCCACCCAAGTACAAACCCTGATTGAGTTCCTAGCCAGCCCAACCATGGCTTTCACTAGCATTTGGAGAATAAGCCAGCAGATGGGAGCTCTTTGTCTCTTTGACTCGTAAGTTTATATACACACATACACACACACACACACACGTACGTACACATGTATGTATTACATTGAAAAATTATTGTGTAATACAAGAATTTTTTTCTAGATTCATTTTCTGTGAAAAACAGATTTACAGAAGGCAATACAGAGAGAAGAATCTTCTTCTGTCTGCTGGTTTACTCCCCAAGTGGCATCAACAGCTACAGCTGAGCTATTTCAGAGCCAAGACCCAGCAGTTTCTTCTGTGTCTCCCATGTGGGTGCAGGATCCCATGGCTTTGGGCCATCCTCCACTGCTTTCCCAAGTCACAAGCAGGGAGCTAGAAGGGAAGTTGAGGAGCCAGAACACAAGCCAGTGGCCACATGGGATCCTGGTGCATGTGAGGCAAGGATTCAGCCACAAGGCCATAGCACCAAGCCCTATAATGCAAGATTTTAATTCATCTGTCTAGGTATGAGTGGTCATCCCATAAAAAGTAGAGTATAGAGAATATAAATTACGAAGATAAATAGAGAAAATAGAAAACAGGGCCCTGCCTGTAGCCTGGGAAAGCAGAGAAGGATGGCCCAGAGCTTTGGAACCCTGCACCCATATGGGAGACCTAGAACAAACTCCTGGCTTCAGATAGACTCAGTTCTGGCCATTGCAGCCGCTTGGGGAGTGAACCAGTGGGTGGAAGATCTTTTTTTCTGTATCTCTTTCTCTTTGTAAATCTGCCTTTCCAATAAAAATTTTAAAAACCTTTTTTTTTTTTGAAGAAAATAGCATCTTTTTAAGGGCCTCATCTTATAATATTTACCAAAAATGAACTCTCTTTGTAAGGTTGAAAGATAAAATCCCGACTGCTGTGTGTTTGTTTCTGTATTTTCTTGTCCTCCTAGTTTAGCGTTTTCCTTTCATTTTAAATTGCTTTTGTGTCTGCTTTTCTTTTTTGACTCTACTATTGTTGACTATTTTATGAGCAGATAGTTTTGTTCCTTTTATCTTACAGATTTAAAGATTGAATGTCTCCAGGAGAGTCAAGAATCAAATATGCAAAAATTAAAGAATTCAGAACTTATACTTAATGAAGCCAAGCAAAAAATGAGAGAACTTACAATTAACATCAAGATGAAGGAAGATCTGATTAAGGAGCTAATAAAAACAGGTAATAGTATCCTTTGAGCCAAGCCTATAAGGAAAATGGCGTCTAAAGTTGCTTCGGATGTGGTAACGTTTCCTTTTTGAAGCTCAGGACAATGCATTGTGTTAGGTGTGACAAGGGATAGTGTGGGGCCGGTAGGTAGAGATTGGTTAATAACATCATTTATGCTGAAATTCTGCGTATAAATTATTCTAACCAATGTGAACTCTCTGTTGTGTTGAAACGGTGACGCTTAATTTTGGGAGGGCCATTTTAAAACAATACTATGTGTACTTTTTCTAATTCATTTCCTATTTCAATTATGATATCTCTGTCTTAGTACATATTGAACATTAATTCTGAGCTTTGTAATTTAGATGTAGGTAATTTGTGTCTCCCTAAAGATGTTCAGGATTTGTTCATGAGCGGTTCTAGGTGGCCCATGCTCTGAGCTCTCCTTCATCACGTGTGTGTCCATGCATGACATGCCGCCTCGCTCCATCCTCGCTTTACACTAGGATAGCCGAAAAGGCAGCTCAGATTTTCCTGGTGTTTCCTCCAAATGTATTCAGAGGATTAGCTTCGACTACTTTGAAAATCAGTAAAGAAGTCAGGGAGAAACAAATACTGCATTTCATTTCCCCAATTCCAATTAAAAAATAAACAAACAAAAACACTCTGTGGTCTCATTCTGGGAAAACTGAAGGAAAAACTGTTTCTTCTTGAAGCTCAAGGCTGTAATCACAGCCCACCTGCCTCTCTCTGTCCTGCACCCTTGGTGTCTGTGCTGAGCTGCCCGTCCCAGCCTTTCACTCATTCCTAGTGACATGGGTGTTGTATGTCATCTTAGCAGCAGTGAACCCTGATACTTCATTTTGAATTTGAGAGTTGAGTTTGGGAGAGAGTTGCAATAATGCCTTTTTGGGTTATGTTCCTATTTTATACTGATGCTTTTTGAAGTATGTACACTGAGATGACAAGAGAGCTGGAATTACTTTATGATATTTAAGCAGAGTAAACAAAATCTTGATTCTTGAACCTGTGTGATGAGGATGATGTTATTAAGTTTTTTGGTTATCTTGGACACTTTCATACATAAAAAGGATTTCAGGAGGCAGATTATGAGTGGCAGGAAGCCCTGTGCTGGGAAAGAGGACATTCTCAATATCCTTCTAAACTAGAATCGATACCAGCAAAACCTAGCGCAGCTGCAGAAGTTCAGAAATGTGTCACAAAACATGAAGGATGAGAAGACTGACTGGCACCAGAGAGGACCAGTCATTGAGACAGTGGATGGCATGCTGTGTTTGAATGGGGACAATTCAAGTGTTTTGTGTTTGTCTTTTTTTTTCTTAAAAACAATATATATAATATGTATGGATATATTATACATGTGGATATGAACATATGTAACATATATATACATCATATATATGTGTATATATATATACACATACATCATATATATAAATAAAACAGAGTTACAGAAGGAAATACAAGAGATTGGTTCACTCCCTAGATGGCTATGACAGCCAGGATTGGGCTAGGCTGAACCAGGATCCTCCTCCAGGTCTCCCACGCGGGTGCAGGGTCCCAAGGCTTTGGGCCGTCCTCGACTGCTTTCCCAGGCCACAAGCAGGGAGCTGGATGGGAAGCGGGGCTGCCGTGATTAGAACCAGCGCCCACATGGGATCCTGACACATGCAAGACAAGATCTTTACTCACTGGGCTTCCATGCCAGGCCCATGAGTTTTAGATATAATTTTTTTTAAAGATATAATTCTAAGAACATGATATTTTCTCCCTGCTTCTTTCCCTTCCTCTTTGACACTCAGGTTTTAGACATGTGTCTTAAATGCTTGCATAACAGTATTCAGATTCTTAGAATAGAGCACTTTTATATCTTGACATTTTAATTTTTTAAATTTAATTTATGATTTTTCTATTTTATTATTACGATGCTGAAGGAAATGATGCCAAGTCTGTAAGCAAACAGTATTCTCTGAAAGTAACAGAACTAGAGCATGAAGCTGAACAGGCCAAAGTGGAACTGACTGAAACAGAGAAGCAGCTACAGGAGCTGGAAAGCAAAGATCTGTCTGATATTGCTTTGAAGGTGAAATTACAGAAAGAATTCCGCAAGAAGATGGATGCTGCCAAGCTGAGAGTCCAGGTAAATTTAAGAATGTAATGGAGAATTTAAGAATCTTGGCTTTTGAGGATACTCCTACTGAGCCAGGAGACAAGGATTCAGCTTTTACCAGCAAGGGATTCTGGATGGTAAATCTTCCAGTGTGCTGATTGGTTTATATATGCATTTTCTTCTCTCGTTTTTTTTTTTAAGATTTATTTATTTTTTATTGCAAAATCATGATATACAGAGAGGAGAGGCAGAGAGGAAGATCTTCCCTCCAATGATTTACTCCTCAAGCAGCCACAACAGCTGGAGCTGCACCAATCAGAAACCTGGAGCCAGGAGTCTTTTCCAGGTCTCCCATGCAGGTGCAGAGTCCCAAGGCCTCGGGCTGCCCTTGGATGCTTTCCCAGGCCACAGGCAGGGAGCTGTATGGGAAGTGGGGCTGCCGGGACATGAATTAGTGCCCATATAGGATCCCAGCAAGTTCAAGGTGAGGACTTTAGCCTCTAGGCTACCACACTGGGCCCTTTATATATGTATTTTCCAATCCGGACAGTATAGCTCTTCATTCAAGAAGTATATTATTTTAATCTTAGTATTAAAAACTACATGGTAAGAGATAAACACAGCTACATGAAATAGGGTCCTTTTCTGCAGGACAGAATCCTTAAGTAATACTACCGCTTTCTAGACACTCAACAATTGGCAACTATTTCAGACAGTTTCCTGAAACTTTACTGATTGGATTCAAATAACATACTAATTCTTCATTTTCTAATACTGGCATTTGTTTACAGCTTCAGAAGTAAATAGCCACAGTTAAGATTCTATTTTTATCAGAAATACTCAAGGAAGCCATATCCAGGTACTTTGGGGATCAGTAACAGTGTTTGGTTAGTCTTTTTCTGTAAAAATTGTTTTACTGAAAGCCAAAGTTACCGAGTAAGAGGGAGAGAGACAGATCTTGCATCCAATGACTCGCTCTCCAGTTGGCAGCAATGTCCAGGACTAAGCCAGGCTGAAGCCAGAAGTTTGATCTGGGTCTCTCCTGGCTGTCAGAGGCCCCAGCACTTGGCCATCTTCTGCTGCATTCCCCAGGCTGCTAGCAGAGAGCTGGATCAGAGCAGGGTAGCTGGACACAAACCGACACTCGTGCGCAAAGCTGGTGTCGTAGGCAGTGCTGTGCCGCAAAGCCAGCCTGCATAATGAGCTTTTGGGATGCTTTCTCTAGTTCTTTTCATCTCGTAATCTACTGCTTTCATTTTGTGAAAATGTATTGTTTCAGATCGTAGGTAGAGTTGAACTTTAGTTAATTTATTCAGAGTATTTATTGAGAGGGAATTGTTCTATTAATTCAATTAGATCAGTGTTTACTATGCTCTGCATTAGTATTTGAAAATACTAAGATTTTCATTATATATATAATTTTATGTGTTAAACTAATCATTTTAACGGTTGGTCACTCTCAAGGAAAAATTTTACAATTTCAACTTAGGGATTGGGAACCAGCACATACTGTATTATTATGCAGTCACACACAGAGAACAGATTGACTTGGAAAGACTTGTTAAATAAGCAGAAAAAAAGGGAAGACTAGTTTATATAAAATATATACAGGGCTATTTGAATGCATGTGTATCGGTTGTTGAAAAATTTAATAAATTGGTAATTTTCAAAAGAACGACAAGGAAGTTAGGGGTCTTAGAGAAAAATCCCTTCAAATATAATTTCAGGTTTTTACCATTTTTAAAAATCATGTATATCTATAAATTTTTTTTATTTTAAAAACTTTTGAGAGAGAGAAAGAGAAAGCTCCTACCCATTGGCTCATTCCTCTCCTGAAGCAGGTAGCCGGGAATTCAGTCCAGGCCTTTCCTGTAAGCGCAGGGACTCATGTACTTGACGGTCTCCCGCTGCCTTCCGGGGTACATATCAGGAGGAAGCCAGAATCAGGAGAGTGCGAGCCCATGTGTGCTGAAATTGATGCTTTCCCCAAATGTAAAATTAGAAATGTAGAAAAGCAAATAGTTCTTTGTGAACCTGTCAAAAATATATTCTATTGAATCAGAATAGACAGAGAACAATAAGGAAAGCTTAGAACCAGACAGGAAACGGTCAATTCACATATACCTCACTAGGTGGGACACAGAGATTAGTTACTCCTCACTGGGGTATTGAAGATTTCTCTGCACACCCCTCCTAAAACTGTTTTGCTCCTCAACTGTAACATATGCCTTGTTAGAGTTATAAACCAATTTGGACTATCCTAAAATTTGCCAAATTCATTTAAAATTATGCTTCAATACTATGAACTGCTAAATATAAAAATGAAAATAAACATGAGACAGCTGAATAGTACCCTATAGCCATTTTAAGGTGGATAGAAGCTGGTTATATATAAACTAAAATCAAAATGTCAATGAAGTAGTCACAGGATGTGGTTAAGAACTTGCATCTTAAAACATATTGGTTACTCAGTACCATGACAATTAATTCCATAATGTTGTAAATTGTCATTGATATTAAGTTTGGGCTTTTAATTGATCAGGATGATATTCTGCCAGCTCTACCTCCAGACCAAAGATGATCTCCCCAAGAAACCATTGAATGTATCTGGACAATTAGATGCTGGACTCTTTGCTTGGTATAGGCTTGCAATGAAAGAGTCTCAGCTGAATTTGATCTGTAATACTGCAACAAGGTGGAGGAATCCACTATGGGGGGAGGGCACGGGGAGAGTTTGGGGGAATCCCAGAGCCTATGAAACTGTCACATAATACAATGTAATTAATTTTTTTAAAAAATGAGATCTAGGCTCAAATTGTTAAAAAAAAAATGTAATACTATTAGATGCCATGACATTACTTAAGTCTCATTACAGTTATGACCTTTGAAAACATTTTTTTTAATGACCATCATTGCTAAGCAACATATCACATCATTTGGTATATGATAGTCCTTGTAATTGATCAGAATGTTATTTTTAGAAGAATTAGAATAAGCATGTTTCATTTGCTCTATGCTTTTGTATAATAGTTTGGTCAAACAAAACTAAATGAAAGCCAGTAACTTTCTTTGTTCTGCAACTAACTGAACTTACTATTTTTGTTATTTTTAGTTTTATAAAATTCCATAAATATATAGAACAGTGAGACAAATGATACAGTTTAAATATTGAGTGCTAGATGTTTGTTATATTAAAAATAACCAGTAGTTGATGGTGCTGTTGTTTTTTTTTCTTTGGGAAAACTGTTCTTAAGAAAGAACATCTTTCTTACATCTCACATTGAGCAGGGTTTTTCAGCTTTGTTTCCCAATTCTGTAATGATCTAATGCAGTGTATGTTTAACCATGTAGCTTTGTATTGCATTGCAAAGACAGTAATAAAATACCTAAAATAGAAAAAAAATATACATTCCATTGGACAAAAAGATTTATTTTGTTTAGCTCAGAACATGAGAGATGCAATTCTTCATTGTGAACCATTCCCTGTGCTCTTAGGTCTTACAGAAGAAGCAGCAGGATAGTAAGAAACTGGCATCCCTGTCAATCCAGACTGCAAAACGTGCTAATGAACTAGAACAGAATGTAGACCACATGAAATATCAGAAGGTGCAACTGCAGAAAACACTTCGAGAAGAAAGTGAAAAAAGGAAGCAACTGGATGCAGAAATTAAGCGGGATCAACAAAAAATCAAAGTAATATTGTCATACATTCCTGCTAAGTATAATGCAATGTGTTAAACAGCTCACAGCTAATGAAGCCAAGGGCTTGATTGAGCTGGCTTGTAAGTGTCTGTCCTTGACCTGCCCCTCACTGCTGTCCTGACTCACCATGAAAGCTACGTGCAGCTCCATAGTAAATCCTGTTTACTGAATTCTGAGCAGTGTGTTGGAGGCTCTGACTTCATAAAAGAAGGTGCAATGATGAACTCTATCTTAGTAGCATCTTAGCTTTAGTTGGGGCTGTCAAAAACAATTTATAAAGGTGAATTTCCGAATAATTTCTATTATTTGAATAGGGTTTCAAGTTTTCAAAGTGCTTTGATGTGCATTGTCCATGTGGCTACAGGGAGAGCAATAGCAGGTGAAATGCTACCATTTCAGTCCAGTAGTTCCACAGAGCTTATTTCACTCAAGAGGAGCTAAGTGTAAATGCTAGTTCTCAGTTTCTACTGAGAGATTGACTGAGAAAATCACTTGTCTTCTCTGAGTCAGTTTAATCCTGTATAAAATGGTCTTGATCATACCCGTCTTACGAAGCTTCTTTGAAAAAGAAGAGGATGATGCCCACTTGTCTGATGCCATGTGTCAGGTTCTATTCCATTGAAATGTTAAACAGAACCCAAGGCTTGGGATGTAATCTGAAATTTCCTAGATTTTTTTTTTTCATTAAAGTGAACACTATGTTTTTTTAGGGCAGTTTTGGGTTCACAGCAAAATTAAGAGGCGGGTGCAGAACTATGGTCCGCCACATACCCTACACATACTTTGCCACCTTCGTTGTCAGCCCTGCCCAGATTTGCTAGATTTTTAACATTGTGTGCATAACTTATTTTCAGATCTTTATAAAAAAAAATCAGAATGTACTGAAGGAAGGAAACTTAAAGAATTTTTTAAAAGATTTAGTTATTTACTTTTATCACAAAGTCAGATATACAGAGAGGAGGAGAGACAGAAAGGAAGGAAGATCTTCTGTCCGATCATTCACTCCCCAAGTGACCACAATGGCCAGTACTGTGCTGGTCCGAAGCCAGGAGCCAGGAACGTCTTCCAGGTCTCCCACACGAGTGCAGAGTCTCAAGGCTTTGGGCTGTCCTCGACTGCTTTCCCAGGCCACAAGCAGGGAGCTGGATGGGAAGTGGAGCTGCTGGGATTAAAACCAGCAGCCATATGGGATTTCTGCGCATTCAAGGCGAGGACTTGAGCAGCTAGGCCCCTGCCGCCGGGCCCTAAAGAATTATTTTTAAAAAATAATTGCATTTCGTGTACCATGTATACAACACCCACATAAATTGTGTAATTCCATAGGGCTTGCTGTAGTACATTTTTCTAAATTGTAGTTATATATATATGTATATATATCTATATATATATATAACATTAAATATCATTTTAGCTATTTAAAGTGTACAGTTCACTGCTATTAATTACATTTAGAATGTTATGCAACCATCACCACTATTTCCAAAACACTTTCATCATTCCAGACAAAACTATAATTATTAAACCATAACCTTCCATTCTTTCCTTCCTTCAGTTCCTAAACTTCTAATCTGCCATTTAGCTCTCTGAATTTCCTAGATATATTTTCTGGATATTTCATATAGGTGGAATCATTTTTCTTGCAAAGTCAGATATACAGAGAGGAGGAGAGGCAGAGAGGAAGATTTTCCCTCCAATGATTTACTCCTCAGGCAGCCACAACAGCTGGAGCTGCACCAATCCGAAACCAGGAGCCAGGAGTCTTTTCCAGGTCTCCCATGCAGGTGCAGGGTCCCAAGGCCTCAGGCTGCCCTTGAATGCTTTCCCAGGCCACAAACATGGAACTGTATGAGAAGTTGGGTAGCCAGGATTAGAACCAGCTCTCACATGGGATCCTGGTGCATTCAGGGTGACTACTTTAGCCTCTAGGCCATGGCGCTGGGCCCGCATCTTTTGTTTTTTAAAAGATTTATTTATTTTTATTGGAAAGGTAGATCTGCAGAGAGACAGACAGAAAGCTCCTCCATCTGTTGGTTTACTTCCCAAATTGGTGCAATGGCTTGAGCTGAGCTAATTTGAAGCTGGGATCCAGGGGCCTCTTTCAGGTCTCCCATGTACGTTCAAGGTCCTGGGTAATTTTCCACTACTTTCCCAGGCCGCAGGCAGGGAGCTGGCTGGGAAATGGAGTAGCCCATATGGGACCCAGCACTTGCATGGGGAGGATTAGCCAACTGGCCAGTTGAGCCGTTGAGCCAGGCCTGATGTTGAGCATCTTTTCAAGTGCTTTTGAACAACCTGTATATCTTCTCTGGAGAAATGACTAGTCCAATCCTTTGTCCACTTTTAAGATTTATCTAAGAGTACCAGCAAGAGGAGGGAGAAGAAGAGAAAGAGAGAAGTCCTCTGTTATCCGGTTTACTTTTCAAATGCTTGCATCAGCCAGCTCTGGGCTCAGGTCCAAACCAGGAGACTGGTGTCCTTCTGGGTCACTAAAGTCCCATGAAAACACCTGGCTGGACCCAGCACGGTTCACTACTCCATGTATTTTGATATTCCCGTTTGCCTTTGTGATATTATACACTCATTATTTTTTTTCCTTTTTAAAAACCATTTTATTTATTTATTTGTTTATTAGGCAGACAGAAAAAGAATGCCCCATCTGCTGGTTTACTCCCAGATGTTCATACAGCTGGGGCTGGGCTGCAGCTAAAACTGTGTGCAGCTAAAACAGGTCCTCCATATGGATGGCTGGAACCCAGTTACTAAAGCCATCGCCGCTGAGCTTTGAGGACACAGAAACTGCCCACGAGTCCAGGCTCTCCAGTGTGGAATGCAGGCATCTTAACTGCTAGGCTGCTGCCCGCTCCTTACTCAGTGCTTACATTTGCTAGGTCAGCCTTCTGTACATCAGTCCTTTAAATGTTGGACTTCGTCATGGCTCTGACTCTAAGGCGTCTTCTACACTCTGTCCTAGAGGACCTCATCTTTTTCGTGGATGTGGTTAAACTCTGATAACTCTCAAAATTTAATCTTTAATCCCAGGTCTGTCTTTTGAACTCCAGGTTCATATTTCCAACCATCAGCATATTCATACAGTAATATAAATGTACTCCAGTCTTCCTTACTTCCTCTCCATCATTGCTGCCTTCTTGGGAGAGAAAATGCCACTCACCAACGTGCCTTATAAATCAACCACTTTCAGTTAGGAAAGCTAGACAATTGGGATTCTTGACTGACTCTGTCCTCTTTCACATCACTTACATCCAGTGCACCATTAAATCCTTTGGAGAAATCATCAATGTACCATTTATTTATTGTATTTGAAAGGCAGAGTAACAAAGAGAGGAAGAGATCTTCTTTTATAGTTCATGCTCCCAACATCCGCAATGGACTGGGCTAGGCTAGGCCAAAGGCAGGAGCCCGAAGGCCATGTGGGTCTCCCCTGCTTTCCAGGCACATCAGCAGAGCTGCATCCAAAGCGGAGCAGAGCGCTGGCACTCCGGTATGGGATGCCAGCATCATAAAGGGCAACTTAACCAGCTGCACCATAGTCCCCATCCCCTTCCAGAAATCTTGAATTTGCCTAATTTCCATTTACGTGAACAACATAGTCTGTTCCAGTCCTTTCACAGACGTGAGGAGAGGGCTGGCTTTCTGTTTTGTGGTATTTGGGTTCCAGCTCCTCATAGCTCCTAAGCCATCACTTAAACCAGCAAGACACAGCATTCTAGACTCATGCTGATGGAAAAGGAAAAAAAATGCAGAGAGCATTTCCTGCTGAAATGCAACTGTGTCATGTAGATTTTTTTCATTCTACTCCAGGATATTTTTGTTCCTTTAAACCACATCTCCAATTCCAGTGAAATGATCCATTTATGGGATAGCAGGTTTTCCAGGAAAAGGAACAGATTTCCTCCTAAATATACTGATGTTTCTACCACATCTAAAAGCAGATAATGTTGCTCACAGTCCTACAGGATATCATGTCATTGTTTTGGAGCTAGCTCCCTGACATTCCTATTTGTCCATTTTCTTTCTTTCTTTTTTTTTTTTTTTAAAGATCTACTTGTATCACAGTCAGATATACAGGGAGAGGAGGAGAGACAGAGAGGATGATCTTCCATCTGATGATTCACTCCCCAAGTGAGCACAACGGTCGATGCTGCGCCGATCCAAAGCCAGGAGCTAGGAACCTCCTCCAGGTCTTCCACGTGGGTGCAGGGTCCCAAGGCTTTGGGCCATTCTCAACTGCTTTCCCAGGCCACCAGCAGGGAGCTGGATGGGAAGTGGAGCTGCCAGGATTAGAACCAGTACCCACATGGGATCCCACAGCACATTCAAGGCAAGGACTTTAGTCGCTAGGCCACTGTGCTGGGTCCTATTTGTCCATTTTTTATTTGACTATACCAGTTCCAGAGAACTCTATGATTTCTGTAGATTCTTTCAACAGCAATTCTTTTTTTTTTTTCAAGCAGCAGTTCTTGACTGAGGTGTATTATAAAATTTTTTTAAGTGGTTTTTTTTTTGGAACAGTACATTTTCACAGAAAAGGAGAGACAAAGATCTTCTGTTCACTGGTTCACCCCACAAGTGGCTACACAGGCTAGAGCTGAACTAATCTGATGTCAGGAGCCAGGAGCCTCTTCTGGATCTCTCACGCAGGCACAAGGTCCCAAGTCTATGGGCTGTCTTCTACTGCTTTCCCAGGATACAGCAGGGAGCGGGATGGGAAGAAGAGCAGCTGGGACACAAACTGGCACCATGTGGGTTCTTGGCACGTACATAGAGAGAATTTAGCCACTGAGCTATCACACCGGGCCCGCGTGAGAACATTTTAAAGAAAAGCGTGGGAACTCCTGAAATTTTTGGTGGTGGTGATCTTGGCCTTTCTTCCTAGAGCATGCACTTCCTTGCCTACACATGGAGTCCATAATAATCTTATCTCGTGGTATTATTATGAAGATTAAATTAGGTAGTTTAGTTATTTTAATCTTATAATGGGGATTACAATATGATAAGAAGGCAGTCATTTCTTTTATATATATTTTTTATTATTTTAGTTTATTAGGGAGGCAGTCATTTCTGAAGCAACATGTGAAAGAGGAATTATACTGTGTATGAGGACAACAAGTCAGCTCCAAGTGTAAGGATTCTTTCAAGTGGCTTTATTTCAGCATTCTGAAGTTGCTGGACACTGAATTACAACCATGAATTAAAGCTCTGGAAACATGAAGAATTAATGGTTGGCAGATATAATGAAGTCCAAATTTACTCATAATATGGTTAAGATGGGTGTAGAAATTTTGTTCTGTAGCATACCAGTCTGCTTTGTGAGAGGCCCTTTTCACCACTGTCCATGTTGGAAATATGTATGGTGAAAGCTAGCTAAACTTCCTTTCTGTTCAATTTTTCTTTTTTTTTTTTAAGATTTATTATTTTTATTGGAAAGGCAGATATACAGGGAGGAGGAGAGACAGGAAGATCTTCTGTCCGATGATTCACTCCCCAAGCAGCTACAACGGCTGGAGCTGCGCCAATCCAAAGCCAGGAGCCAGGAACTTCTTCTGGGTCTCCCACATGGGTGCAAGGTCCCAAGGCTTTGGGCCTTCCTCGACTGCTTTCCCAGGCCACAAGCAGGGAGCTGGATGGGAAGTGGAGCTGCCGGGATTAGAATCGGCACCCATATGGGATCCCGACTTGTGCAGGAGAGAGGACCTTTAACCACTATGCTATCACGCTGGGCCCTCGGTATTTCTTGAATAAACATTTCCTTTATCTGCTTCTCAAGTCTCTTTAGTAGACTACCCATATACTCTTAGCACCTTCTTTCTTGAGCTTGCCTCCCCAAAGTGGCAGCCAGTGTATGCAGTGATTGGGTGCATAACTTTGCTTTATTCCATCCCACGGAGTTGAGATATGGGCTGGGTGGAACCTGCTGTCCCTTGCCCACCACATACTGCCTAGACTCTTGGTTCTTGATATTAAAACCCATGGTTGGAATAGCTCCCAGGTCAGTTTTACTTCCAGCTTAGAGGATGGAGGCATTCTGGCTTCACCTCCCACTTTCTTTCCAGGTCCTTGTTGAGGCTACCAGGTCTTTTCTCTAGCTTGTTAGCCTAGAAGGCTGTCCTTCTCCTCAGTTATGGGGTTCAGTTCCCTGCAACTAGTATTGAGCTCTCAAGTGAGGATCTATGCAGCAGGAGACCGAGGAATTCAGTTTGTCTGTGTCCTAAGCAGATCTCTTTGATCCCAGTGCGTCAGGAAATCCCATTCTGGTATAGGGCCCTAGCTTTCTCCTGATTGGCTTAGGACCAGCTCTACCCTGGTTGGTGCTTTACCTGTCACAGAGGGAGAACAACTGGGATGGGACACGGAGTTTTCTCCTTTCTGCTATTCCCAAGGTTGGAAAGTGCTGGGCTTTCCTTTTACTTTTTTTTTTCTTTTTTTAAAAATATTTTTTATTATTTTTATTTTTATTTTTATTTCAAAGTCAGATATACAGAGAGGAGGAGAGACAGAAAGGAAGATCTTCCGTCCGATGATTCACTCCTCAAGTGACCACAATGGCCAGTACTGTGCCGGTCCGAAGCCAGGAGCCAGGAATGTCTTCCAGGTCTCTCACATGAGTGCAGGATCCCAAGGCTTTGGGCTGTCCTCGACTGCTTTCTCAGGCCACAAGCAGGGAGCTGGATGGGAAGTGGAGCTGCTGGGATTAAAACCAGCAGCCATATGGGATTTCTGCGCATTCAAGGCGAGGATTTTAGCCACTAGACCACTGCGCCGGACCCATCCCTTTATTTATTGGTGCTTCTGAAATATCCTGAAATGGATTATTTTAGTAGAAAAAATTGGTCACAGCCCAATAATTTTGTAAAACGTGAATTAGAAGATGAAATAAAAAGCAAAAATCAAGTTTATTATGAAGATATTTAAACAATGGATTTCTGTACTTCTCCATCATGGCATAAATAGCATGCAGGTGGCCCACTCGGGTTCCTGGCTCCTGCCCAGCTTTGGTGTAGACCGCAGCCGATCCTCTGGACTCCCAGGGAGCGCCATGGGCACCGGGCTCTGGACTCACAAGACATTGATGGAAACTACAGAATTTGGAGATACTCTTCAACAGGACCATGATCTGCTACATGGCTAGCAACTCCTGTTTTTGAGCACTAGTAAGGAAGACTGGTGTACTATAGAATAAACAAACTTTCTACACTCATCTCGGTTATATTATGTGTAGATATGGACTTCATTGTATGTGCTAATCATTAATTCCTCATGCTTCCGTAGCTCTAGTTCATGGTTGTAACTTAGTCCTCAGTTACTTTTCTTTTTGCATTTCTACTGTAATTTCTAACATATCCATAGTAGATGGGTGTCTTAACAAGCTTAACTGTGGGTAACAAACTGAAAAGAGCAGAAGAGAAAAGGCATGTTTGTAAATTACAGACCATTATCTCTGTCAAGACCATTTTTAACACAAGAAAGAATGAGAATAAAATGCCTAGTTTTATCAGTGAAACCTCGTTTTTTTGCAGGTAGCTTGTCTTGCCTCAGTGGGAGCTAGCATTATTAGTCCCAGCCTTCAGCTACTAATTTTCTCTTGTTGCAGTTAAGAAAATGCCTGCCTGCATATGCAGTGATAGCCGGGTAGCAAAGTGATGTTTTCAATCTCTCTTTCCATAGGAACTTCAGTTCAAAGCTGAACAGGAGGATCTAACACTGAAAACTGAAGACCCTGATGCATTTAACCCGAAGAGGACCCAAGGCTCATGTGGAAGTGTAGACCAGCTCCAGGTTTGTCCATTCCGTTTAGTGTTTCTGGCTTCTCTTCAATTTGCTGATTGTTTTTTTTTTTAATTAATTGACATAGTATTGAGTAGACAATATGTTAAAAATAATGCAAGTTCAATTCTTCAAAACATCTGGGTTGAGACAGTATCAATGACAGGTTCAAAAACTAACAATCAAACAAACAAAAATTACAGGTTAAATCAAGGCAAACATGTGTATCTAACCTTTTGGGATTCGCTCATTTCCCTTAGCATTATAGTTTCCAGTCAATTTGCTGATTGCTGAAAGAGAAGTAAAAGAAGTAGCTGATTGTGTAAGCATCCTTAAAATCTGAGATTTTTGAGTTTGTTTTTTGTTACTTAAGTGTAAACTTTCTAATATTCTGAAAATTTCATTAATATTGTTTCCTCTTCTAGATTTTTTCCATGTTATTGTTTCAGTACATATACATGTATGTGTATGTTGTAGAATATTTGCATGTTCCCCAGCTGATACCTATCACACATAAATACTGGGTTAGTCTCATAAAGTTGTATTTCTATAAACCAGAGCTCTACATTCGAAACAGAACCAAATTAGATAGGCACTGTATATCTTAAAGAGCCAACTTTTAAAAATTAACATTTATCAGGCCCGGTGGTGTGGCCTAGCTGCTCAAGTCCTCACCTTGAACGCACCGGGATCCCATATGAGCACGGGTTCTTATCCCGGCAGCTCCACTTCCCTTCCAGCTCCCTGCTTGTGGCCTGGGAATGCAGTCGAGGACAGCCCAAAGCCTTGGGACCCTGCACCAGTGTGGGATACCCGGAAGAGGTTCCTGGCTCCTGGCTTCGGATTGGCGCAGCACCAGCCGTTGCGCTCCCTTGGGGAGTGAATGATCGGACAGAAGATCTTCCTCTCTGTCCCTCCTCCTCTCTGCATATCTGACTTTGACATTAAAAAAAAATCTTAAAAAAATTAACATTTATGATCCATAAGCTAATTTCAAATTTAACGAAATTGAAAATTATGAGGAAAATGCTGCACTTATAATTACACTTAAATCAAAAGCATCCATCTTGAAAAATTCCCCCCTAAATATTATATAGTAAATTTTAATAAGCTGACATTTAGGACATGGAAATATTTCCCCCATTTATGCTTTCAATCTAGAAGTGTCTTCAGTCATCATAACTGTGGTGGGTTCTCCTGTTGCAGTGGAGCTTACAAAGGTTCTCATTTATCTCTCCAGTCCCACGGACATGTGAGAGTTCATTGAATTCATTACTACACTTCGTAGGGCTTCCTGTTGGTGTTCTACAGATATACCAAGACTGCATCAATCGTTGCTCATACTGTCACTGAGGCCACACTGTTAGTTAGATGTAACAGCACTTGTGGGATCAGACTCTCCCTGTCTGGATAGAAAGATACTGCTCACCTTCTTTGCCTGTGCTTCTTTTTTTTCTCACACATATTTACTGTCTCATTGTCTTTACATCTGTTTGTGAAGTGCTGGAAAATGTTGATTTGTTTTCCTATTTGTTTTGGTGTCATTGCTTCATAAATTGTCCACTTCAATGACTGCTTCTTGGATGGACACCACTTTGTTCATATTTGTACTTTTCTAAGTATCCATAATTCAACAGAGTACTAAGATGACTGTGTTGGGAATTTTCTAGATCTGGGTATTCTACAATTATTTGAAATTGATAAGATACTGCAGTACAGATTGGATTTTTTTCCATGCTCCATCATCCATGTCTTTCACTATGCTTCGTCGTATAGTCACTTTGCTAGTTACTTGCACTGGGCATTCATTTACTTGACATTTTATTCAGTGATCTGTGGATCAGGCAGTATGCCAGGCCCTATAGCTAGAGAGGTAAAGTACAGGCCTGCAGTCAATCACGGAGCAGCAGTTGAAGAGATGGACTAGTGGGACAATCACTGGTACTATGACAAGTACCATTGTGGATGGATGTAAGCACTTCCACACAGAGGAAGGAGCTCTGGTTTTCAACATAAGGAAATTGCAATTCTTTGATAGCTTAAAAGACCCCAGATTCTTTAACCAAATTGGAGAATAAATTTGAATCCTTTATAAACAGCAGCACAATAACCAGAAACTCTTTCCTTCCTGGGGTTTCAGACAGGTATGGGAGTTACTCTCACTGATAGTTTTGGAATGTTCTTAATGGGTTTTCAGCCAATCTTAAATTATATTGCCACATGTAAGTTTTATGACTGAAGACAAAACAAGTGATACCATCTCTTTGGAATTTTAATGTAGAAATTGGATGAGCAAAAGAAGTGGTTAGATGAAGAAGTAGAGAAGGTTCTATACCAACGACAAGAACTGGAGGAGCTGGAAGAAGATTTAAAAAAGAGGGAGGCCATCGTTTCCAAGAAGGAGGCCCTGTTGCAGGAGAAAAGTCACCTGGAGAGTAAGAGGTTACGATCTAGCCAGGTATTCTGTTTACTGTGCCCTTTGCCTTGGGTTCAAGCATCTTTGCCTGAAGGGGAATTAAGACATCAAGTTAGAAACCAAAAGAAAACTTTACTTACTTTCACAGTATTTTGCATATTGTAGCTATTATTAAGTGTCCATCACTAAAATCTGTAGCAATTTAGAAGTAAAATGCTTATAATGTTCTGTTAAGTATATTTTATAAAATACATAGATCATAAAATTTTGCCTTTGACCTTTTTTTAAATACACAATTCACTGGCATTAATTATATTTACAATATTTCACAATATCACCACTGTATAATTCCACATATTTCCAAATCTTTATTACTGCAAACAAAAAAAATCTGCAACCACTAAGCAATAACTGCCCTTTATTCTTCTCAATCACTGTTAATCACTTTGGTGTATATTTAAATAAATTCTACCATCTGATGCTTTATAGTAAACACTGGTAAGTTGGAAAAATACACTTGTAATCTATCTAACTGTTGCCCAAAATTCAGAGTTTGCAGGGATCCTATAAAAATTTTTGTGCAGTGAAGATTTGCTTCATTTTTAAATGATAAAGACTTGGGAAACACTTAAAATTTTTTTTTTCTTGGAGGATTTCAATTATTTTTTTAATGTGAGAGGCAGCAAGATGAGAGAGAGTTTGTTTCCCCCAAATGGCTGTAACAGTTGGGCCTCGGCCAGAACTGTGGCCAAGAGTTTAGATTGTAATCTAGGTCTCTCCATGACTAGAAAGAACCTGACTGGGCCAGTGCTGCCGCTGCCAGGGTTTCCATGAGCACAAATGCCAGATTTAGGAGCCAGCGCCAGGAATCAAATCCAGGTCCCCTCACATGGGACAGAGGCTTCTTAATCACAAAACACTGCATCCCTCTAAGTTTTGAAATGTACACACTAGTTGAAGAAGCAGTTTCATGAAGGAGTTTGCTTTCATTTTACAAGGAATGATTATGGAGGGACGCAAAGGCCTGGGGACTTTTTTGTTTGCCTATATGTACTTATTCTCACCTACGGTATCCTCACAGTGAAGCTGGCTTGACCCAGACTTGAGGAAGATGGGGCAGCTGGCCTTGGGTCTTGAGGTCAGTGATGGGACAGGCAAAGGATCCGTGACCTCCTTCTAGCTGAAACTTGCCTTTCAGGCAGCATCTCCACCTGCAGGATCTTGGCTCCTGGTGATGTTTTACAGCCTGTCCACATCAGTGACACAGATGGGGCTGAGGACCTTACACTTAGCTCTACTCTGTCCTCCTGTCCCAGGCCCTCCCCAAGCATCAGTTCCCACCAGTCCAGGGGACATACTGTGAGGGGTGGTCTTTCCAGCAAGCCTTGTGGCTATACTGCTACAAGTGGCCATCAGGGTCAAGTTGTGAGAGCTGTTTTTCAAAATAAGTAAATGACAACAAAGGAGATTAAGAAATTAAAAGTTTAAGCGAATAAAACTACTTGGACTTTAATGCTGTGTTCCATACAAAGAAAAGAAAGGGGAAAAGGGAACATACAAAAAAAAAATGACAGGAAAATCTTTCCCCTGAAATGTTTTTCATGATAAAGAAAAAATGAAAATAGCAATTTTCTGTTTATGGTGAGATGTAATGGAACATGCTGAGATAAGCAGGGGTACAAATAAATAAAAACAACAGTAGGTCAAAACAAAAATGATTCTTTTAAATTATTTTAATAAAACACACATGAGTGGCTATTATCCTGCTGAGTTCTTTGCTAAATAAAAGGCATAAAAATATTTCATCTTTTCCGTGTATTAAAAATATAAGCCTTGATGAAATACATTTCAGATGAGAAACATGATGGGCTGAACACAGGCAGATTATCCTGCTAAAATTACAGTTAAGAAATACTCTTATTTTCACACCATACACACTTAACTGAAACTGGAACTTGGGCCTATATGGAGGAGCTGAGGCTGTACAACTTTTAGAAGAATACATAGATTAAACTCTTGTGTGATGGTAGACTAAACAGTGAGTTCTTTGATTTTTTTTAACAAAACAAACAAAGGATACGTTAAAACATTTATCATGAAAAGGACACCATCGAGAAAGGGGCGATAACTCATAGAATGGCAGAGATATTTGCAAATCATATATTGGGTAAAGAAAACTATCTAATTATATAAAAATTTGTACAACTCAATAATAAAAGACAACTCAATTTTAACATGGGCATAGACCTGAAAAGAGGTCTCTTTAATGAACTTGTACAATAAGCAATACTAACCTTGCCAAAAAATGCTCAACAACATTAACCATCATGGAAATGCAAATTAAAACATATATAAGGGGCCCAGCACGATGGCGTAGTGGTTAAAGTCCTCGCCTTGCACGCCCTGGGATCCCATATGGGCACTGGTTGTAATCCCGGCAGCCCCACTTCCCATCCAACTCCCTGCTTGTGGCCTGGAAAAGCAGTCGAGGACAGGCTAGCCTTGAGACCCAAACCTGTGTGGGAGACCTGGAAGGAAGTTCCTGGCTCTGCGCTCACTTAGGGAGTGAATCATCAGAGGGAAGATCTTTCTGTCTCTTCTCCTCTCTGTATAGCCGCCTTTCCAATAAAAATAAATAAATCATTTTTTTAAAAAAGTATATAAGGTAAAACTTGATACCTTTTCCAATGTCTACAATTGGAAAAACAAATAAGTCATAGTATGGATGAGTAGGTGGGGAAATTGGAACCTTTACACAAAATGGAGCAGTTGTTCTGGATAACCATCTGCAATTCCTCAAAACGCCATCCATGGAGAGACTGTAACTCAGCAGTTCCAGCCCTTGGTGTATATCCAAGAGAAATAAAGCATATATCTACACAAAAAACTGAATACAAATATTCATTCCATAGCACAACAGCTAAACAATGTGAACAATAAAGTGTTTATCAACTTATTTGAATGGGTAAAACTCTGATCTAGCTATACCAAAGAATATTGTTTGGCAACAGCAAGAAATGAAGCACCGACTGATGTTACAACATGGATAAACTTTAAGAACATACATTAAGTGAGAGAAGCCAGTCACAGTAGAGCACCACTGTAGAATACCATTTCTATGAAATGTGCATAACGTGTACTTCTGTAGACAGAAAGTAGAATAGAGCTGGTGGAGGCTTGGGGAAGAAATGAAATGACTGCTAATTAAGACTTTCTTTTTGAGGAGTGATGAAAATGTCCTAAAATTGACTATGGTGATGGTTGCATAACTATGAATACATTAAAATAAGCCTCTGAGCTATATACTTTAAATAGGTGAGTTGTATGAGATACAAATTATATCTCATCAAAGTTCTTCTTTAAGTTATAAGCTCTCAAAGAGGAATAATAAAGCAGAGGAAGTAACAAAAGGCAAGAGTTATTAAATCTGTGGAGTGGATGTTTGTTCTGGCAGCTCCAGTTGGGTTATCCACATGCCACATTAGAGCACCTGAGTTTTGAGTCTCAGCTCCACTTCAGATCCAGTATCGTGCTAATGTGAACTCTTGGATCAACAGATGGTGGCTCACATATTTGGGTTTCTACCATCCACACAGGAGACCTGGTTGGGTTCCCAACTCCTGGCTTCAGGCTGGCCCAACCCAAACCCAACCATGGTGGGCATCGGGGGAGTGACCTAGCACATAGGAGCTGTCTCTATGCATCTCTCTGCCTATCAAAAAACTACAACTAAAATCAAAACAAAGCAAAATTTTTTTTTACTAACTTTTTTTCTAACAAGGATATGAAGTAGATGAGCGGTTACTGACTTATCAGAACAGAAGCTGCAATCCAAATGACAGAGACACACACAAAATGAGAGCCACAGTTTTAGCTTCTTTCCTATTTTTAAAAATAACAGCTTTAGGGGCCGCAATTTGGTGTAGTAGATTAAACTACGGCTTCCATTCTGGCATCTCAGGTGGGTGCTAGTTCAAGACCCAGCTGTTCCACTTCCAATCTAGCTCTCTGCTAAGTGCCTGGAAAGACAGCAGAGGACAGTCCAAGTACTTGGGCCCCTGAACCCACATGAGAGACCCTGAAGAAGCCATTGGCTCCTGGCTTCAGCCTGACTCAGCCAGCATCATTGCTGCCATTTAGGGAGCGAATCTGCAGATGGAAGATCTCTCTGTGTCTTGCCCTCTCTCTCTGTAGATGCTTTTTAAGTAAATACATATTGGAAAGTCAGATTTACAGAGAGAAGGAGAGACAGAAAGATCCATCCACTAGTTCACTCCGCAAGTGGCTGCATTGGCTGGTGCTAAACCGATCCCGGGTCTCCCACACAAGTGAAGTGTCCCAAGGCTTTGGGCCATCCTTGACTGCTTTCCCAGACCACAAGCAGGGATCTGGAAGGGAAGTGGAGCAGCCAGGATATGAACCAGCATCCATATGGGATCCCAGCACATGCAAGGTGAAGACCCGCTAGGCTGTCGTGCCAGGCCCAATATATCTTTTAAAAACAATTATAGTAAGATATAATTTACCTAAAACATCAAAATATTCAAATGTAAGTATCAATCTTTTCCAGAAAGCAGAAGTGAGGTGTGAGAATGGAAATAGGGCATAGTCAGGAAGTTCTCATTTTCTCACTCTGGTAAGAGATGATTTCTTTTTTGTAGATTGAATTCAGAGTGGTAGAGGGTTGGAGTGAGTCAAAATACTAGCCAGCAACAAACATCTCTGTATGAATTCTGAAATATCCATTTCCTAACCCCTGCTTAGATCTCAAAATACTGTCTGTCAGATTCATATTTCCTAGTGGTAAATGGCTTTTTGACTTGCTGAAACAGTCCCTGAAAAAAACCCCAAAAATATAGTTGGGATTCTGTATATTTCTAATGACAGTTTATCAGCTTTTAAATACCCAAATAACATATGATGGGCATTTCAGGAATGCAAAGACCATCAATGGTAATGACTAAAACAAATGGAAGAAAGAACCTGCAGAAATAAGAGGAAGATCAACATGATGAAAAAAACATTAAAAAAAATTAAAAATTTATTTAGTTCATGATAGTAAAAGATGATACCTACCCATAAAACAAGAAATATAGGTTATAAAGTATATGAAGAAACCTATGGAAATGAAAGGGTTTAGATGATAATGTTAAATCTTCCAGACTAAGTAAAAGTTAATGGAAAGTAGCAAAGAATTTTTAATTGTTTTTTTTAAGATTTATTTTATTTTTATTGAAAGGTGGATATACAGAGAGGAGAGACAGAGAGGAAGATCTTCCATCCGATGATTCACTCCCCAAGTGAGCCGCAACGGCTGGAGCTAAGCCAATCCGAAGCCAGGAGCCTCTTCTGGGTCTCCCACGCAGGTGCAGGGTCCCAAAGCTTTGGGCCATCCTTGACTGCTTTCCCAGGCGACAAGCAGGGAGCTGGATGGGAAGTGGGGCTGCCGGGATTAGAACCGGCACCCATATGGGATCCTGGGCGTGCAAGGCGAGGACCTTAACCACTATGCCAGGCCCAAGAATTTTTAATTGGCATATAAATCCAGGAAGCCCAGCTATCAAGTAATAGGCATTGAAGAAAGATAAAACAAGCAAAAAGAAAAGACAGATTATCTGGACATCATATAAAACTTCTGCTTAACCTGATGATATGAGATTGAAGTGGTCCCACTGAGAAGCCAGTGGAATGAGTATCTCAAAGCATGTTATGAATGTTAAGTCACTGAAGGAAAAAAAAAAATGAAGACCTTGAACACTTTTAGACAGAAAAAACGAGTCACTTGTTTAAAGAATCAAAATAGAATTGAACATCTTAATTTTTTTAATTAAAAGACTTGGGGCCAGCATTGTGACATAGTAAGATAAGCCACTGACTGCACTGGCTGCATCCCATAAGTGGCTGGTCCAAATCTTGGCTACTCCCAGCTTAGTTCCCTGCGAATGTGTCTGGAAAAGCAGCAGGTAGCACAGGATGGCCCAAGTGCTTGCATCTTTATATGTATTTGGGAGTTCCAAATGGAGTTCCTGGCTCCTGGCTTTAGCCAGGCCCAGCTCTGACTGATGCAGCCATATGGGAAGTAAATCAACAGTGGAAGATCTCTGTCTCTCCCATCTCTGTGTAATTGTGTCTTTCAAACAAATAAGCATTAGAAAAAGTATAAAAGAATTTGGAGCAACTATTTGGTGCCTAAGTTTGGATGCTTCTTGGGGTACCTGAGCTGCCTTCCTGCTAATGCATGCCCTAGGACACAGCAGGTAATGGTTCAAGTACTTGCATTTGTGTCCCCAACTTGCGAGACCATGTTACAGGCTCCTGGCTTCAGTGTGGTCCAGCCCTACCTGTTAGAAGCATTTGGGGGAATGAGCTAGTTAAAAGACCTGCTGCAGTCTTCAAACTCGTGAGGAAAGTGGCTTCCAAGCAGTAATTCCATTCTTAGCCAAACAATCAGATTTGAAAGTAGAAATTAGGGCATTTTAAGGTTTGAAAAATTATATTCAGTCAAAGCTGACTTAAAAAACTATTGTTAAGAAGATGTGCTTCATAAGGGCATAAATTATAAAAAGACAGATGATGCTGAAAACATAATCCAACCTGGAAATTCCCAGGAAACGCCAAAAAGCAATTCCTGGACAACCAATTTAGAGCAGGCAGATTAAGCCAGATGAATGTTTCCCAAAATAAGGGATTAACAAGATTTCTTGGTAAGTTTGAGAAAGTGGGAAAAATGTTGAGAGGAATTTTGTACTTCTGGAGAGTTTATAATGTACAAAAAAAGGCGTTTCAGATAAATGCACAACAGATTGGTCCCTCAGTAGCCACAGTTGATTAGCTCCAGGAACACAAGGATACCATATTCTATGGATGTGCAAGTCCCATAAATTAAATGATAATATTTTCATGTAACATACACAACCCTCCCACAAATTAGATTATTTTAAATATCTAACTTAGTGTAAATGCTATAGAAATATTTATGTGGTATTATTTGGAGAATGATGAGGAGCAAAGCTACAGTATTTTTGTATGAATATTTTCAGTCTGCAGTTGGTTGAATCCACAGAATATGGAACCTGGGGCTACAGTTGAGTTTAGTGGAGTCACAAAGTCACTATTAATGATGGTAATATAAATGCATGCAGATTTAAGTAAAAACTGTAATGAACATACTGCAAGAATGAAGAAGTAGAGAAGGTAAAAGAGGGCTAAATCCTTATCTCACCCAGTTAATAGATGGTATCTGAAATTGATAGTGTTATTTTGAAACATGTATCAAAAAATCAAAAAGAAACAGCAAGACAGGAGACTGTTTTTGGGATGTGGCCTGAGATCAACAGCTGGGACACAGAGTGCTCTGCTAAAAACCACAAACCTTATGTCACTCTGCGCACTTCTGTTATACCTGTCTATGATTAAAGTCACGAAATGTAGCATAATTTATCTTAAGTTAGGCCACAATGAGTGTTTCCATTAATCTTGCCGTGTTTTCTAACCAAAATTAAAGTAAAAACAAATTGAATGTTTAAACAAACTACTTACATGTTTAAACCCAACAAATTTCAACCTCTAGGAAATTGTAATATAATTCTATAGTGTAGCAAATTTAAAAATTCAATTTAGAAAATATAAAAGCCAAAAATTCTGCTTTCCAAAACTACCAAAAACAATTCTTGGTAGTAAATTCATAGCTTGAATCCACTTTTTAAAAAAATGCCATTAAACCTTTCTGAAAGTAAAAATCCTCTCCTCCTTCCAAGAACTCTTAAGAGAAAACATTAATATGAAACTGAAAAACATATCCATGCAGTTTTCTCCAGTTTATGTGCAGTCTGAATTTCTAGTAACTGTTTTGGGGGTCTCTGGTGGGTTCTGTCTCCGTAGGCCTTAAACACGGATAGTTTGAAAATATCAACTCGCCTAAACTTGCTGGATGAAGAGTTATCTGAAAAGAGTATACAGCTCCAGGGCAGCACAGCTGAAGACAAAATAAAGATTGTAGAACAAGTGCAAGCCCTCCAGAAAGAAAAAGATCAGCTCCAGAAACGAAGAAACAGTGTGGATGAAAAACTTCAAAGCGGTCGCACGTTATCACCCGAAGTAAGTCAGTACTCCTTGGAGCTGGAGGTGCTGTACGACGATGGGTCTGTTGGGTGATGGCCTCGGTCTCTGTCACATAACCATAAAGTGATAAATCTGCTCAACTTCGTTTCCTTGAGACTTTGTCAGATGTAATGAATTCACCTGGCACCTCTTTGGCACCATGACCCTGATCCGACTAAGGACTGAGACATGCTCACATGGTGGTCCTTGGTCATGGCTCCTTTGAGCCTTGCAAGGTGTTGGGAGGAGTTAGCTGACCCTGACTGGAATCACAGAGCACAGAAGGATGTCGAGTTCTCAGCTCTTCCAGGAGGGCACCACCTGCCTTAGCAGTCTGTTACAGACAGTGACTCCCAGGGCATGCAGGGTTCATTCTTTCCATGAAACCTTGGTTGAGAAAGACTCATTGTTTGAGATCATGTTCCACACTCCAGTCAAATAAAAGGCACAAAATTCAAATTTTTGTAAAATACTTTTCAGCTACAGTTTTCATTTAGGAAAACATATGGCTCCTCTTCTCAGTGTTTTTTTTTCCAACCATGTGTGAAAAATGATTCGTTTGTTGGCTCGCAAATTGTCCCAGACTTTGTCTTTTTTAAGCTCAGTTGTTAATGGGACCTGCACCTTTTGAATTTTTTGAGCCTGAATTTTCTCTGCAAATATTTATTGTTTATTTCCCAGCCCTTCCCAAAGAAAGGGAAAATTGCTGAAAGAAGATAAATAGCTAAAAATCACTCACCTTGCTGACTCTCGTAATGTTTTACATTGGATCAAGTCAGAGGACATTCGGGGGCTAATTGAGAATAGGAGAAAGGATAGTGGCACTGAAGGACATTATATACTTTTCCCACTCTGCTCTGTAATGTAACTCGGATAGGGTGGTTGTGCTGAAGCTCATAAAGTCAGGCAGCTCTCACAAATTGGAGTCCCAGGCTTGCAGATGGTAAGGCAGAAGAGCCCATTACAGGAAAATTTAGGTACTTGAGGCACTCTTCCTTTTCAGGACTGCTGGTAAGCCCTATAGAAGAAATTTTAAAAGTATTGTATTATCCTTCCCTTGGGATATTCACAATCTGAGAAAAAAAGCTAGTAAACTCTAAATTTTAAAAGTATAAAAGAGTAACTTATGCATAATGGAATAAAGCTATCCTTGTATCACATTATTTATGCAAAGCAGCACAGTGATTGGAGGACAGTTCATCAATGCAGCTGAGGTGAAGTGGAACCTTGAGCTAGATTACCAAAACAAGAAGGTCATTTTAGGTAGAAAAGTGTTGAATAAGGTGTGGAGACAGGAATGAGCAAATTATGATTCCAGAAAGGTAGGAAACATTATTGTCAAGAAACATTTAGGATTCTATTTCATGAACATTGTGGTAGGGGTGGTTGTGGACATCTGGCCTAACAGTTAAGGCACTAGTTAGGATGCCAGTGCCCCACGTGGCAGTTCCTGAACTCAGGGCCGGGCTCGAGCTGCCAATCCCAGCTTCCTGCTAACGTGGCTCCTGGTAGGCAGCAGATGGTGACCGAGTCATCGTGTCCCTACCATTCATGGAGGAGACATGGCTTGAATTCTCAGTTCCCAGCTTCTGCCTGGCCTGACCCCTACTGTAACAGGAATTTGGGGATTGAACCAATGGATATCTCTATCTCTCTATCCCTCATGTCTCCCTCATCTTCAGACTCCCAGTGAAACCGTTAAATGTATCTTGACAATAGAATAGTGGACTTTTTTGTCTATACCTACAGTGTCATGATACACTGAAATAGCAGAATGAGAATGATGGGCTTCTGTTGTTGAATGACTACACTATTGTAATAATATAGGAGAAATCCAGAAGGGGAGGGAAAGGGGAGCAGGAGGGTGGGAGGGGAAATCCCTGAGCCTATGGAAATGTATCATGAAAAGCAAAAAAATTAAGAACAAAAACAATAAAAAGAATGAAAAACATCTAAGAAAAAAAAACACTATGTATGGATTGGTGGCAGGTGTAAGACAGCATATGATACACTTATTTAGCAGCTTCAGTGGATTGTTGGAGGGAACGACGGCCTCCTGCCCCTCATGGGGTTCCATTCAGTCACATGATCTTCTGTGCACCTTCCACGAGGTAGGTTGGGTCTCAGTGTTGTTAAGCAGCCTCTGCACATCCCACTGTCAAAGTCCAGATTAACACACCCCAGGAGGATCAGTCAGTAGCAACAGGTCAGTGACGTGAGGTTCTGAAGTGACACAGGACAGCAATAAAAACTGGGTGGAATGGTTTGTTATTTTGCTATCATTAATTTTAGAATTATATTTCTCTTTCACAATAAATCACAATATTTTCCCTAATAATATTGGTTTATGGGAGGTAATAAAATGATTTCACACTAAGAAAGGATTACCCAACAATTTTCTACAAACATCACATTAGAAATGCAGATATTTTTAGGCCTCACCGAGGCCCATTCAATCAAAATTTAAATTTTATCAAGCTCCTTTGTACACTGTACTTTGAAAACCAGGACTCCTTGATAAAGCATAGCCAATTCTTGATCATCTGTGGTTTGTACTTGGGCAAATTTTTCATCCTGGAAAGTTTCCCATGACCATGTCTTCTGTCAGCTTACACCTGTTACTAAGATGTCAGGCAACCAATCACATACTATTAAATGCAGTAGCTTCGCTGCAGCAGGTGAGATGTTATAAAGTCACATCTCAGTACTTCCATGACTGTGAGCACTAAATTTACACTAAACAGTTGGCAGTAAGGCTTGTCAAACTAGTTTTGGTAAAATCGAATGATCATATAAATTCAAAGGTTAAGTATTTTTTGGATAATTCATTTTTATTTTGTGGTTCCTTTCAGTTATCCACCTCAGTACCTTTCAGTACTTAAGGCTTTTTTTCCTTTAAAAAATGAATGTCATTTGTCCCCTCTGGAATAATTATCAAATCCTCAGATTCCTGATGGTAATTACACAGAGAAATAAAATAGTTGTTGAACATTTTTCAAGATGGCTCTTTATGATTTCATAAAGTGATTTTTAAAAATAAGTTTATGTGGTCTCTCACTAGAATACGTTATTACATTACATACCAGTTCCCTGAGCTCTGGAAGTCACTTTATTCTTTAGATTAAATGTAAATTCCTTATTTTCATTTCAGATGCCTGGGGAGGAAGAGAGCAAAGAAATGCTTGGGTCACATTACCAACAATATATGAAAAAACAAAGTGTCATGGGAATAACCTACTATGATAAAAACTACATGAATTTCAAGAAATTTTTACACTAAAATAGACTTATCTATAATTGAATGCTCCTATAAGCTTTTTTGATCGAACTTTTATTTTTTCACCTCTTCCTTCATTAACTTGCTCAAGACACTGGGTGCAAGCGATATGACAGGTTCTGGGGTCTATAGTAGAAAGACAGGATTAGAAGACAGTTTGAGGAACCAAAGATTTAGGCAACCTCCACAGCAGGCATAGGTGCACGGAAACGCATATCCAGACCTCGCCAGTCTGAAGTCATTTCCTTTAGATTTGGATCCCGTAAACAACCTAAATTAGGGTTGACAGGTTTTGGGGCAGGGATTCAGGGTGATTTTTTTTTTTCTTATAAAGAAAATCTCTATTAAATGAAAAAAAAAATGCCTCCACCATTTTTAATGTCTTTTCCTACTAACAGTTCATAGGAATCTTATGAAATATTTGATGTTCTTGAGCCTCATTGCTGTTTTTTTCTTGCTGTCACACTGTGGTTTTCCCTGGAGACTCTCCTCAAATTACTGTTTCTTCTTTCTCTCTTTTTGTAAATAACACTTCTTTAAGAGATTTTTTTTTAATTTATTGGAAAGTCAGAGTAACAGGGAAGATAGATCTTCCACTGCAATATTCATTCCCCAGATACCCACAAGAGCTAGGGTTGGAACATAGTAAAGCCAGGGTCAGAACTCCAAGCATTTCTCCAGCTTGAATGGCAGGGACCCATTGTCTGTTGCCTTCCAGGTGAGTTAGCAGGAAGCTGAGTCAGAAGTGGAATAGACGGGACTTGAACCAGCACCCTGATGGGGATGTAGACATCCCATGGGGCATCTTAACTGGTTGTACCACAACACTGCCCTGGGTGACTACTTCTTAATAATTTAGTAAAATTTTCCTTCTGTTCCTGTTAGCAATATATAAGCACAGTTCAAAAGTTCATGGAAAATTTTGATTAAAAGAGAAATTTATTTTGGTACAATTTCTTTTCAGACAATTTTGGAATCCACCACATATTTTTTTTTATAATGAACATTTTCCATGAACTTCCAGAGACCCCTGGTTTGTCTCACAGATCTTTGCAGGGGACAGCAGGGGCCCCCTGGCTCTCAGGAGTGCTGTTACTGACGTGGAATACGCGCTCCAGGGTGTCGGGATGACAGTACTGCTAGCCTGGGGGCCGGGGCCTGGCTGAGGCTTGGAGTATATTCCTCAGACTCAGTGATGAGCATCTGCTGGATGCTTAGAACATTACAGAATCTCACCCAATGTCTGCCGCTTTCATTTTGTTTTTATTGGGAGGATTCAGTGATTATATATGTCTATAAAGTACAGCAAGTAAAACATTATTTTCCTAAAATTTCGTCAAATAGCAGTGTCCTTTAGACTGAAATATCATTAAGTATAATCTGACTGTATGACAAATTTCAACTTTTACTATTTCATTTAAAATGAGTGGTTTCTTTTGAATTGTATCTAGGAAGAACATTTTCTTTTCCAACTTGAAGAAGAGATCGAAGCTTTGGAAGCTGCAATTGAATACAAAAATGAAAGTATCCGGAGTCGACAGAACTCACTCAGAGCTTCCATCCAAAACCTGTCCCACAGTGAGGCCAATGTCCTGCAAAGGCTAGTTTGCTTGAATCCTGCTGAAACCAGAGCTATTCTTTTCAGATATTTCAATAAGGTTTGTTTTTCTTATTAAGAGTAATCAAAATGCTTATACAAAGAAACTTCAAATAGTTCATGGGAAATAGAATTTAAAGATAAGTTTACTTTGCCACAAGGTTTTAGAAAAAAAAAAAAAACTATTTGTGGATTTCAGGTGTTTTTTTAATACCAAAATAAACTTCTAAATTCCATTTTACCATGAAAACTACTGTATTGCCTATATTTGTTTTGAATTTTTTAATAAGTCAAAAGGCTAAAGCAGTGATTATGTAGCTACAATTTAAGCAGCTTGTCTCTTTGTAATACTAATGTAATTTTTTTTAAGATTTATTTATTTATTGGAAAGTCAGATATACAGAGAAGAGGAGACAGAGAGTAAGCTCTTCCGTCTGATGATTCACTCCCCAAGTGAGTGACTCAGGGGCGATGCTATGCCGATCTGAAGCCGGGAACCAGGAACTTCTTCCAGGTATCCCGTATGGGTGCAGGGTCCCAAAGCTTTGAGCCGTCCTTGACTGCTTTCCCAGGCCACAAGCAGGAAGCTGGATGGGAAGTGGAGCTGCTGGGATTAGATCCGGCACCCATATGGGATCCCGGGCATGTTCAAGGCGAGAACTTTAGCCGCTAGGCCACGCCGCCAGGCCCAATACTAATGTAATCTTACGAAAGTTTTGTGATTATTCCAATATGTAGGCCTGACTTTAACATGGAGGGCCTTAGGATGTGGGTCTGGTGGTTGGCACAGCATGTTAAACTGCCACTCGGGAAACCTTCATCACTTCATTTCTGTCTGATGTGCACCCTCAGAGGCACATGAACTGCTCAGACGCGTGGGTGCCTGTCAGCCACACTGAGGTCCTGAACTGAGTCCTTAGTGACCGGCTTTGGCCTGCTATGGCCCCCAGCTGTTAGCAGTATTTTGGAGAGTGAACTAGCAGATGGATCATTCTGTCTTTCATTCTGCTATTCAAATAAACTTTTATAAGAAGTTGGAGGACCTTGCAATAGAAGACCTTTAAATATAATTTTACGCACCAAGGAATTTAAATTATATTCCTTATTACTTCCTGGATGTTTCTAGATTTGGATGTTGCCATGCAGTATTCATGACAAATCAAGGGCGGTTTAAGGTCTGATTCCCTGCCTTCATTTGTGTTAGAATTTGGGAATGCTACATTGTCATCATCATGCTGAGCTGAGGAGGTGAAATGGCACATCGATGGGAAAGACAGCAATAGATTTTACTAACCTGAATGTGTTTAAGTTGATTAAAATTTTATATGAATTTGACACCCGTTTCATGGCACTGGTATTTACTGATACTCATCTTTTCTCTAAAACTTTTTCCACATAACATATTTATTATCAAATGTCTTTTCCTTATAGGATATATGAAAGTTTGTGGAAAAGTTGATTAAAAGATAATTTATTTTAATGGGACAAATTTTGAAATTCATGAAGATTTTTCGTAATACATATTTTCCTGACATTTTTCAAGACCTTTGGTACCTTAAATAAATTTTCTAAACCTATAAAACACAGATGAAAATATTTCCAGCAGTCAGTTCTTGGTTGACCGCTATCAGCAATAAGCTGGTGACAGTGTATCCTGTTGCAGGTGTCTGCAGGAAAGAAAAATGGGGACGTATTGCCCCTGCCTTGGATGACTCCTGTGGTACCTTTAAAGCAAGGCTCTTACCACAAGATGCCTTGGCAAGACAGTGAATTCTTTGTCCCTGAGAATTCTTTGGAAGTTAGTTGTTTTCTGTAAAGAACATTATTAGATTAATATACATGACTTGAAACTGAACTATGCTTATAGTTTTTGAAATGTCACTTATAATACCCATTTTGGAGCTGAAACAGAATTATCTATATGTTACAAAGAGTTGTTAGCAGCTCAGAATCCAGATAGTATAGAGAAATAGAGTTATAGCAATATAAAATGTAAACTACAACAAACACATCTAAGCAATAATGGAGGACTGCTTATTGAAGAACATTGTGTGAGAAAGGAAAGTGTTGCTAGGCAATGTTGTGCTGCAGTGGGTTAAGCAGCTGCTTGGGACACTCATTTTCAAGTCTGTGCTAATACTCTGCTCCCATTCCAGATTTCTGTTAATGGACCCTAAATGACAGTGAATGATGGCCCAAGTACTCAAGTCCCTGCCATTTATATGAAAAAAAAAAATCTGAATCACAACAAATTCAAATGACTATGACGTTATTTTGTGAATAGGTCCTAAGCATTGCTTAGGATCCAATACCTTGCAGGATTCACTTAGACAAGAGTACTTCAGAACATTTAGCAAAAGTGAAATTAAAAGATAAATTTATGCATCCCCTTTGACAATGCCCAGGTTGGTGTCCTGGCCTTCTAATGCACACTCTGAGAGATAACAGGTGACAACTGAAGCTCTTGGGCCCTGGCCTCATTACAAGATGGATCATATTCCAAGCTCCTGTTTTGGCCCACCTAAATTTGGCTGTTGGGAGCCGTGGGGAGTGAGGCAGTGGACGGACGATCTGTGTTTGTCTCTGACCTTCTCATACAATTTTTAAAAACAAAACAAAAAACCTGAAAAATTTTGTGTAAGAAAATTTTATTCCATGTATATGAGGGTTCTTCAAAAGGTTCATGAAAGGCGTATTTTTAAAAAAATATGTATGGGTCTCAAAAAAGTTTTACGCTCAAAAATCTATTAATTCCACTTTCCATGAACATTCTGAAGTACCCTCCTATTTGAGAAAGTAAGAAAAATCATTTCTACATAGCCTAAATAAATTAATGTATTATTTTAGGTTACTAGACACACTTAAAAGGTAAAAAATTTGTATTTGTAGGTGGTTAGTTTGCGAGAAGCTGAGCGAAAACAACAATTAGAGAATGAAGAGATTAAAATGAAGGTTCTGGAAAGGGATAATATGGTTCGTGAGTTGGAGTCTGCACTGGAACACCTAAAATTGCAGTGTGATCGGAGATTAACCCTACAACAAAAAGAACATGAGCAAAAGGTGCAGCTGTTGTTACATCACTTCAAAGGTAACTGCCCTTTTAATCAGTTAAGCAAAGGTACTCCGTGGGTGGGGAATTGAGGAAGGGGCAGGAGAGAATCTGATCACGTAAAAGCCTAAGATGTACAAGGGTACTTCAGCAAGTTCATGGCAAAACAGGATTTAAAAATGTTTGCCTGGGTGCAAAAAAAAAAAAAATTCTTTTTGAGTGTGCAGTAAAGTTTGTTGTGGTCCGATAGTTTAAGCGGCTGTTTGGAATGCCTGTACCCCCAGTTTGAATACCAGCTACTTTATTTCCAGTCCACTCTCCTGCTAACGCAGCACAAGGAAGGAGCACATGGTGCCTGAAGTCCTTGGGTCCCTGCCACCCATGCTGGAGACCCAGTTGGAGTTTCATGCTCCTGGCTTCTTCCTGGCCCAGCCCTGTTTGTTGTGGACATTTGGGTAGTAAACCAGCAGATCAGAGGTCTTCCTCTGTCTGTCTGTCTTTCTTTCACTCCCACTTTCTCTGGTGCTCTGCCTTTCAAGCACCTGATCATAAATATTCAAAAAGTTTCTTGAATCCATGCATAGTTTTTTCCTGATATGCATTTTCTGTGAACTTTTTTGAAGATCCCTAATATGCATGGATTTTCAAAAAATTTTGCTCCAAGACACATATACTTTATTAACCATTTTCCATGAATATTTATTCAGGCTGTGTGTGTGTGTGTGTGTGTAATAGAAAGTTTTCAAAAAAAAAAAAAAGAAAGTTTTCTTTACATGTTTTGGTTACCATATACTGGGAGAGCTGTCTTTACTATGAGGATATTCACATATTAATGCCATCACTTCTGCTGGCCCCCAGTACACACACAAACTGCTATAATCCCACCAGTCTGTGACTGATCTACCTTTTGGTAAAAATGTGTTTCTAGCTCACAGGGAAACAGAATGATATTTAAATATTTTCCATTCACTCAGTTTAAATTATAGACTGTCAGATTCCTAGTTATCTCTCTCAGTATAATTTTTATTTCATTGCACAATTTCAGGCAGTAAAGTTTGTATCTTAGGTTACAATTGGTGTCCATTTATACGTACATGCTGTTGTTAGCGAGCAGCAGTTCAACTATCAACTCCATTGTAGACCAGACAGCTGTCAGTCATTGGGCCTCACCTTACCCAGGCAGTCGGCCAATATACAACCAGCTACTATAGCAAAAAAACCACTGCCAGAGGAGACTACTGCTGCTGAAATCCACGCTGTTTAGTCTTGATTCTCATGAATCTGAAGCTGAAAATTCTCATGAATCTGAAGCTGGTCAGAAGTCATGAGGAAGAAGCAAAAGACAAGATTTCCTTGTCAGGATGCCACATACATCAAATACATGCCACATTCAAATACGCTTCCCTTCCTTAACGTTAAGGCTCTTAAAGTGACATTTTATTCAAATTCTACACTATTTTTAGTGTCTGGAGCTGTCCCTTAAAAGCTCATGCTACAAGCAAATACAAACATCTGAAAAATTTAAAATTTCTTTATACAAATTTTCATAACAAAATTAAAATTGAATATGTCAACAGTTATGAATTTTCCAATTTCCAGCAAATATGGGACATAAAAATAACTTTGTTTATATAATGTGCTTTATGGAGATTTTGAATTACAATAAAGTATTTTTGGAAATAACATGATGAGTTAATATACAATGATACTTAAATAAAATTTTATAAAATAGCAAATTATAGCAAAAGAAAATTACAAACTAGTAGGACCATTTTATAGCAATGCTAGTAGGAGAAGGTTAAGTCTGAAGTATTTTCTGAAGGTCAGTGTTATTAGTGAGATTTTTGTCACTAAACAAGCTACTCACGAAGGAAGGATGCTTATTTTGGCTCACTGTTTTTGCAGGTTCAGAGTCCGAGATCAGGTGGCCTCATGAGCTAGCCATCTTCTGGTGAGGTCCGAGGATGGTCATGGCGTAGCACATGCAGAGGGAGGATCGCACAGTGAGCCAGGAAGCCCAGGCCCAACTCTTAACAACAACATCCTTCTGAGAGCATGTCCCCTCCTAAGGACCTCCCTGTGGGCCTGCCTCCCCAACACTCAGGACTTAGGGATCTAAGTCCAGTGTGAGTTTGGGAGCCACATCTTTTTCAGTTATTGGTTCTAAAACATAACCAAGTGAGAATAGTATTAGAGATCTGTAAATATTAATTGGAAACTGTTATATTGTGGCCTAAACTAGAGCTTTACCAGTTCTGATTCCTATTCTTTATCCACGGTGCGATCCTTTGTGACCTAATTTTTCTAGTCTAAAGATTTTGTTTTTTGTGGGATTTTGGACTATACATTTCTTGTACCTTTAAATGCTAGGCTTATGAATTTCTAAATAACCCAGCTACTGTTTTAAATTAAATAAGGTATAATGTAGCAGATGGATAGAGCCCCAAGCATCAGAACTTAAAGTCTAGCAGAAAAGCCTGGGCATCGTGCAAAGCTGGTGGTTGGTAGGGGCAGGATAGAAAAGGTGGCTGAGGGCTCATTGCTTTGAAAGATACCACAGGTAGAAGAATCCAGATTGCAGCTGAAAACCGTTGCACTCGGGTAACAGACAGAAAGGACAAATTTCTGACCCTTTTACCTGTTAGGCCGTAATGTTGAATCCTCTGTTGATTTTACATGTAAGTTTCTATTTTATAGAGCAAGGCGGAGAAGGCATTACGGAAACTTTAAAAACATATGAGGATAAAATCCAGCAGTTGGAAAGAGATCTTTATTTCTATAAGAAAACTAGCAGAGATCTTAAGAAGAAGCTGAAAGAACTGGTAGGAGAAGCAGTTCGGCGGCAGCTGGCACCACTGGGAAGTAAGACTTTGAGTTTACTTGTCACACACACTGTCTAGCTTTTGGGGAAATCATTGCCGATTAGTAGTGTAATGTTTTTGATTGACTGACTCTTTTTCCTTTTTTTTCACTTAAGACAAAACCACATAAGAAGTAAATGAATAATAAATAAATAATGAAATGAAAAATAAATAAATAATGACAAGGAAATAGTCTTATTGATTATCTGTCCTGTTCCAGGAGCCTTTGCAGTTCATAACTCCTTAATTTTTAAATTCTATAATGTAACATAGCTGATGGTTTCCAGTTTTATGATAAATTAAACTTTTTATTATTAAAAAGATGTAAAGATCAAAGTGTATATATTTCTAAGGTAATAGGTCTCTTCATGTCATTACCTCTGGAAAGTAATAAATAACAATGTTCATTGTTGAGATAAAGATGTTCTGAATTTTTGTTTTAGGTACATAGAATTGGCACATTCCTAAATGAAATAAAACATGTCAAAGACTTTGCAAAAGTTAGAAGTGCCATAAAGGCGGTATTTTTCTATTATTAGAATTTACCCTCTTTAGGAAAACTGATTAAAAATTAGCATTTCTAAAATAATATAGTTTATATAAAAGAATTGATCTTCCTTTAGAGAAGTATAGTTTATGAAAAGCTGGCTTTAAAAACTTCTATAAACATCCATTTTGTACCTCTAAAGGAAACTGCTTAAAATTGGAGACATAAGATATAACGAGACCATGAAAAATTGTATAGTTTAAAAATTTTAATTTTAAAAATATTAATATATTAAAGATAAATATATAATATATAACATAGTATGTAATATTTACTATATTAAATATTTAAATTTCAATATGTAATAGTTAATGTTCAATATATTATGCAATATATAAAACCTTTTAAATATTAAAATTTTAATTTTAATATAATTAAAACTTTTTTAAATTGTATAATTGTATGTCGATTGTATAACTGACATGCTGAGTATGTATTAGGAGAATTAACACTTTAAAAAAATTTAAAATACAATAATGCTTTAAAACAATTCTAATGCTACCTTATGTTTATCAATTATAGGTATTTTCATAGATACTAAGCCCTCAAACTCAGGGTAGACTGGTATCTGCTAACCTTATTTTTGGTTCCTACTTTATTTTTGTTTAATTGAGTGATCTTCCATCCATTGGAAGACCCATGACAGCTAGGGCTGGGCTGGGCTGGAGCCTCCGTCCAGGTGGTCTCTAGCTGGCAGGGATCCAGTCACTTGAGCCAGTATGTGCTGCCTCCCAGTGTGCAGTAGCAGGGAGCTGGATGGAAGTGACAGTAAGGCTGAAAGCCAGGCACCGCAGTGTGGCCTGTGATGTCATCACTGCAGCCCCTAAATGCCCACACTGCTAACTGTATTTATAAATGAAGCCACATGGTGTAGGAAGGCCTAGCCTCTCATGAACAGAACACTAAATAGAACCCATTCTAAAAGTCTTTCCTCTTCTGATTCCTGGTCCAGCGTTCAAGTATCAAAGTTCTCTCATGATGGAGACACAACATAAACTTAGGTAACAGCATTCTCAGTGTGAGGACCCATACATGGCATAAGTAGGTTAAGCCTCAGCCTGCAGTGCCAACATCCCACATGGTTTGAGTCTTGGCTGCTGCACTTATGAACCAGCTTCCTGCTTATGGCTGCTTAAGGGGGAAACGTGAAGGATGGCCAAGTCGTTAGGCCCCAGCACCCATGTGGGAGACCAGAGAAGCTCAGGGTTCCACCCTTCAGCCATTGGATCCATTTGTGGAGTAAACCAGCAGATAAAAAAATTGCCTTCTCTTTGTAAATCTTTAATAATTTCCATTATGGTAATGCATAAGTCCTTACTAATACAACTCAAACATTTATATGAAATATTGCCTGAAATATACAGCTAAAATTTCTACTTGAAATAGCACTTGAAAAAAATAGAGATCAATACACTTAAAGACTATTTTAGCTTTAAAAAATAATTTATTTTACTGGAAAGACAGATTTATAGAGAGAAGGAGGGACAGAAAGAAAGATCTTCCATCTGTTGATTCACTCTCCAAGGAGCCACAATGGCCAGAGCTGAGCCAATCCAAAGCCAGGAGCCAGGAACTTCTTCTGGGTCTCTCATGCAGGTGCAGGTCCGCAAGGCTTTGGGCCATCCTCAACTGCTTTCCCAGGCCACAGGCAGGGAGCTGGATGGGAAGTGGAACAGCCAGGACATGAACTTTCGCCCATATGGGATCCTGGCATGGACAAGGCGAGGCTTTATGAGCCATCATGCTGGGTTAGCTTTTTAAAAATACACTTTTGAGGATTGGTGGCTAAATCTCTGCCTGTGGCACCAGCATCCCATATGTGTATCAATTGGGGTCTTGGCTGCTGCACTTAGGATCCTGCTCCCTGCTGGTGACCTGGGAAAGCAGCAGGAATGGCCCAACCTCTTGGGCCCCTGCACTCACGTGGGAGATCTGGAAGAAGCTCCTGGCTTCCAGCTTCGGACTTAGCCCAGCTATGGCTGTTGCAGCCATTTGGGGAGTGAATCAGCAGATGGAAAAATCTGTTTCCCTCTCTTTCTTTCTGTAAATTGTTCAAGTTAAATACATTTTTTAAAAAATCCACTTTTGGAGCCAATGTTGTGGAACATTGGGTTAATCCAACACTTGACAATGACAGTATCTCATATTGGAATGCCAGTTTGAGTCCCAGTTACTTCAGTTTCCATCCAGCTTTCTGCTAAAGTATCTGAAGAAGTAACAGGTGATGACCCAAGTACGTAGGCCTCTGCCACCATGCAGGAGACCTAGGTGGAGTTCTGGGTTCCCAACTTTATCCTGTGCCAACACTGACTAAAGCCATTTGGGGATTAAAGATCTCCGCCTCTCCCTCTCTGTCACTCTTTTAAACAAATAAACCTTAGGGCCCGGCGGCGTGGCCTAGCGGCTAAAGTCCTCCCCTTGAACGCCCCAGGATCCCATATGGGCGGCGATTCTAATCCCAGCAGCTCCCCTTCCCATCCAGCTCCCTGTTTGTGGCCTGGGAAAGCAGTTGAGGACAGCCCAAAGCCTTGGGACTCTGCACCCATGTGGGAGACCTGGAAGAAGTTCCTGGATCCTGGTTTCGGATCGGCATAGCATCAGCCATTGTGCTCACTTGGGGAGTGAATCATCGGACGGAAAATCTTCCTCTCTGTCTCTCCTCCTCTCTGTATATCTGACTTTGTAATAAAAATAAATAAATCTTTAAAAAAGAAGACAAATAAACCTTAAAAAAATCCACTTTCAAGGAGTAGGGATTTTTTTAAAGATTTATTTTAATTCATTTATTTAGAAAGACAGATTCATAGAGAGAAGGAGAGACTGAAAAAGATCGAACTTCCATCCACTGGTTCACTGCTCAGATAGCTGCAACAGCCAAAGCTAAGCCAGTCTGAAGCAGGAGCCAGTAGCCAAGAGCCAGAAGCTTCTTCCTGGTCTGCCGTGTGGGTGCGGGGTTCAGGAAGGTAGATGTGAAGTAGGATAACTGGGACATGAATCGGTGCCCATATGGGAATGCTGGTGCTAGCAGGGAAAGGATTAGCGTGTCAAGCCACAGCACTGGCCCCAAGGAGTAGGAATTTCATCTTACAGTTAAGACACCCACATCAAAGTACCTGGATTTTTGATACCTGGTTCCAGCTTAATACGAACATAGATCCTTGGGAAGCACTGGTGATGCTCAAGAAATTGGTTTTCTCCACGCACCAAGTGAAAAACCTGGGTTGAGTTCCCACTTCTGGTTCTGGCCTAGTACAGCCCTAGTCATTCTAGCCATCTGGCGGGTAAACCAAAAGATAGGAACTCGCAACTGTCTCATTTTTTTTTTAAGATTTGTTTATTTTTATTGCAAAGTCAGATATACAGAGAGGAGGAGACACAGAGATTCACAAGTGGCCCCAATGGCTAGAGCTGAGCTGATCCAAAGCCAGGAGCAATGAACCTCTTCTAGATTTCCCATGTGGGTGCAGGGTCCCAAGGCTTTGGGCCGTCCTGGACTGCTTTCCCAGGACACAAGCAAGGAGCTGGATGGGAAATGGGGCTGCTGGGATTAGAACCGGCGCCCATATGGGATCCCAGCGCATTCAAGGAGAGGACTTTAGCCATTGTGCTATCGCGCCAGGCCCAACTGTCTCATTTTTAAAAATCTACTTTAAATTTGAAATATCTGAAATTAGGTACTTAATTTGTAAATGGTCCATGCAGAGTATACTGGGCACTTTAAAAATATTTATTTGTTAAAATAAAACTTATTTACTTATTTACTTATGTACTGGTTCACTCCCCAAATAATTTTGATATCTGGACCAGGCTGAGGCCAGAAGCCCAAAACTCCCATCCTAGTCCCCCAAGTGGGTGTCAGAGACCCAAGGACTTGTACCATCATCTACTGTCTTCCCATGTGCATTAGAGAAAGTTGAATCAGAAGTGGGACATCAGGCCTTGGACAGACACTCAGATGTATGGGATACCAGTGTTACAAGCAGCAATTTACCCCACTGCACCATTGTGCTGGCCCCCTGGATATTTCTTTCTAAGTAATAGAAATTTAGAACAATTTTTTAGTAATAAAAAATTACTTTTTAGTAATAGAAAACAGTAGTACACTGGTGTTTTTTTAAGAAACCTGGATTTTTATCCTGCTCTCAAATGAATCAAATAGACAATGTTGAGAATTGGAGGATTATTAAAATAATATGAGGATAATACCTATCTAACCAATTTTTCTTGGAAGTCTAGTGTGGATTACAGTGGTGAAAATATTACTTCAGTTAACTTGCTGTTTTACTTAAAAACATTTTAAATACTTTCAAAAATTGGATGTAAGAAGGAATTTACAAGGGTACTTCATAAAGTTTATGGGAAACTTGCATTACACTGGTCTTAGGTAAAAGGCGATGAAGCAACAAAAAGTGAATAAGTTAAAGGGTTAGTGTGGTACAATGGGTTGAGCTACCACCTGTAATGCCTGCACCCCAGAATTAAGAGTGTCAGCTACTCTGCTTCTGATCCAGTTCCCTACTAATGGTCCTGAGAGAGCACCAGAGGATATCCTGTGTGATTGGGTCTCTACCACCCATGTGGGAGACCCAGATGAAATTACTGACCCCTGGATCAGACCTGACTGTTGTGGCCATTTGGGTAGTGAGTCAACAAGCAGGAGATTCTCTCTTTCTCCCTCTCTCTCCCTATCTCATGTTGCTCTACTTTCTAATAAATACCCTTTTTTTAAAAAAATAAAAAAGGTTGGTTTATTTTGGTGCAAAAATATTGACTGTGGTCTTTTTATAATATGCATTTCTATGAACTTTTTGAAGATCCTTCTTACAGTCATTATAGAGACTCTTAAATACAGGAAAAACAGATCTCCAATACCCTTTCTTAGATTTTTACACAGTTCCTTTCATATTTTCCCTATACTTCAAAGGGTATTTTATAAACTTCTTCATAAAGAATAAAATGGGTTTAGGAAGACAGTCATCGCCCAGCAGTTAAAAGAACAAGTAGGACATCTGCATTGCATGTTTAGAATTCTAGGTTCAGTACCAGGCTCCACCTGAATCCTGCCTCATACCAGTGTAATCCCTAAAAGGCACCAGATGATGGCTCAAGTAATCTGGTCCCTGCTGCCCACATGAAAAATCTGGATTGAGCAATTAGCTCCTGGCTTTAAACTGGCCCTGTGTTGGCCATTGCCGGCGTGTAGAGTGTGTACTAGAAAATGGAGAAGGGGCTCTGTATCTCAAGTAAGTAAATTTTAACTCAGCTTAAATGGGCAGTCTCTATTTGCTCACTTAAATATTCAAAACTTTCCTTGTGTCCACTTACACAAAACTTACTACAAAACTATGTGAGGATACCAATCAGAAGATCTGGAGTCAGAAGATCTGTTTTTTTTTTTTTTTGCAAAACTATGAGACTTTGAACAAACTAATCTTTTCCTAAATTATTTACTTTGTTCAAATAAAATTCCAGAAGAGAGAAACTTTCTGTTGTGAAGAATCAGAGGGTTTAGGAGTGAATATTGTGATGTTCACTGGGGATCTCTATGTGGTGATCTCTAAGGTGGTTAAAAAGTAAGATGTTGGGGCTTGGCACAATAACCTTCCTAGTGGCTAGATCCTGGCCTTGCAGCTGCAGGGATCTCAGATGGGCCCAAGTTCATGTCCTGGCTGCTCTACTTCCATCTGGCTCCCTGCTTGTGGTCTGGGAGGGCAGTGGAGGATGGTCTTGCCTTGGGACCCTGCACCCACATGGGAGACACAGAAGAAGCAGCTCCTGGTAGGCTTTAAATTGGCTCAGTTCTAGCCGTTGCGGCCACTTGGAGAGTGAACCAGCAGATGGAAGATCTTTCTGCATCTCTCTCTGTAAATGTGATTTTCCAATAAAAATAAATCTTCAAAAAAAAAAAAAAAAAGATGTCTGCTTTCTTCTCCAGACATGGACAGCAGGAATTTTACAAGCCTTCTGGTCACTAATAATTGCAACAGTCTGTGGCCAACTTTGTATTCCCTTTAGTTCCATGTGAGGACCTATGTCCTTTGCTAGTTCAGGTGTTTTGCTTCATGGAGAATTTTTTTTAAAGATTTATTTGCTTTTATTGGAAAGGCAGATACACCAAGAGAAGGAGAGAAGAGAGAAAGATCTTTGGTCCTCTGGTTCATTACTCAGGTGGCTGTAATCAGAAGTCAGGAGCCAGGAGCTTCTTTAGGTCTACCACGTGGGTGCAGGGTCCCAAGGCTTTGGGCTGTCCTGCACTGCTTTCCCAGGCCACAATTAGGGAGCTGGATGGGAAGCGGGGCAGATAGGACACAAACTGACACCCATATGGGATCCTGGGCATGTAAGGCAAGGATTTAGCCACCAGGTTATCGTACCAGGCCATGAGGATTTTTTTAAAGTAGAAAATCCACATGTCTTAACATTCAAGAGTTACAAACCATAATGCCTACTGGATCCAGGGAAGCCAAATGAGCAGTGGCAGCTCTGCTCCAGCTGCTGTTACTATGATGGGTCAGATTTGGCTTGGCAGCTTCCAAGGTACAATCTGTTTTAAACTGTCCTCACAAGACTGGAAGTGCACTAAACATATAGCAACATATGTTAAACTGGGCTTCATTTGTCATTCAGTCACGGATTTCCTTTAAGCAAATTCTGATCTTGGCCATCAGATAATCTATGACTTCAGAATCTCAGGCTTTGATCTCTTCCTCAGATCACTCATTCCAGCTGGGCTCCCCCACGGAGGCAGTATGCTCTCATCTCCAGGTTGATGGCACAAGTGGCAGTGCACACCCAGCATCCACCTGGACAGCAATATCCTGCCATTCTGCTGGGAGTGCCCAACAAGACAACGTGTTCATGTATACAATGCCAATTCTGGCAGGTTCCTCAGGAGAGGTGGTGCCCAGGCAGTGTTCTCCAGGGCTAGCTGCATCTGGCCAGGGTTTGGACTTCACCAACAGCAAGCCCAGTAGGGTGTGGGAACGCGCCAGACACCCAGAGCATTCCTGTATCTTCAGGAAACATCAAAATCCCCACAAGACTTATTCCATAATTAAAGTTCTGAGTTACTTACATGCAAATACCTACATGTGAAATAATTCATAGTCACATATTTGCCTGCAATAAATCATTTAGCAAAACAAACCTGAAAAACATTCTGTTAAGTGGTAACAATGAAGTTATTTTGGGATGTTACGGTTAAAATTACTGATTGTGAGGAACTAATCTCTAATTGTCTGGTTTGGGGATTTTTAGATTCCAGCGCTGGAGACAGAGCTGAGAATCCCGATGCAGCAGCGAGCATGGTTCCAGAGGAATTAAAGTGGGCATCCAGGACTGAGAAGATGAGAAGTAGTGGGAGAGAGAGACAAACTGACGGTTCTGCAAGCAGCTTGAGACCACCACCAAGTCCTCAGAAACCTCAGGAAGAAGGCCAGGAATTACTGCCCACGTGCAGCTCTCTAGCACCTCCAAGTGGGCAAGACAGTGAGGAGCACAAGGCAGAAATGGATGAAAATCACTTTTCAAAATCTCACAGTGGACAGTGCTCCCAGATTCAACCAGTGGGAAACACAGGACAGCTTCATGGTGTCACACCGATAAAACTGTGTCGCAAAGAATTACGTCAGATTTCTGCACTGGAACTGTCCTTACGGCGTTCTGCTCTTGCAGTTGGGGTCAGGTCAATGACGGCAGACTCCATTGAGGTCGCCAGGAAATCTAGTGACTTAAAAACTTAGGCATTTAACCCTTTTAATTTTTAGATATGTTAAAAGATTCCTTGTTCTAACCTGCTAAAATTAAAGTTCAAGCTTACTAGCTCTTACCTCAGGATTAAAAAAAAAAGGGAGGAAGTTTTTGTTCCTTTTCTGTACTATAGATATGTGTTTTTTCTATAGTATATTTGGGGAGTTTTAATTTGCATTTTTATAATAACCAAATACATGTTTCTCAATACTCGGTAACATTTAAATATTTCTGCTTATAAATATGTCTGAAATTACGTCCAGGTATATTTAAAGAACAAAACTAATAATAGGCTAAAAGATCCACCAAATATATATTATTATGTAATATAAAAATATTTTATTACAAACCATTTACATTTATAATATTTAATTATATTATTATTCTAATATATACTGTAATTTAAAAAAATAAAAAAACCTAAGTTTATTAGCACTAACCTTCAGCTAGCACAAACAGAAGCACTATATTCATTTACCATTTGTTAACAGCAGCTCATTTAAAATCCCATTAACTCCTGGTAATTGCTAAACGAAAACTTGCACAGCGTAGAATGAATAGAGAAAAGCACTGTAAGAATATGACAGCCTGTGACCAGATTGAGAATCAAGTCGGAGACTCAGTCCAGGACATGGGATCCCTCTGCCTTACTCATCTGCAAAGCAAGGTAATTCCCATTCCTGTTTCCTCCAAATAGGTCTGACTTCCAGCTCTAACTGGGCAGCCAAAATCGTCTGCCACAAGGCAGAAAGGAAATACACTGTGTTTTTCAAACCCAGCTAAATAATATTGCTTGTATCAGAAGGAAAGTTACGCACCGCGTCTGAGCATGGCACACAAGCTGTGGTGCTGCTCGTGCGAGAACTGGATGCAGCTCTGTGGAACAGGGAGATCATGACAGAACACTAAAGCAGTCCGACTGGTCAGAGGCAGGGGCACAGGCTGTGACGTGTCTGGTCATACAGAGTGCACCTGCCAAGGTGGAGGTCCGGCCAGGAATCTAACGCACTTGAGTCTGAGATGTTTTTTCCGCAGCCTGCTTCATCAGGTTTTGCAGATAGGTAGGTCTGGCTACAATAAATGATATTCTTGCTAAAATATTCCTTCAAATTTGTTTTATCAAAGTTTTACTATGTAATATTTAGAATTCAGAACTAAACAGTTGTACTGCCAAATGTAGTTTGTACTTTATCATCATATTTTTCAGTCATGGGGAAGAGGCCACTATAATGATTTGAGGTATTATTTTTGTATTTCCAAATTTTCACTGGTAAATCAGAATTTTTATCTTCAAATGAACTGCTGCTTTAGGTGGGGCAGTAGGACAACCACTCTGACCTGTGGTTGCCCTGTGACTTAGAGGCACCCACTGCCTGGCTGATAGGATCTGCTCTTCCCTGATGCTGCCGCACACTTTGTCCTGCTGTCCTACTGCTGTGAGTCCTGACCATCTCACCCAAGGCCCAAACTGGCATCCTGTGTGTAGGCTTCCTTTATCTAGTGACTAGCCCTTACAGTTCCTTGGAGTTCCTTGGTCCCATGTAAAAGCAGCTTCTCTAGGAAAAGAAATTAAAACAAGAACTTCTAAACAGGTGGATAGCTTACCTCTTAAGCATGGCACTAAAGTTCATTTAAATCTTGGATTAAGTATTCTGTGACTTACCTAGGAAGTGAGCAGTTCATAATTTAAGCCCAATCAGTAACTGCTTCCTAAGCTTCAAACTAATGTACAAACTTATTTGGAAATTTTCTGTTCAGCAATGACTAAAGTCAAATTGTAGTTTTCAGCTCATCTTCCTTATTTTTGCATTTGCTTTGTACACATTTCAACTTACTAACATACACACATAGAGATATGTGGGTATATATCATGGCAAAAGGCTAACAAAAAAGTATACCACTTATTATTTATATCAAACCAAAAGTGATTTGATTTTATTATGCACATGTGAACTAATTTTTTTAAGTAACAAAGGCATGTCTTTTTTCCTTTGGTTAAACATGCATCTTTTATATGCTGTGATATATTTTATTCATACATGCAAATACATAGGTAAATAATGTTCTAAATAATTCTGGAAGTCAGTTTATGCTCATTCCAATCAAGTCAGTGCACTCATAAAGGAAAAATTGGGTAACTCCCCAAAGCAAAATTATTTTACATATACTAACACTCCTTTCACACACTTTCCTTAGTCCAGACCTTTTTGTGATTGTTTGCCTTTTTGCATGTACATTAAAATACATTGTCACTTTTCTGAACATCGTGTTCTTTTTTCTTTCATTTACAACAGAGTATTGGAGAGAAAAAACTATTTGCCTCTGCCACTTACTAGTTCTGACCTCAACTCCAGAATGTTCTAGATAACAGAGCTGGAGAAATCTGTTAACATTTGGGAACCATGGGTGGTGAGACCTCAAGTGAAGGTGCTTTTGTACTTTAATTTTTGTTTTGTTTTGGTCCCTCAGTTCTTTACCTTTTTTTTCAGTTATTTCTAAATGAACTTAACATCCAAGAAACCAGCAGAATACATAGGATCTTCTGCAACATGGACAATAATGTCATTACTCGTTGCCTTATTTATATCAGTCTAGGCCAATAAAATAATGAAAGCTTTATTGGAAAATAGGTGACTTAAATGGAAAAAAAAAATCTTACACAAAGTCCTAGGATCAATTATAATATCAAAGCTTTTAGTGGGGTTCAGTTCGTTGGTCAACATGGGTTTCTGAACATTAAATATAACATGGTTTGATGTTTAAGTAATTTCTTTGGGCTAATATGAGACTTGAAAACATAATATTACCAATATCTGAAGGTTTAAGCAGAAAGTCACTCATGGCTACAATTCTATTTCATTGGAACTTTATTTTTAATATTGTTTACGTAGTTGAGGTGGATGTACACACATGTGAGTCCTTGATTAGGGTGGGGAGGATGGAGGCATGAAGAAGGTGGGTAGGACATATATTTCAATTTTCTTCCTCCTGTATCCTCAATGAGAGAAGGGGAAGGGGTTTTCCTTTGCTGTCAAACTCAATCAGTACCTGGGGATGGGGGACAGTCATTTGACGATGCCTCAGAGACCCTCATGTGGGGAATTGTGTTCGGAGGGTGTTACCCGAGTGGTTTTGATAGTTCTGAGATGTTGTCAGGATATTTCATTTTTAAACCGATGGACTTGGTGGTGTCTCCTACTGGCTAATTACAACATACAGTTCCATTGAGTTGTCTTTGGGCTTGAAAAGTAGAACAACGTCATGAACTTGATCATAATTTGAAAGATTCTTATATGCCCAAAGACAAAAACACAACATATAAATACATACTTAGACTATTTGAAATTCAGAATTCCATTTGCCAGTTAATACAGGTATAATTGAAGTATAACAAAAGAAGCTAAGTTTTATTTTTAAAGCTGTATTTATTTACCTGAAAGGCAGAGTGACAGGGAAGGACAGCGAGACAGAGATCTGTCAGCTGGTTCACTCCCCAGAGGGCCACAACAGCCACACTCCAGCCCAGCCTCCCCATTGGGTGCAGGGATCCATGCACTCGGGCCGTCATCCACTGCCCTTCTACACTCATTAGCAAGGAGCTGGATGGGAAGTGGAGCAGCTGGGACTCAAGTCACCACTTCAGTGTGGGATGCCAACATCACAAGCAGCGGCTTTAATCCAGTGTGCCACATTTTGATGCTGTAAGATCTTAAGCTATTTGTATGTTATTGTGTCTTCAAGATTATTAATGGTGACTATGGTATAAACAAAACAGCATGATTTTGAAGTTCAAAATAAGAAATATTGGCAGAATTTAGTCTTAAGTATCAAAAAGAATCACTTCTTGAACACTTCCTACACACACACACACACACACACATACACATTCTCAACAACAAATACAAATATGCTTGCCTACTCTCTACCTTCCACAGTGAGCTGGTAATCAAACTGCCTGGAGACAGATGACTGCGAGGTGGAAGAGTGAGGTAACAGGAGAGAAAGTTTTATTTGAAAATGCCCCACAGATAAACATAGAATTAAAATATTTTCAAAGAACCTATATCAAATAATTTATTCCTCTGGTAATAGAACTAAAATTTTAATTTCATCTTCGCTTACCCCTAACCCCACATAATACTGAATTTGCCATTTGAAAAGAGAAATCCTGGTTTTCATACTGATACCTTTTCCTTTGACTACCTATAAGAAAAGAACCCATCTGGATAGACTTGGAATGCAAATTGTGGAGCTTGGGTCAGTTCCAACCGCAACCACAGCAGGCTGTGAGGTCTGGGGGACTTAACATTGAGACAGTAGGAACAGTGTACAAAAACAAACGTGATCCCAGGCAAAAATAACAGGATTTAATCTTTCATAAAATAATACCATCTCAAAACTGTTACTTAATTTTTTTCTCTGTTAATACTGTTTTAAGTTTTTCTGCTGAAGAGCCTGTGGATACCAAACTCCATGGATGATTACAAACCAGTAGTTACTGCCCCACCTTTGTTCTGCAGCCTGCAGTGACACATCACTGCCCTTCCCTATAGATAGGAAAAGGAATGAGGAGTTGTCTGAATTTTATTAGTTTATACTTCTGCTGATTTATGGGTATTAAAATTGTCAAAGCTTTGGGCCCGGCACAATAGCATAGCGGCTAAAGTCCTTGCCTTGCATGTGCCAAGATCTCATATGGGTGTTGGTTCTAATCCCAGCAGCCCCGCTTCCCTTCCAGCTCCCTGCTTGTGGCCTGGGAAGGCAGTTGAGGACGGCCCAAATCCTTGGGACCCTGCACCCACATGGAAGACCCAGAAGAGGCTCCTGGCTCCTGGCTTTGGATTTGCTCAGCTCTAGCCATTGTGGCTGCTTGGGGAGTGAGCCATTGGACAGAAGATCTTCCGCTCTGTCTCTCCTCCTCTCTATCTGCCTTTCCAATAAAAATAAATTTTTTAAAATGTCAAAGCTTTGTCATTACTTTTTGGCATGACTTTTTTCCCCCTGGATTGTAAGGTTGGAATCAGGGAAAAGCATTTGTATACTGAGGGGTCAAACTCCTTTTGAAAACCCCTGACCTGCTTGGTGGGAGGGTA